AACAATGCTATGACACATCACCTATATCACCTGTCGACTCATTGGTCGCACAGTGACTTTAACGAGTGCCAGTAAACCATCCGTTTTTTCCTATCGCGTGAAAGAGTAGCTCAGTAGGTTCTGCTCGTTCTAGGCACTCGCAGAGCATCATATCTTTCTTAAGCGTTTTCGTGAAGAACTCTGACCACCGAATCGGTAATCCTCATGCAGTACGTTTGAAATCCCGAGGAATCCAGTCACTAACGGCTCTTGTCCATCGCTTGTCATTCATATGCATTATGTGTTCGGCCTACCTTATCATCGACAGTTTGGGCAGTTATGATACATTCATGCATTATATCTTGAGACCTTATGGCATAAAGAAATTAAACACATTATTCACTACAAACAAAGCAAAATGCTTAGTACATAGCGACTAGTAATATTCGTCCTGTATGGTTACCTTAAAGCAGAAATATAACGAAGGCAAATATCACAAAGTGAAGACGCTAGGTAATCAATTAAGAAAAACAACCAACAGCGTGTAACCCATAATGTGCGAATCTGCTCCCACTGAGAACTCGTTTCGCGGCTAGTTCCCTAAGATCTTTCGTTGCCATAAATCTTCACTTATATTCTGCCACCAATACTCATTTCATTGAAATGCTTAATTTTAAAAAAGTTCTATCGACACATTTTTGCACCCGTGGCCAACGCGCCAGATTTGCGTCCTGGAAATTAGTGGGAACAGCCGGCGCGGATTAGCAGTCGTTCCGCAACGCGCAGTTTAACATTCGATTAAATGTCTGAGTAAAATTTTCGATGATTCACTGTAGTCGACGCAGTTCGTCAATAGGTCGAACATAATGAAGCTGGTATTTGAACCAAATAATCACTACACCTCAAATGAACGATCTCATATGACGAAGAACTACGCTAATATCAATCACACTCACATGTGTTATGGGCTCATGCGGTAGAAAGTGAAGATCCATAAGCTTCCTGACCAATAATTCTTACCATCTCATCACTTTTATAAAACACAGACCCTTCTAGGACACCTCTGTAGGTGGCTAGTAAAGATGCATCATCCAAATGTAAACACGTAAGTGGCCCATTACCAAATTTAGTGTTGAAAACAGAAGTGTTGGAAACTTCGACCAGGTTCCGCCTTTATTCTCTCCTCTGACCAGAAGGCAAATATAAATCGCCTCTATAGAGCGACTTGTTGTAAGCAGAAAAGAAGCGAGTGCGAAAGACGGCACATGTGATGTTGATTCATCAAAGTAGATATGTTCTCTAGAACCATAACAACGTCAGACCATATGTCCGATCTCTAGGATCAACGTGTCTTCCAACAGTATCCATCTGGCTCTAAGAGATGCCAACAAAACAGAGTAACACCCGGACCCACAAATCTTAAGGAGAAGCGAGTAAAAAATGACAGCACTAAAATAACGATAGGTCGCTGTGAATTCTAACGATACTAAATCTTTGTCGCCGCAATCATGAAGAATTGCGGTACAAAAATTCCCCTGATCCACATTGGGGTGAGACCAGTTGTGGAGAAAAGTTGAATAGGCGCTAAATTGACTACATCAGAATTCCAGAAAAAACCAAACTCGAACACATTCAATGCGCCAAAGAAATCAGAAGACGACAAATCCTCAGGCTGTAGTCGAAGCTATACGCAAATCGTACCATTACGCTGATGATGGTTACGAAACAACGAATCGAATGGAACTAGCACTGAGACTCGCACAATATGTGAAAAAGGATAGTCTAAATAAGCACTCTCACACTAAAATTGCCAACATAAATTCTTAGTTCAAAACTCCATAATTATAAGTGTTTTTCACACCAAATACTCTTCAGCAAATGAACTCCGCATCTTCTCTAGATTCCTGTATATTTCATGTACACATATGCAAATAACTCTCGTTATTACATGAGCTACCACATGCGCCACACTTTGTGGATGTCAGCATTTCTTGTATTCGATTTTCCTGGTACCCACCAACCATGAAAGTCTTCGAACTTTTTTCCGCTTGTGTTGCGGATGCTGCGTCAGGATTTTTTCTTCATCACGAATGTCGTTGAATGCTGGTAGAGTCGATTTTCCTTGGAACCCTGAGATACCAGTGCGGAGGTGTTCCACCATGGATTAGGGAGGTTAAGTCTTTTCGAGACAAGTCCGATTGGAATTCGCCTACTTCAGAAGAATGAGAGGCCTGGTGGAGCAGGGCCGGGATCTAGTCAGCACCTGCGTAGGTTGAGTCGCCTGCATAATGAATGAGAACACTACTACTGCGGTACCCGCTCCCTATACAAGTATAAGTTGACAGAAATTGCTGAAATACCGTGAATCACAAAAACCGAGTTAGTGGTTTAATAGGCAGAAGTGTTCGCTTTAACTCCTTCCTGTGGTAAACAAAGCTACAATATGGCACGCACACATAAGTCACTCGGGTGGAAAATAGTTTGCCCTTTGGACTTTTAACTTCGATGTCCAAACGAGCAGTGAAATTCATTAACTTGGATAAAGAAAATACTAGAATCTACAAGGCCGTTCCTACCATGCACAGATTTATTCACTGCATAGTGATAAAATACTATGTTTTCGAAGCCCATCCATACTTCTCGGACTTCCGTAGTAGGGAATCATACTTCAAAAAAAGATCAAGCGACACCTGGGACCGGATAGCGTTCACAAATATGTACTGTTAAGAAAAAATGCAACTCACGACGATGTTAGCTATTTCCAAGTCATATGTGTGCGATAGGCACACAATGAACAATACGACCTGATCTAAATTCGAAGGATGTGTAGAATTTCTCTTATTCTAACAATTAAAATTTACCATTAGAAGCATTGCCAAGAAGCAAGTTGTTCAAAAAAGCAGTTCAATGTAGACACGGAAACCGTTTCAACCCATAATGGACCAAACATGCCCGTTTTTCCTTCAGAGTCTGAAGATTGGTACCAAAGTTACCTGTAAAAAGTTTACCCCAATCCACAGGTTCCTTGACCGCTTGAAGAAATACCTGCGGCCACTATAGAACAGTTTTTTCAGGATTACAGAAAGATTTTCCATTTCAACCTTCAGTGGACCTAGGCGTGAATAATCAATGCATCGATTTATCGACTAGTGTGATTCGCTACATACCGGCCAGTACTAATCCTACTGCTGCAGGATGGATCGCCACCAAACAAACAAACAGTTTCGGATGGCAATCGACCTAGGAGCATTCTGTATCCTCGGGAACTGCCGAGTGAGGTCAGTCACTCCCGCGAGCCTACAGTCCTGTATAAAAAAAAGCATGCTGGGTGACGCTAATTCATTATTGCGGTGATCTATCCTATTCAACCTGAATTGATGAGACGATTACGAAGGCTCACATCGCATGAAGTAGCGATTGCTGTGCATAGTCGATTCGAATAGTCTCTGCTCTAAGAAAGGTGGTTTGCCAAAATGTTATCCTTAATAAAGATTTGTAACATATATACATGGGGTAGTGTAGTCTAATGGTTAGAGTATCTTGTAATAAGCACACGGTTGTTGCTTCGATCCTACGCCTTGAAATCTCCAAGTCTTCCATATTCTGGTGCCAGCAAAGTGGTACTAGACGTGTCTGGGAGGATAGCATCACTAACTTGACACATCGCTAGCTCACTGCTAGTCATTGTAAAGGCCAAATATGCGTCCAAACACTTCTAACGATATTTGCAAAACTCTGGACCGCAGGTGTCTATGGTGGGGAACGAACGCGCTATTATCCTTTCCGGGGAGTAACGCGTTCACCACCACACCATGCGGGTTCTTTGTTTCGCACGTCTCTCAGCTATTTCTATCGATCTTTTTGCCACAGCAATCACCCGTCAGCGGGGTTGATCTGGAGAGCGCAAATCGGCATAGAACCCAGTTAAGCTATGGCTGTAGTTGAAATCACAATGTTTAACGTTTTGTTTTCTGCCTTCTATAATTTTCATGGCAGGTTACCCCGGAAAGGATAATAGCGCGTTCGTTCCCCACCATAGACACCTGCGGTCCAGAGTTTTGCAAATATCTCAGCAACGTTGAAGTCGAATACAATTTGTTTCGTAACTCAACATCAAATATTGCCCAGATACTAGCACTTCTTTCATTCCATTCGTTTTCTCGCACCCTCCTCTACGAAAGTCTGCTGATCTGTGTGTGAGTTCGGTCACTCTTTGCTGAAAGCTAGTCGATTTGATTCTTTTTGGAATTCCAAGATAGTCATAGCTAATTGAACTTTCTGCACCGGAGGAAGCTCTTCAAATGCATAATTGTTTACAGTGAAAGTCTCTTGTTCCGAATGAGAGCTCTAATTCACGACTCCAATGAATAAATTAGCATTCCCGCAAATGGCTCCGACCACTGTTTACATCCAGTTACATCCGTTCTTCATAGCAAACTTTTTCCATAAAAAGTACCTGTACAACAAGTTCTTTTTAAAGAAGCTCTCATAAATACATCTCTAAGAAATGAAAAGATACTCTAGAAGCAAAATCTTCGCTGCCTTTGGCTTCGAAAGATGAATACAAGCACCAGGATGATTTGTCGTCATCTAGCAAAGCAATATCCATAATAGTTTACTACACACGGTTATATCCTAGTACCTGCTATGAAAATACGGAATAAATAAAAGTCTAACGTTGTATTTTCGACTACAACCTCAGCCAAACTAGGTTCGATTCCCACTTGTACTCAGCAGATCACTCCCGTTGACGAGTGATTAGTGATAGCACCGTTAGGGTAAAAACTGGCCGCACGAAAGACAAAGCAAGCCCGTCAGTGGCGCAGTGGATAACACGTGAGTCTCCTTAAAGGGTAATCGCTGGTACGTATGTGGTATGGGGTCTCAGTTTTGCAAAATATCTCAGCATCATTGTGGTTACATAGGGCTGCTTATATGTTCACCGTTTTGAATGTCGACAGTTAAACGCAATAATTCATCATTTATTTACCTATTAGAATAATTTAGATCGTAGTACAGCTTCAATATTCAAGAAAATATCGACAGAGCATCCCCGACGCCATAGAGAACGCGACGCCAGAGGTTACAATGATGAAGTTGGACAGAAAAGAAAGGTCAGGAAATAATGCTAAACAAATCTTCAGAAGACAATATGCAAAGGTCAACAGCATTTGAACTCACTTCTTTGTATTTGAATATGTGAAGCAAAAATGAACAACTGTGTGACAGATCGGTAAGAGAACTCATTGCTTAGTTTGAATATGATAGACAACACCACAGCGACGTTACCTGAACATTTTAATTTTAACGACAGCTGATTAACGGTTATAAAAGTAAAAATACGATAGAAAATGGTAGTCAATCTAGGATTGCCCACAACACCGTTTTCTGGAATCCCTGTTCTCGTTGTAAAAAAGGGAAGCTTTTGCAACAATTTTTTTAAACGCAAAGAAGTAACCACTATAGAATGTATTACACTTATAAACGCCACTTTTCCATGGTATCAGGAAAACTCAACATTGAAGAGAACAGTGGCCTCACTTCGACATTCCTTAAATGGTGAATTAAATACCGGAGAGCGTTGAAGATTCAATCGCCGATATAAAACAGTGCAAAGGGAGCAACAATAATAAGGGGTGATAAGGGTCATGAATCACCTGACAATAATGTATGATGATGTAACGTTATATGATATTCGATAATCTTGGATACTTAAATACTTGGATAACTCGTCTCCACATGTTGTGAGGGCCCCAGTGTTGGAGGTCAGCCTTGCCAAAATCTACCCCAGGTCTTCGCCGCCACAGGCAGTCGCCGCTTTTGTGGATCAGAGAGACATTTGCCACCAAGCAACTAGTTTGATACCAGGACGGTGGTGGATCGTGATATTGTTTTACTCTTAGCTGGTTTTCCTTATGGAAGTGATGGACTCTTTCTTAGCTTGGGAGACCCTACCAGGGGACGAATCCCTAGCTGTACATTGCAGCCCGACACCCAGAAATACTCCCAGTCACGATGATGCTGTAAACCGTTGAGAGGTATTCGATAATCTAATAATTTAATATACGAATACACATCGAAGCTGCAACCCTGCCGTCTTAGTCCATAAAGATGGAAAGCAAGGTCATATTTAGAACACTACGAAGCCGTAAACGTGCCTGCTACTCTTACTTCTGTCGTTATACGTCCTACCCGAACTCACCGTAATATCCCATAACTGTCCCTCGACTTACAGTAACAACGCGTTCCAATTTATATGAATGAAGCTTCAGATCGCAAAGCACTACTGTTGCCACGTATGTAACCATTTCTATCGTACTTTGAAGAAAGCTCTTGTAAAATCTGCACGAATGAGATACAATGATCATATTCTGGCACATTCAAGCGAGAAAGCTTACATCCACTCCAAGTCGTAGATATTGTAAACGCCTACTCTTCCTGAGATCCATTTATCATAGGCATCACATAGCAGAAAAATAGTCGCTAACCGAAGATAACTCTGGAAAGAGAACAAGTAGACAGGATAGGCACGTCAATAACAAGATGTGTAAACAGATCAATGTCACCGTATTCGCACCAATCTCTTAATTTTGAACTGAGAAATGTGAATCCACAGTCCTTCGAAATTTAACGCCCTTAAGAGTTAATTACAATGATATTGTGCGTTGAATGCTTATGAAAGTGGAATAACTATCCTTTAGATCGTTTCTGCTTCTACGAACGGTAGACATAAATTATTTCATAACTGGCGAGGTCCTGAAGATGAACTCGTCTTGCTCTGGTATAGGGAAAAACTCACTTCAATGCAACTTACAGTCAATGCAGCATGCGCTATTTACATGGATGCATATCTGGTCTATACAATAACTCGCTGTGGTCTACCTTTGTGTCGAATCAGTACTGCTATCCTTCCAAAAAAGTTTAGCACCAATATGTCGAGCCTGGAGGGATGGAAGGTCAGGAGTCTGGGACTAAGCATCAAACCGGGGACCAATCCAGTGTGTAATGTAGGCCACTTCTAATCACTGCGCCACACACACCCTCTTAGTAACGTGATCCATCACGGAAAAAAGCCCCGGTTCGACCTCCTCCCTAGTGCACTCCTCCAATCTACACAGCAATTCCGCAGTTTGGTTATTCACCGAGTTATGCGAGCAAACGCCAGTAAATTTCCCACTCGCCTCTTCGCTTGCATGACTAACCCAATCGGCTCTGCTTGCTCTAGAGATTCATTGACCATCATATTTTCCTTCTAGGATTTCCGTGAAGAACTTTGACCACTGTTTCAGTGGCCCTCCTGCAGTATGCTTAAAATCCCCAGGAACCTAGTACTTAACGGCTGTCATTCATCGTTTCTCGTTCATACGCATTACGTGTTTGGTACATCTGATATTCGACATATTCTGGATGAAAGCGTCTCTGGTCTTTGAATGTTGGTGGAGATCGAAACTGCCTTTCTTACTTGCGTGGTACGGAGTACCTCCAGCAATGCTTTTCGACTGCGCGTTCTATAACGCGGAGTGGTCTTTCATCCTGCTTACGTAGCGACTAGCTTTCCGACGCTCACTTTAGAGCAGGAAGAATTGTGGAATTGAAAAGTTGGAAAAGGAGTCATGTGTTCCTAGTCCTCCTATCTGCATCCTCGATGCTTTTCAAATCTACCGAAACTGTCTGCCATTTTCATCTCAGCTCTGTAACTAAGACAACCACCATGTTAACATCTTCACCGAGGCACACGACTTCAGAAAGTGGAACCACTTCGACTACACGTCGATGTCGTCGCTTAATTTGAGCAAAAGGACATGGCATTTAGTGGGATATAGAGGGAAGTACCGGATAATTTTTTCCGTCATCCTTCCAGGACCATTATTTAACCTGGCGACAGATGGTGATCCTCCTAGGTTTGAAATTCGAAAAGATTCACTGAAAGTTGAGAACGCAATTCCTAGTTTCCGCATCAAGTTCACTTCTGCTCCTCTTTCCATAAGACCTATTATCGTCTCTTTAGAGAGTATTGCAAGATTGGACAAGAGTGAACGATTGCCTATGAGATATTCCACATTGAAGCATCAGCTCGAGTGTTTCTAGAGACAGACGTCTCCTGGTGACTTTTGAACTCCTGGTTTTTCAAGATTGTCGTGAATGTGATGTATAATTCTTTATTCTTCATCGCTACTGTCGATAGCAGTACCTTGCCAAAAGCCGGCTAATGATCTTAGCAAATTCCATCCCATAGAAGTTTTAGAACTTCGCTTTGTCAATTCTATGGATTTCTCTCCTTTCTTTGAAGAAAAAAGGAACCTTCCGCAAAGGAGGCGTTGGTCCTATTCTGTGTAGACTTCTGGGCTAATTGTGACATAGGTAACCATTTCTACTATGATGTAGTCTACCTCGTTTGAGAGTGACGGAGTTCCACGTCACACGGAGAAGGCCTTCTGGTGCTGTTAGTTTCTATAAATAAATGTGTTGACTACTACAGTAAATTCAGGAAGCCACATGTTTTGTTCAATCCATACAGCATGCACTAATGTGGAGTTCATCAAATGTTCTCCTGGAGCAAGTTTTGTACGGCGACTATTCCCCAAGCAAAAAAAACAGTTCCTATCCTATATACTTTCGCATGTTTCCTATATTAACTGTTTACTGGTAATTGTCGTAAATTTATCCTTGCAAATTGCTTTTTAGCGACCTTCTCGTGCATCTACCTCGCAGCTGCCTGGAAAGGGATTCTGTAATTTCTTTGTAAGAACTGTTCTTCTTTGTCCGATAGTTCGGGCACTGATTGAGCAGCTCCCAGCTACACGGACTATCCAGCATCCGTCGTTCTAATCAACTTCTTATATACGCCACCACATCGCTGTCACATGTATTTTCTATATAAGCCATCGTATAGCCTTCACGAAATTTCTGTGGAAGTAACCCTAAGAGATTGTACCAACTGAGAAATTTTTTAGAATGTCCTTCTGACAACAGTCTCTAGTTCCTTGTGTCAAAACTCCGCCCATTACATAAGGAATATGAGCATTATGAGTCATCCCAGTTTGTTTCTCCCAGTTTCGCTCAGCTCGTTTGCCCAGTTAATTCGCTCAGTCAGTATTCCATACCTTTCTGGATATCGTCACAATGTTAATATATTTATTGCTATCATTTCTATAAACGGTTATAACCCCAAACTGGTATTGTGCGCTATGACAAAGCTAAAAAGTTCAGTGTGGCAAATTCATACAAAATCGAGCAATCTACTTCGAGCTAGTAATCATTTGGTATCGAGGACTGACTCGAAGACCTATATTCCGCTGACCAAGTAATACATCGTGGCACTGAAACTGCAAAAGATGGCCTTACTGAAGTTGTGGTATTCCCTGCAGAACTGCTCCATGTCCTCATGGGGCGCTTCCGCCTCGTAGTGCAAAATGGACCAGTTTTGGTGGCATATTTTCAACCGTAAAAGTCCGATATAGGTGATTAATTACACAAACGAATTGATGACCACAACGAAACTAATGTTAACTAAGACGCCAACGCTGCCCGATTCCTGCGCTGCCACATTATCCGAGCAACCATGCTTTCTCACTATCACAGGCTTTACATGAGCGTAGTCTTCTTATCTCGACCAGCCCGAAGACCTCGTACTTAATCTCCATGCATTACTAAGTTCTGAATAGAGGATTCAGATGGCATTTTACGTGAATTTAAGTGCAGATAGCAGCCTTAGTCTTTCCAGGATTTTGGAGCCTACAATATTGTTGTGATTTTAGCAACCTCTAAGTATTTGCCCTACCCAATACTACCATATCGGGCAAAGGCCCTTCTAGCTACAGAGGAATGAAGTGTTCTTTTTAGGCCTTTCTATGTCAAGAAGTACCATAGGTAATTTGCTAATCCTTCTCAAACCAAACAAAGAGCTTATTTCTTGGAAATGACTATTAATTACTTGTACCTCCTTGTCACTTCATCATAAGGTTTTAGCCGAACTGATTTGTAAAATGCATGCCAATGTAAATGAACACACCCATGCATGGTGCGTGAATATCACCATGTAAATATAGAAGGTATATATTAATCCACCACAGAAGAAAGGAAGCCCATTCTCAGAATTCACCACCGTTCCATAGAAGTAGAAGCTCAAGTTTGGCCCTAACCACATGGCCTCGCAACCAATGGACTCCATATACCTTGGTAAAGGGTAAAAAGAGCCGGTGAATATGCTGCACACACGTAAATTTCATGTATGCAGGCAGAAGCGTTTCAATTACAGGTGCTCTGAAATAAAAAATCGTTGAATCGGCCCTACGCGTTGTTCAGAGGGTTCGCTAAAGCGGTACCAGACTTTTTGGAGAGGATAAAAACACTAAGGTTATACATCAGCTGGCCACTGCAACTTAATGCTCGTATAGGTCAAATATGCAGTCATCCACCTCTACGATGCATAACGAAATTGGAAGCAAGTCTCGCCTCCCTCCATTCCCTCTCTCTCTTTCTCTTTCTCTCTCTACATATATATATATATATATATATGTAACTAAAAAGGATAAAGCTCTCGACGTTGATCGATCACTGAAGGATGCAACATGCATCATGACTTCATTCAACATCATTAGAAGTGATTAAATGTATATCTGGCCTATACAATGAATTACGGTAGCCTATCGATGTATGAAGTCAATGCTGCTATCCTCCTAGGCAGGTCTAACACCAATTTTCCGACCTTGAAGGGACGGAGGGCCTGATGATTCTGAGGGATGCGATCCAACCCACGTGTATTGCAGTACTGTATACACATATATATACACATATATATATACATATATAGGTGGAAACTTTAAAAAAGTATCGTGTGCAAATTACCGAGGATGAGGAATAAGAAACAGGACAATATATACGATGGGAAAATCTACTAGGTACTAACCACATATCCAACTACTTCCGTATTCACACCTAGCCCAACATACCTGAATTTTCATGTTATATATGAGATGACGATACGCAGAAATATTATGAACGATTAGATCGATAACAACCAGCACTGTTTCGTATTCAACATACTTGTCCACCACTTTGTTACAGCGATTCTAGAATGTCTGACTTCAACGTTTAACTCAAGCAATGAACAAAGTGCTAATGGTGAGCATCCAAACACTTTAAACAGATGAAAAAAAGCTCACACAATTCGACAGCCGAATTACTCCTTCCGAATAGCTCTGGTAGAGAGATGTAGAGGGTTCCATACAGTTTACACACATATAATTTGCTTCAGACATTGTCCTAAATGATAGATCCAACAAGTATTGCATCAAGAACTGCTGAATCATGAGAGACACATTCCTGAACAACTTAATGCCCACTCTTAAATTTCACGTTCTTCACGAACGTCGGTCAAATACGCAGAAATCCAGTCGTAAATTCGACTATAATCAAGCGTTAGAATTGTCGTGAGAAAAGAATTTTATTTGGAATAACCCAACAATGACGAACACTCATGTTTAACGTGAACACAATTATTTACAGAAAAATTCACTACTCAATAACAATTCGAAGACAATATCGTCACTTTTTATTTACTGCCTACTATTTTTTAGTGGCAGGGTATTGTATGAAATATAACCACAATGACGATGAGATATTTGCAAAACTCTGGGCCGTTAGTGTCTGCGGTGGAGAACGAATACGCCATTGCATCTTCCGGGAGCTAGCGCGTACACCGCCACACCATGCGAGTCCTTCGTTTCGCTTTTCAAAGACAGTTCAATAATGAAAGACATACTGAAATATAAAATTTCAAAATAACAGTGTCCAAAACGAAGGTGACTTCAACTCGCAAGCCACAATCACCATCATTAATGCCTCCGAACTGTGAAAATTTCATCTTCGTTCCCCAAATCAACATTCTTCTTAACCGACTCGTAGTACCTTAAACGAGATCACATGATATAAAAGACTGCATAGTACTGGAAACGATAATGACTAACTTCACGACATGATTAGCTCTGATAACACATGGATCGAAAGCGATTGCACGAACGGCAGCAAGACAACGAGCCCTGGACAGCGCAACATACGACTGGCTTTCGGCGAACACCCTGTTAAATTGGTAAATTATTCGATATGTTGCATGCTCGCTCGTGCTGACTGCTCATGACGACGACTACTATACTACTTTCTAGCATCATTGAACAGACGATAAATTTGTCAACCACTGAGTAATCCATAGGCAAACAAATTCCTGACAGTAAATACAACGAGAAAATACAACGAAAAGGCATGGGAAAGTATCACCTTTCAAGGTTAACCTCAACCACATCCAAGATGAGGCCTTGCGACTTGTAAATTGACATAGCCCAGGCGAGCCGCAAAGTTGACGTCTATAAGCCGGTTCATCATGTCCTGGAATCCGAACCGAAAAACGCATTGGGAGTATCTGAAAATAAAAACATTAGCAAGTTATTTGAGATTAATACGAAATATAATGGTGGTACCTCTACTTCCTCTTTAGTGGACAGCAACTTCACTATAGGGAAACTGCTCTTCGAAAATCTAGTTACTACCTCTCGAGATCCATTAGAAAGACCTCGCGCAAGATTAATGTTCTTCAATAACATTATTTAAGACGTAAATTGATACCAACAACAGTGCTACATCTCCAATTGTTTAAAGCTGAAGAAAGTAAGGAAGATAGATGTTACTGTCCCAATATATTCCTTTCAGCTAACAGTTTACCGCCTCAATCAAAATTTTCTCGGCTATTAAATTACAATGTGCAACAAATATTCATCAACACAACATTGTTTGCAAAGCCAAGAAGAGTGCATATTTCTATCTGGCAGCTTCAGCCAAGAGTAAGAGATTCCCAGGAATCCTTGTCCTAACAACTACAACCCTCACAACAGTTCACCGTCTCATCGTGGCTGAGAAGTGTTCCTGGGAGTCCGGCTGCGATGTACAGCGAGGGATTTATTTCCCGACAAGGTCTCCCAAGCTGAGGAGTCCGGTGTTTCAATCAGGAAGCCCAACTAAGAGTAAACCAATATGCCACCGTCCTGGTATCAAACTAGACACATAGTGGTAAATCCCTCTCTGATCCACACGGGCGGCGACTGGCTATGGTGGTGACAATCTGAGACAGACTTTGGCCACGCTGTCCTCGGGACTGCAGGGAACCACAGTGGGTAAACGAGCAAAAGTCCAAAAAATTGGAAATTATGCTGCAGCCTGCAAAACCAGTGCGGACGGGCCATCTAAGCATCAAAGCAATAACTACAACATTTTCACCAATTAGTATGTGGTGAAAACTGGGAAAGCCTTAGTCTCCCAGGAAACAAAACCCTCCCCACTATAAGCAAACTACTAAGCGAAGATTAGATGAGGGTTTTTCTTCATAGTGCTTAAACATGGGTCATGTAAAAATTCAAGTACTTAGGAAACGTATTATACACCATCTAATACATTCACGAAAATTCACCATAAAGGACTGACTTGAGTAAGGGATTTCAACACCAATCTCTTCGCGATAGCAGATTGTATTGGATTGGGAATGAACTGACTGTCTTCAGCATCGAAAACTCTACTAAGTCCTAAATAACTAGTGACACATTCTTAAATACCGCTCAAAAAATTGTTGCAAAAACTGAACAAACCCTCAAGCTCTTCTAAATAAAGGGTATTAAAGACAACTGCGTCTTCTGTATGTGTGCATAGCTGGGTCAGAGCTACTAGGGATGAAAAATTGTTCCGTTTTGTCACAGCTAACGCAACACAAACGTCGTTAGTACACCTGTAACAAAAGTACTACGGAGAAAAAGTTAGAAGAAAGTATAGAGCACCTACAGTCCAACACGTATTTCCTCTAACAGCTTGATAAAACGCGAGTCGTCCTGGCGACAACGACTCCATGCTTCGCACTAAATGAACTTTATCATTAAAGACCCCATGAGAGTTAAAATTGAAAAAGGAAAAAGACGATCGGACAAACCGATGCGTAGTAACGCGAGTCTTACAAAACAATGCTAACTTTTTATTTGCTGCCTACTATACTTTTTTACGGCTGGGTTATGTGTGAAATATAACCACAATGATGCTGAGATATTTGCAAAACTGCGGACCGCAGGTGTCTGCGGTGAGGAACGAACACGCTACTACCCTTTCCGGGTGCTAACGCGTTCACCACCACATTGTGCGGGTCCTACGTTTCGCCTCTGTCTGTTTTCTATCTACCAATGCCACCAGCAATCACCCGTCAACGGGATTGATTCAAAAGTTTATTAAATAAGTGAAAAACGTTGACAATACCTCAAAATAGAATTTCACTGGACTGCTTTTATCGGCTACTGGTGGATGCTGCAGAAAGTCGCCCGTGACGATGAGATTTATCCCGCCGAATGGTCGATTATCTCCACGAATATGCCGCGCTACCGGTAAACCACACGGTTCATTACTGTCTACATATTTCTTGGACCTATCTAAAAAATTTAGAAACTTAAACAAAACGCAGAAAAGAATCTAACGTATCACTTGCGGTCAGGTAAAACTCAGTGAGCAAGTAGAACTAACAATATCGAAACCATTTCAGCACTAATTCGAAAACCCGACTTGCAGTTATCCTCCACATTAGCAACCGAGTTCTTCTGCTCTTACTAATTGTTCTTTGTGAGCTTAGACACGACTGTTAACACGCACTTTTAATTTTCCATGGTTAACATTTCGGCAGTGTGCGCGTGTAGCGCAATGGTCGGAGGAGCCCTGCAGTACACATGGGATCGGTTCCCGTGCCCAAGGCTCACCAAGCCTTCCATCCCTCCAGGGTGCGTAAATTGTTACCAGACTAACCTGGGCGGATAGCAGCACTGGTTCGATACATCGGAAGGGCAACGCGAGTCATTTTAAAGTCTAGATATGCATCCACACACCGCCAACGACGCCTAGTAAAGTCGAATGCATGGCGCATCTCTCAGGGGTTGATCAACGCCGAGAGCTTTACCCTTTATCCTTTCAACATTTCGGCGATTTCACCTTTTTCAGCACTTCGACGTATTCTTACTGAACATTATTCGGTGAACATTCCACGGTCCCAATGAAGTGAATGCATGGATCAAGCTTTGATCTTTTGAAAATCACCCACAGCTTTCAATTTCTAGCGCACCAGATTACCAGTACGGTGTTAAAATAAGATGATGAACGAAATTCACGTTAATACGAATAATCTGAGATATGGTGCCAAGTCACATGTGATGGTGAAGCATTCGCCGTTCAAATTCATTTCTGGATTACTGATGGAAGATTTAAAATCCGACATGATACCTTTCTAGGAACGTACGGAACACAAAATCAGAAGGGTGATGATTTCGAAATGGCGGTTACAGGCCTAGCTGAGAATTCAGGAGCGTCAACGCGTGAAACTCTTGAGGCATTTTGGACAAATCTCGAGGATCCACGAATGAATCGAAGGAACGAATGTCTCACTATCACATTTGAATTGGCAGAGCATCCGATTAACTTTTTAATATGAGCGGGTTTCATCTGTTAATCTTTGTTAACAGCATATCCATTCTCTTAATCCTTAGGAAACGGAAACCGTGATGTTTCTTGACACATCGGAATTTAGTCTGAGATTTCACCTTTGCGTTGAAACCGCAGAATGACCATCGGATAACGCTCTATAACAATACGTCCAAACTCTGAAGAAGTCAAAGCCGCGAAGATGTCAACCATCAAAAATCAAAAACAGATTCCAACAAGACCATGTCAGCTCATCAAGGACAGGTATTGAGAACAAAATAACGTCCACATACTGTTACCCTACTTGATTCATGGATATTCACATCCTATACACGAAATTTGGATCATTTATTCACCTACATATTCGATTTTGGTAAATCCGAATCAACCATGGAGATTTCGTCAATGAATAGATGAGTACAAAGCTTCCATTTCTTGACCACGTTCTTTTTTGAAAGTGCACATTTCAGTGAATCCTCATTAGAACTCTGACCGAGTCTTATCCCTGCGAAACCATGCAGCGTCACTCCGCCAAGCTGATAAGCAGCCAATCCTAAACCAGACTAGAAAAAAATCAACATACTATTGCACATGTGAATATCTATATTTGCTGACGGATTCACATATAACAGTTTATAAAAGTTCGACATCAAATACACTCATTTATCAACTTTATCTCTACGTTCACGAAGAAACCTCCCGCCTCATCGTGGCTCGGGGCTGTTCTTGAGTGTCCAGCTACGATGTACAACGGACGGATTCATGCCCCCAGTAGGACAACCCAGACTAAAGAGTCCGGCGTTTCCACTATGAAGCCCAGCTAAGAGTGAACCAATATCCGGATCCGTCACCGTTCTAGTACCAAGCTAGTCACGTGGTGGCAAATCTCTCTCTGATCCACAATGGCGACGACTTTCTGTGGTGGTAACCACCTGGGGCAGACTGGTTAAACCAGCAAAACTCCGAGAAAATGGGAATTATACTGGAGGCTCTCACAATCAGTGAAGACGGGTCATTCAAATATCAAAGTAAGTAAATTCAAGAAAGAAAGAATTGAAAGGGAGTTAGGCACAATGGAAATGAATAATTAACCTCAAGACTCTGAATGGATTAGAACTCTAAAAACATGGTCGCTCATAACATAATCTAACTGATCTACGAAAAAAGTTTGAAATATAAGCGAATGACGTACACGACAGACAACCCAACCCTAGCTGCAAGCAGATACACAACATTTTCTAAAGTTATAAACCTAACAAAGATGCAGTTATCAACAGTAACTAAATATTTCTTGCATAAAATTCATGTGCAATATCAAGACTTAAATTAATTGGTTATTCCGTTTGAATACTTTTTAATAGGTTCGAGATTATCGTGAAATAAACCAGTTGCTGCTGTGACGAAACTAGTGTTAACAGGCAGCAAGTCGATGATACGACGAAGTACCACGGATATTCCCGTTCCAGCACCACCAGTGAAGAATAGATTTTCCAGCTCAGAGCATAATGGACTACAATTCTCTGCTCGTCTGACAGACTAATGACTTCCAAATATTTTTTGGAATATCCTAAAATCAAACTGTCAACCACAGAACACAGTAGAACGAAGGGATAAAGTGTGTAGGGAAAGTACCGTTAGAAGGTTATTCGTAGAAATGCTTAGGCGTAGCAAAATGGGTTACAGATGAAGACGTCACATTTGGGGAACTACATAACGGAGATTCAGCAACACCGCGTAGTCCGAAATAAAAACTTCTTATCAAGGTTCGACAAGAGATAAACTGGAGCAATTAAGTTGAACAGAAAAATCATCGAAAACTGTAAACATACTTACTTTCTCACTTTGCGTATCTCAGCAACAGACAACAGAACGGACTGAGAACTGTGTGAATAGTAGGAAGATCCTACACTTCGTTTCCTCTGAAAGTACCAACAATAACAGGAACGAACGGTTTCTGCATAGGCATGTGCAACATAAACTATTCACTTTGACTACAGCATCACTTTAACTGGATTCATTGCCGACCCCAGTTCCCAAACCAATCAATGAGCTCAAGGGTGATTGCTGATGGCAGTGACTGATAAAAAACTAGCTGACGGGCTGGCGAAACGAAAGATCCGCATGGTGTGGTGGTGAACGCGTTAGCTCCCGGAAAGGGTAATAGCGCGTTCGTTCCTCAACTCAGACATCTGCGGTCCGAAGCTTGCAAATATCTCAGCACCATTGTGGTTATATGAACTACTGAACTTAACAAGGACAAAAAAATTACATATAGGATAGTATTTCAAAGAAATGGATGACTAGTTCGCGATCTTCTGATTACCACAAAACCATCGTTATTTGAATCGTTGGTAATTAATTATAGTAACAGTAAGCCCTTTTCACTACACATTTAAAGAATAATCGACTGAAAACTGACCTGGAAATACTTAGAGAACTCCTATGGCTATAAACTGCCGACTTCTTAGGGTCCGACAGCATAATGTCAAGTTTTGCATGCAAGGACTTCAAAAACACGTTCAACTTCTGTAGAGCACAGTTTGAGAGTTGCAGAACTAGTTTTCTGAATACGTTATGGACCACCTACGAATCCCAGAAAACCTGAACAACATTTCTGTTGCAACATGCCTTTCCGGGATTTCAATCAATGCTATGCCTTGAGCAATGCTTCTACGATGCAGCACACAGTCGACGAGGTTATAAGAAACCACTGTAGATTGTCCTCTTGAAGCTGTCAATTTCACTTCAATACCAATCGATACCAATTTGGATGGAAATGAAAGAAAGAGAAAAATAGCCTCAAAGGACTCACATAAAAGTGATGAGGTAGACGATACCGCGTCAGATTCCGGCCAACTGCGAGCGTGCCATTCTTTGAAGTTACGGCACCTTTACGACGTACTTTTGAATTAGATTCAATGCACACGGCACACTGCAGTGAATACCAATACATAGGGTTTGATGGACTGATTTGTTGGACATCGCTAGAAACCATGTGGAAAGAATAGACGAAATAAAGGCGCTAAGAACACATGAGCGACGACGAGCGCTTTCCGAAAGAAGACGAAGGTTATCCGCAGAAGTTATTCAAAACCGTAAAGCGTGATATACCGGTGAAGAAGAGGAATTTCTATCTAAATGGCATCAACAGATAGTGAAATATCTCAATATCTTCTCTTTCTCCACTCTTCATCTTAAGTTCCCACACACAGTACTCACAAACCCAAGTTGTTCTCATAACCTGCAGTCAAACGTTGCCCATAACCGAAGTAGAAAACGAGTGCGACGTGATAGAAATAGGAACATCTATAACCCAGAGACAAACACTGTAGTGCAGCAACGCCACATTCATTAATTTGAGCCCTCAAATTCCATCAGATAGCAACAGGTACCTCAGTAGTTAGTGATGCAGCCCATCAGGAAATAAGGTGCTGATGGTTCGACCCCGTACCCAACGCTCTTCCACAAACCGCATGGGAACACCTCAGTCCGACAACCCCAGAATAGCAAGGAGAATGGACTCGATCAGTATTTTACGATATTCATAAAGAAGGCGACATCCTCATGTAGCAGCCGAAACAACAAGAGAAATGTTCACAGACCTCTGTGGACGGTGGCTGCGAGGAAAACGAAGCGAATACAAGCGGTGCTAGGACCCCCCGCATAGTGGATGTGACGAATGCAAAGAACAAAATAAAAAAAAATAAGATGAAAATGAAGAAGAGGAAGAAGAAAATAAGATGAAGATCCGGCTGGCTCATTGTGCGACGAAGACACCACATCGAGAAAACGAACAACTGTGGGCCATTGACTGGGACCATCAGCTATGCGGAAGACTAAAACGTTGAAACATTAGCCGAATAAATATTCGGTGATTATCAATGAAGCAAGGTACATCAAGAAAATATCCCTAACTTCTCGTTGAAAGTAGGAGAGTATGGGTTTCAGCCGCCAATGTTGGCTTGTGCCATGGTGGTCTCTTGCTAAAACACATTCGTAACGACGCCGACTTTTCTATGGCGACTGATAAATCCTCCATAATCACACCTAACGAAATCCAGAAGACGTCACAAAAATGAAAGAGATGTTCACAATCGCTACAGGGGTGTACGGAAGGCGATATCACCAAAACAATACTTCCTCAGACGATCCGATAGAATTTCCAACGTATAACGTTTTTGTAGCAAGCACGGCAGGCGCTGGGATCAAGGAAGCATCCGGAAATCCCGCGTATTAAATCTTTTCTGTCTTCGAAATGAAAGTAGAAGAACAACGAAGAAACAGCGACTTGTGGGCGCCAAAATGGAAAAGGAATCTGAGATGCCATCTCGGTAAACGTTTTAACCCTTCATATTCCATGAAATATTCAATACGGAACCTAATTCGATACAACGGCCGACGACCCAGTTTGCGAGGCCGCAATGTGCGATAACGCCTCGTTGAATGCCCGCCACTGGAATGGACAACTCGTCCTTGACCAAAACAGCACATAATGAATAGCGCTAGTTTTTTGATAGTAGATGATCTTATGATAATTATAGAACTTCGGCCACTGATTTCGCTCATAGAGGGATCTCATCCCAGTTTGTCGAGAAGAAACTGGACGCATCTCCAGGTGGCGGATAGGGGGTTAATCGCGGATGAAAAGCGACCCTGGCTTCCCTGAGACGCACATGGATCCAGGGGACGGACTCGTTGTTTACGCTGCGCCGATTTAGCACATACTTTCTGTGTTTACGAGGCGTATTCATGCACACGTTGCGTGCGTTCTACTTTATGCGGATTCTATTCTACGAGTCAATTCGACCGAAAGCCTACAATCAAGTAGAGGGAAGTATATGGGATGTGGTTCGAAGTTGCCTCCAAAAAATAAGCTCCATGTCAACTCTGGGACAGACTGGCAAGCTACCCGTAACTATACCAAGCCCCCACGTTCAAAGCCCAGCAAGACATACGGTACGATGTCATCGGCCTTGCCGAGAAGAGACGACGCCGCCCATTCAACGCAGCCTATGACACGGGAGAAGGACCGTTCATCGGAACATGCTACAGTATAGGAGTCGGCGGCGTCGGCGTTCTCGTCAACACGAGTTTATCCATGAACATTGATTCATTCGAAAAACTAACAACCAGAATCGGACTTTTACGATTAAGAAGATGTGGATCAATACCGGCTCTGACAATCTTCGTCCGACATCAAACTATGACGAAGAAGAAGTCGAAGCGTTCTATATGGACTTGGAGAAGTTTTACAAAGAAGACCATACATTCTTCAAGGTTATCATTGGAGATTTTAACGCCAAGACTGGACCAAGAAGGTCTGAAGAACGTCACATTGGGACCCACGGATTAGAATGGAACGAACAGGTTGAGCGGCTATCTGAATTCACCATAATGACCGAGACCATCCATGGTAACTCGCAATTCCAAAGGCTCCACCCTCAACGCTAGACGTGGGAGTCTCCCAGTAGAGAGTACCATAACAAAATAGACCACATCGTAGTAAATAGAAGGCTTTGCCTAACCGATGTCGCTTTTGTCCCAAAATTCTACACTGGATCCGACCATCGCCTTCTTCGTGCAAGATTCTATTTCTCCCGGAAAGGAGAAAAAGACGCCAAATTCAAAAACCGAATTCCCAGAACCACCATAAACTGGGACTTATTCAATTCATTAGTCGGCTGTTGGGAAGATGCCGTTGTCGATAACATCGACGAAGAATACGATCGGCTCATTCAACATCTTCACGTTAGCGCTATGAAAGCTGAGAGATTGAAGGTCACCAAGAGACGTTTGTCTCCAGAAACACTCGCGCAGATACGCCAGCGTGGAATCGCACGAGCTGCAGGCAACCGCGAACTAACATCCGAACTTGCAGAACAATGCAGACATGCGACAAAAGAAGATCTTAGAAAGAGAAAGGCGACAGTAATGGCCGAAGCCGCCGAGGCTGGAAAAAGCATTCCCAAAGTCCACCGAAGCTTCGCCAATTACATGGCCAAGATGATTGCACTCCGACGCCCAGATGGAACTGTTATAGCGTCCAGAAAGGCAATGGAGAAAACCATTCACGAATACTACTCGGATCTCTTCGATAGCCAAGTCCACCTTCCGTTATATAAAATAAAGGAGGATGGATATGTTGCACCACCAATTCTCCCTTCCGAAATCCGACATGCCATTTCGTCGGTGAAAAATCCAACGGTACCAGGTCCAGACAGGACAAGACCAGAACACCTGAAGAGCCTTCCGCCAGTCCTCATAAACACACTGGCTCGGCTCCCCACACGCTACTTGTCTGAATGCAAGGTTCCTACTCAGTGGAAGACCAGCGAGACCGTGTTATTGTTCAAGAAAGGTGACCTACACGATAATATGGGAGTTTAAATCGATGCTCGACAGTTACATCACCTTCATTTTGCTGATGACGTCGTCATTATAACATCAAACATTAGCCAAGCGGAACGTATGCTTGCCGACTTTGATAAAGCCTGTGGAAAGAGTGGTCTTTGACTACATCTCATAACACCGATCTCCACAAGGAATGGATTGGTTTCGTATACCCCATTCAAGCTCAACGGAACAAATATCTCCGAATGCTCCAGTTATGCCTATCTAGGTCAGGAAATCATTATGATGAACGACTTAGCTCCAGAGCTGAGCAGAAGGAACGAGCGGCGGCATGAGGCGCTTTCAAGAGCATCGAGGATGTAGTGAAGAGAACAAGCAACACCCGACTCCGTGCCCACCTTTTCGACTCAATGGTACTTCCTGCCCTAACGTATGCGTCTGGAACCTGGTCGCTGCGTAAGCAGGATGAAAGGTCACTTAGCGTTATCGAACGCGCAGTCGAAAGCACGATGCTGGGAGTATTCCGTTTCACACAAGTAAGGGATGGGATCCGAAGCTCAGATCTGCGTCAACGATCAAGAATCAAAGATGCCGTTCTGTACTCCAAGCAGTCGAAGATAAGGTGGGCCGGGCACGTAATGCGTATAAATGACAACCGATGGACAGGAGCCGATAGTGTTTGGATTTCTCGGGATGTCAAACGTACTGCAAGAAGACCACCGACTCAATGGTCGGAGTTCTTCACGAAAAGCCTAGAAGAAAGATATGATACTCGACGAGTCCCTAGAGCAAGCAGAACCCGTTGGGCTACTCTTGCACACGACAGTGAAAAAATGGAAGATTTACAGGCGCCCGCTCGAGTCACTCGGCGATCATTGGGGCTGCGGGTGATACGGGTGATTCATGCACGCGTGTGTGGGTCCGTTCTAGTTTATTCGGATTGTATTCTACGCGTCAATTCGGCTAAAAGCTTGCAATCAAGTGACAGGGAAGTATATGGGAGGCGGTTAGGAGCCGCCTCCAACATATAAGCTCTATTACCTACTACGGTGGAGACTAGCAAGTTACCCGTGAGTATACTCAGCCTCTATGTTCAGTCCTCTGCAAGCTATACGTGGACATCAAACACTACACAATAGCGTAAACGGCCTCATTCCCATGACCCTGAAATAGCCTCCCATTCGACTGCGTTGTGTGTGACGAGTATGGAGAGGCTGCTAAAATCTCAGAGCCATTCTAAGCTGTCTAAATCGCAAAGGAGTAAGATGACGATCTGTACCTACAATGCACGCACACATGCATCTAAGTCCTCGATAGAAAACTTGATCATGCAAGAAAGAATGATAAGGTACGACGTCATCGGACTGGCTATGAGAAGACGCCACCCTTTCAACGCCGTCTATGACATGGGAGAAGAACTGTTCCTCCATGCATGCGACAATAGAGGAGTCGGCGGCGGCGGCGTTCTCGTCAATATGAATCTGGCCATGAACATCGATTCATTCGCACAACTAACAATCTGAATCGAACGTTCACGCTTGAAGACATGTGGACCAATACCGGCTTATTAATCTGCGTCGTCAACGCACCGAGAGCAAGCTATGACGAAGACGAGGTCGAAGCGTTCTATATGGATTTGAAGAAGTTCCACGGAGAAGGCCATAGATTTTTTAAATCATCGCCGCAGATTTTAAAGCTAAGAGTGGACCAAGAAGAACCTCTGAAAGACGTCATATTGGGACCCACGGATTAGAATGGAACGAGCAAGGTGAGCGGCTGTCTGAGTTTATCACGACGACCAAGACCATTCGTGGTAAGTCGCAATAGCAGAAGCCCCACTCTCAACGCTGGACGTAGGAGTCTACTAATGAATGCTATCACAAAGAAATAGAGCACATCATAGTAAATCGAAAGTTCTGTCTACTTGATATCACTGTTGTTCTAAAAATTCTACACGGGACCAGACCGTCACCACCTTCGTAAAGATTCCACTTCTCGCGGAAAAAAGAAAAGGCCATCAAATTCAAAAAACGAAGTCAAAAAACCACCATAAACTGTAATGTATTCAGTTCATTAGTCGGCTGTTAGGAAAATGCGGTTATTAATAACATTGGCAAGGAATACGACCGGCTTTCTTAACACCTACAAGTTGCACCTATGAAAATAGAGAAATCGAAATTCTCTAAGAGACTTCTTTCTCCAAAAACATTCGACCTGATATCTCACTGTTGAGTCACGAGTTGTTGGCATGAGCGACAATCGACATCTCACGTTCGGACCTGCAAGACACTGCAGCGAAACGATAAAAGCAAACATTAAAGATAGAAGAGTAGCAGTTATGGTCGAAGGTGCAGAGGCTGAGAAAAGCATGCGCAAAGCCCACCAAAGTTTCGCAAATTACAAGACCAAGGCGGTTGCACTCTGACGCCCAGACCGAACAGTTACAACCTCCAAAAACGCAGTGGAGAAAATCATTCACGAACACTACTCAAATTTCTTTAATAGCCACATCCTCCTTCGCTCATACGAAATAGAGGAGGATGGATATCTCGTGCCACCGGTTCTCCTTTCCGAAATCCAACATACCATTTCGTCGGTGAAAAATCGAACAGCACCAGCTCCGGACAGGATAAGATCAGAACACCTGAAGAACATTCTGCGAGTCCTCATAAACACACTCGCTCTTCTCTACACACGTTATCTGTCAGGATGTATGGTTCCTATTCAATGGGAAACCGTGTTATTGGTCAAGAACGGGGACCTCCACGATGTCGGCAACTGCTGTGCAATCTTCTTAGTGTCTGTTGTCTACAAACCCTTCGCTGAAGTCCTCCTAAACCGGATTTCCAGCACTGGACGAAGGACAGCAAGGTGAGCAGGCAGGGTTTCAAAAAGGATTTAGTACGATGGACCACATCTACACGATAACGAGACTCATTGAAGCATCGCGATAGTACAAAAGACCGCTCTGTCTCACTTTCATCGATTTAAAGAAAGGTTTTGGCTCAGCTGAGATAGAAATAGAAGCTCTGGAAGCTCAAGGAGTCATCACTCAGTATATAAAAACTCTTCATGATCTTTCTACTTCTGTTCAGCAAACACGAGGTGTTATTTTATTTCTTTATTTACGTGCAAGCTGACGTTTCGGCGGCATGACTTCATGGTCTATTTGAAAATATCACAACCAAAATATCACCATTCTATGACAAAATTAAAACCTATGTCAAAAAAGTGATTAGGCAAGACGATAGTATCTCTCCAAAACTATTTACCGTCACCCACGAGAACGTCATGGGGACACTAGAATTGGACAACATGGGAATAAAAATCTATGGCAACTACACTATCTTAACTTTGTTGATGAGATCGTTGTTATAACACCGAGCATTTCCTAGGCCGAACAAGCGATTGCCCACTTTGATAGCACCTGTAGAAGGATTCGTCTTGCACCAATCTCACAAAAACGATGTTCATAAGAAATGAATTGATTTCGTATGCCCCATTCCTTGCACTCTCAATGGAGCGAATGTCTCCTAATGCTCCAGCTACGTCTGTCTAGGTCGGGAAATCAGCGTCATGAATGACTTTACTTCAGAGTTGAACAAGAGGAAACGACCGGCTTAGGAATTTTTCAAAATCATAGAGAATGTAATGAAGAGGACAACAACACATGGCTCTGCGCCCACCTTTTCAACTCGACGATTCTTCTTGCCTTAACGTATGGGTCAGAAACCTGTTCGCTACGTAATTAGGATTAAAGACTACTCAGCGTTATAAAAGGGGCAGTCAAAAGAATGATGCTAGGAGTACGTCTAATCACGCAATTAAAAAAAAGGAAATCCCAAGCTCCCATCTACGTCAGCGATCAAAACTCAAAAACACCGCCCAATTCCTAAATGTTGAAAATAACGTTCACCAGACACGGAATGCGTATGAACGACAATCAATCAGCAAGATTCATCCGGAATGGCAAAGGAACATCAGGAAGACCACTGGCGCGATAGTCATAGATTTTAACGAAAGCCCAAGAAAAAACGTTTGCTACTCAATAAGTTCCTATGGAGAGCAGAACCCACTGGATTACTCTTGCACGCGACAAGGAGAAATGGAAGATTTACTGGCGCCCGCTGGAGTCATTCGGCGACGAACGGGGTGAAAGGTCACATGTAAGGTGATAGAATACAGGGAAGCATGTTGGGGAGTCGTCAAAGGTACTCTGCAATGCACACGTTGTCTTCGGTTTGATCCCGCGCCCCGGGTTCACCAAGCCATCCATCTCCCCGGAGTCGGCAAATTGGAATCAGGTTTGTCTGGGAGGATAACAGCACTGACCTGATATATCAGTAGACAACCGCAAGTCACTCTATGGTCCGGAAATTCATCCAGTCATTTCTAACGATACTTGATGAAGTTGAGTTCACGGTGCATCCCTCAGAAAGCGGTAAATTCGAGAGATTCATCTCTAGCTTTTATAGAAGAAATTAATGACATAATAGACTTAGAGTAAAGGCCTCTGTCTACCTCTAAAATGGTTTACATATTAGAACATTGAGTAGAATTGCACATTAATCTCTAACTCGTGGAGAGAAGTATAATGAAGAAGTTGCGGATGTAAAGTGTAACGTGGAACCTCTGCGTTATCCGTCGAAGAATCTGATCAAAATGAATCGAATAAGGTGAAAGAAATTTGTGGTGATGAAGTCTGCAGTGAGCGATCTAACAATTAACTGCCTCACTGCCACTGGGTCTTCGATTATGGTCAGTTTGATAGGGATCAACAATTTCGCTTCGATGCAAAAAAAACGGATATTTACGATTTATTTACGGCTAAATTTGTGGGTTGACTGCGGTCGAGAAAAGTAGCAGACAGGGCAGAAAGGTGTGTTGTGGGAACTAAAGCGTTAACGAAATGAAAACACCTATCATTTCTTGCATAAAGATGGGTATTGCTAGACTGTCACAAATGAGGAATTACTAAGGATCAAATCCTGCTAGCAGACCGGACACCCTGTACAAGAATAGACCCTAATCCAGTTTATCAATGGGAACTATTGCAGAATATCCAAGCCTAGGACATGTAAGCGTGTTGACGAGGCATGACCTGGCACGACATCTACTCTGTGGATCACAACATTTCTCGAATTACATCCACTTATCTCGCACTCACGGTCCTGAAAGCTGTTTCGAACATTAGGCACTTTATTTCAGGTGATTGAGGATATCGTTTTCTTCATGATTATCGTAGAATGCTGGTAGAGTCCATTCTATTTTCAATCTTGGAGATAGACAACTTAACGCGCTTTTACATGGATTGGGAAGAGCGATGGGCAAGTCCTGGAGACAGTGCTTTGATTCCTGATTAACTACATCACCAACTACTTCGCTAACCCCACCCCACTATGGGAATTTCTTTTCAGTATCGGTGTTCTTCACTGTAATTACCTTTGTAGGATTACATTGTTGACTGTGGACTTCGCGGAAACTTTTCTAACTGCACTTCTAAAGTGATCATCTCTCCTGGGAATTATAAGAGTTGGTACTGACTAATAGAGTTGACTTCTAATACTGGCTTGCACGTCTTGTTTTGTTTACCAAAAGGTTTATCGTCTTTGTCATTGTTAGTGTTTGGACTACTATTTTAGAAACTTGCTCTTTCGATGACGAATAGAGGAAACACAACGTAGGTTGTCTCTCCTGGCATTTAAAACAGAATGATTTAACGCAATGACAAGAGGCGTGTTCTACAGAAGCGGAAAAGCATAATTTGCTGCTTCGTAGATATTGTGGGCGTTTACACTATTCTGTATGCGTAAAAATTTAGATGTCTGTGACTGCCTTGAGAATACGTGCAAGGGGAAATCTGATTGCGTCTTTGGACCTAATTCATTAAACGTAACATCGTACTCTTGTATGTGGTGACTGGTTGAGTTTTGCGACGAGCACCTCGATGGTGCCTACTGCTTCACCCAGTTGATGTAAACCTTCATGAATGATTGGCTCTGTTATCTCTGCCTCACTGTATGAGATGTTGAGGATTTCTACCTTCTTTTTGACACGCTTTAGCATTGCCTTAAGCCTAGTGACTGACTGTGTAATTCGTCGTTTTGAGTCACCATTAGGCGAGGCATGGTAAAATATAAACAGTGAATTACAGTGGTAGTTAAAATTATGCAATCACGAAACAAGTTAGTGAATCCTTTCAAGTGCGCAATGAACCACATAGTCAATAGTTCGACTGTCTCATCGTGATACGTTCTGTCACGCAGGCCTTTCTGTTTTTGTAGTCAGATATTAAACTTCGGTAATTAAACCTTTACAACAACATTACCACATGAATAACGATATGGTTATAGTAAAAATAGAAATAAAAAGGAATAAAAAACTCAACGATAACATGGCCAACAAGGAAAGACTATACAAAGAAGTACAAGGAAAATGGCAATGACTGCTTAAATAACAGGAGAAAAAACTGCGATACTACACAGGGTTATCTATTAAGCATACAACACGAGGAAGAAAACAGAAAGCAACTGCCTTAATAGTCAATCCGACAAACTTTTAAGAAAATTAAGGCGAAGAATAGCCGCGATACCATAACGTTCAACTGTCTGCCATTCAAAAACATCCTTGATAGCAGTTAACTAAAAGGCAAGGTTAACAAAGAGTGGCAATTATTTGTGAGGCAATATTTTAAAAAATACTCTCCAGAAGCAAAAATATAAAGCATCGGGACCGTATGGCAAATTTTCTGCCCTCCGCATCCTGCTGCATTGTTTTTACAAGTTCAGTTTAATGACAATAAAAAATCTTGCTTATAAGAAATTCCAAAAGTTGGTTATAATACTCACCAATTCAACTTGATCCTGGAATAAAAGCTGCTGTGACAATCTACCTATCTCATCAATATTCCTGCCCGAATCCATTGAATCGTAATTACAAAGAAGCTCTTCCGGTACTTTCTGCCATGTACCGCCTTGCTTCACATTAAAATTGAACACCATAGCCTTAAAAACAACTACAGCAATATATATGATTAAAATCGTCTCAGTATACTAATTTCCACAATTTCTAAAAAATATCCAGTCGTAAAGTAGACCATTTTATAACAGAAGAATAAGAAAACGAGACTTCATAATAGGTTGCTGCAAAGTGAATAAGAATTGTGAACCGCAACGTAGAAAAACTATAAATCGGATGAATAACAACTTTGCTAATCAAACTATATCCCGTCAGAAAACCCACGTGTTTACCAAAAAGAAAAAACAAGTTTATAGATTCGATATCACGGAATTTTTTATTTTTGGAAGCCAATAGTGAAATTATTTGAAGGCGTTTTATGCAGTGGCTTGGACGTCGAAGATTTCTCCAGCCGGTAGCTGTTAAGATGCTTGAAAAAAAAACTATACGTGATTAGCAAGAGGTTCTGTGAACAAAGAGAGTGGGAAAATATTTCAAAGCTCAACTCGTTCAACTTCGGTAACGTTATTTGTGTAATTTGTGGTAGAACGTTGTGATGCAAGAACAAGGAACTTTTTTCCTAATTTTTGATATATACACTGCAATTCCATTAATTTCGTCTTCATTACAGAATGTCGTCTTATGTCTTACAGGACCAAAATTTCACTGTATACCACAAAATTTCAAGAATTGGATCGTTCTTATTGGTTATAAAGAGCTAAGAACAGATTTCAAGACGACGACATCGTTGTTACTACTTCAATGTGACACCCAATTACCGAGCTTTCAAGTCCTTCTTGTTCCTTGCAAATGATCCAAGTTGCTAAAAGACGAACGTGAGCTCTTCTGCAACACGTCAATTAGTGTTTAGAATTCTTTTTAAGATTCCGCTATTCACCTCAAAAGAATCAACGACTAAGAAAAGCCAAGGACTACCGTTGAAATAAGGGATCATATTTCTGGTGCGAAACGTTATAAACCATCTTTGCACTATGCAGTTGGAAACCCATTCCTGGCTTATGCTTTGATGAAGCTTCGAATTTCCACTGTTTCTTTATGTCGAAGTTTTACCTCATGAAGGAAACGATGCGAATTTCATGAGTTGAGAACCAACTTAAAATAACTATGTATCAAATGGTAGAAAAAGTACTAAACGTTTAAGAAAGAATTGGCTTGAAACTGGTAAAAGAACTAATCTCAGCAATGGATATTTACAACAAAAAGTCTCGTATAATTCGTAAGAAAATAAACAACCATAGTTCAACCGGCCTGACAAAAACGATGTGACGACTTCCGTCACACTTCAAACAAATCACATACCATGTTCTGGTTCCTACCAAAGAATATAGGCGTCACCATCCGTTCAGACGCACTAGTGAAGGCATGATGCAATTTAGGATTCTCCTGAAAATTAAGAATATGATCTATACACAAATCAAGAAGAAATAATATCTGAATTATTCGAGGCTTAAATGCACACTGACTTCGTTAATTTTCCTCATCTACCACTAGACGCCATAATTTGCACAATAACTTAATAGAAAACACATTAAAAGCGTGAGACTTCTCTACCGGAGCCCTTGTGAAACCTCACAATGAAGTCAATGGACTTCCTCAGTTCTTTAAAATCGATGGATAGTATCTTTTGATTATAACCACTGCTCAAAGAGAGCTCTCTTCAGCAGTAATCGAACGCTCAACATATTTTCTATTCGGTTCTTCACCACGCCACCATCGCCTGTGCTCGTAATCTCTCCTATGCACGAGTGATATTTATATACCACTGCGCTCATTTCATGCACTTTAGTGCCGTGCTACTGAAATATGATATAAAACGTTTTTTGGCGCATTTTAAAAACCAGGATTTCAGACGTGGAAACAGCAAGTTCGCTAAATCCACTTCCTCGAATTCAATCTCAGACGTAGGCAGTGCATCCCTCAAGGATGCGCCATGCATTACTTCAGTAAGCATCGCTCGAGGACACCTAATGCATATCTGGCCTTTACAATGACTCGCGGTAGCTCACCGATGTATCGAGCCAGTGCTGCTATCCTCCCAGACAAGTTTGCTAACAATTTGCCCACTCCGGGTTGATAGAAGGCTTGCCGGGCTACGGGCGCCGCGAGAATCGATCCTATCTGTATTGCAGCGCGCCTCCGACTACTGCGCCACAAGTGCCATTTAGAAAATACTAGTCTACAAATCGCTGCCTGTAACATACAAGTTCCCTTCTTTTACCATAATAAAAATAAGATTTTCTGGATCTCATGAAGCTTATTTTCCGTTTTTCTCTCCCTCGAGGCTCGCATGCGGAACATTGAAAATATCGAAGACTGGAACCTTCGTAAACATGGCACGATGGTATTCCCAATGAATCGTCTGTGTTTGCAGATGCTACTCTTCCGTTAAAAATTTGAAATCGTTAGGTTTCGTAAACGGTTTTTCGGAAGCTCCAACTTTAAACATATTCAAATTTGAAAGGATACCATAAAAAAACATACGTGCTATTGATGTAATAGAGCAAACCCTTTTCTACAAATCCATAAAATTGTGAACTCTGAAATACTCCAATGATCAAAAATTTTATCGCTTATTGTCGAAAAATCAGCTTCGTCTCGAAAGTGTTCTTCATTTATTTATTTCCTTACTTCTTAAGAACAAATCCGGTTCTGAGAAAGGCGAAAGCGCTAGCATCCGTGTCGAATAAAGTTTTACCAACATTATGTCAGCTTATCAGCTGATGAGGAGGGAGGAAACTGATAGCACAGTGGTAATGATGCCCGCCATCACGAGCACGGCGCTAGTTCGATTCTGTCTCAGGCCAGCTAAGCGTCTCATCCCTCTGAGCTCGGGAAATTCGTACCGGACTTATCTGGGAAAAAAATCACTCTCTTCAATTGAACTAGGAACACTTCAGCCCGACCATCTCAGGACTCCAGGAGGAATTGCTCAACGACCATTTTACGACATTCGAGATGAAATAAAAATCTTCAAGCAGCAACCGAATCCACACGTAAAAGTTGGAAGATCTTCGTAGACAATGGATGTGAGCAAATGAACCGAATGTTAGAAATGCCGGGACATGCACAGCAAACGTGAAAACGGATCACATAAAATTGAAAAAAAAATATGTCGGCTTATGAACGAATAATTACACAATGATCCATATTTTAACAAAACCAAATAATGCTGATACATCTGAGAAACTCCGGACGGCTGGTGTCTGGGTGGAGATCGAACACACTGTTACTCTTTCCGGAGCTCACGCGTTCACCACCACGCCACGCGCGTCCGTTTTGTCTTTTTCTCTACTCTTTCATTTTCAATCTACCAGTGCCATCAGCAACCACATCCGTTGCCTTAGCCTACGGTAAGGGTAATAGCGTGTACGATCCACACCAAAGACATTTGCTGTCTGGAGTTTTGCAAATATCTCAGCATCATTGTGATTGATTTCCCATTATGCCCTGCAGTGAAAATTGTAGTAAGTCGTAAATAAGAAGTTAACCTTAACCGTTTTATTTACTGCCTACACTTTTTTAATGGCAGGGTATATTGCGAAATATAACTTCAATGAAGTTGAGATATTGGCAAAACTCCGGACCGCAGGTGTCTGCGGTGGGGAACGAACACGCTATTGTCCTTTCCGGGGAATAACGCGTTCACACACACCATGCGCGTCCTTCGTTTCGCCTGTTTCTCAGCTGGTTCTATCGATATTTTGCCATATTTTATCGATATATTTTGATATTTTGCCAGTAATCTCAACTTCATTGAAAAAAGTTAACATTGTGATTTCAACTCAACATAGCTTACAAAGATAACTATAATACTTATGAATTTAACGTTAACTGCAGAAACGTACAGCATCAGTCGATGTACCGCGCTGACTTGAAGATGTTCCTTGAGAGTTATGCCCAACATCCAAGCTTTCCGAACTAACAAGTAGCGCATCAACCTGAACCAGTCCTTAAAAGATATAAATTTCGCCTTTAAACCTAATTCAGCGTATAGATGAGTTAATGAGTTTCTTCTCTTTCATTCTATACTCTTGGGAAGACAAAGAACTAACAAATGCTTGGTTGTACGAATACAATTTTGAGTGGTATAAGGAAACATTTTAGGCGTCACATTCATGGAGAAATCATTCCTAAGAGCAATCAAGAAGAAACAAATGCGAATGAAACCTGCGCCTTGCCTTTCTGACTTCTCGTTTAATTACATCCGCTATGTTGCCTGCTTTCCCAGATTCAATAAACTGAACGATTTGCAAATTCAGAAGTGTGTTGAACGCTTCAGCGTTGTCCACCTGAACATCAGTCCTGTTAATAAGGAAAAGCCAATAATTGAAGAAAAACCAGCACCTTCGTTCTTATGCCAGTGAATGGTGCGACGCGGTAATAACTAGGAAGCAGAACAGAAACCTAGGTCAAACATACATGTAGGAATGAAAGGAACGTTTTAAATGTGTGATTCAGATAGTAAAATTGTATTGCACGTTTGTTTTTACTTATTTTCTCCGCATTTTGTAGACCGTTTCATAGATATTCACCAGACTCAAGTGAGATAGAGTAAAGTCACAACAATGGTGAGATAATAGCAAAACTTGGACCCAGGGCCAAACCTCAGAAGTTTTGCGAATATCTTAGCATCGTTATGGCAGTTTTTCACATCATATTGCTCAGTGAAAAATTATAGTAGGAGGCAAATAATAGGTAAAATAGAGAACAATGTTGGAAGTGTATCACAGACAGTGTTAAACCCACCTTGTGTCCACGCAACAGAAATTGCACCACGCATTTAAAAATAGGTTTCAAGGAGAGTACTTTGCAGGAAGTCCAGGAAACCGTCGCAGTGTCCTTTATATTTCCCCAATAAGGGGAATACGTATTGTCGAAGCATCCACAAACTGCACATCCATCTACAATCGCAAATGCTGAAGTACCACCCCAGAAGCAAATACTACTATAACTTATAACTCAGCTGAAAGTTACACATTCATACCGTATCGTCACATGGAAGAAGGACGTAACCACTTACTGGTGGACTTCCAAAGAAAAACTGGGGCGAATGAGTTTTGAATAGACGAAATTTTGGATGTCAGTTAAAACTTGCCTAATCCGGATAGCCCATTCAAATATTAAAACATGACAGTTCCATGTGCAGTTTTCTGATAGCAAATATGATATGTAAAAATCAAAGCAAACAACGGAAATCATACTCACCAATGATGACAGGCCTCAACAGCCTAGTCGGACTCCTCATAGAAAGAAGTGGGGGGCAATGAAGCAGATTCACAGACACAGAAAATGCCCCTGAATAAAAAAAGCTTTGGTGTCTATATATATGTATATACATATATACACATATATACATATACATGTATGCATGGACATGTATACATATACATGTGCATATATATATATATATATATATATATGTATATACATATATATATATGAACAGAGAAACTCTACAATGGACTTTAGTAACAATACCAGACGAAAACGAGGTCGATGCGAAGAATGTCCGAACTCTATTGTGAAGAAGATCATCCAGGTGCTGATGATCATCCTGCGGCCGCACCTCGCAGCTTTCCTTCAAACCATCGAAATAACACAGAACATTAAAGCTATGATGTAAACATTAATAAGTTATTCAATGTGATTACACAGGTGCAGTGTCACCTAGCAAAGCTTAATTCCGATGATATAATGAAAGAAGAAGAAATGCCAACAAAAACAAACCATGCCAGCATCCAGATCTGCTTGGACGAATTTGTTAATGAGAACAGAAGAGGCGCAAGCTGCGGGGAAATGATTTTCATTGGGCTATAAAAACGTTAAAAACGTTGACTTTATGACGTTAACAATGCATGCTCTAATATTCTTCGGCAAGGCTGTAACACTTTCACGTCACATGTCTTTTAGAAAGATCAAGTACTGAAGAAAAATAAAGTTGTGGAAGGTCATTAACAAAGAGGAAAAACTACACTGCAATGAATCCAGTAATAAAGGAAACTTCGAGATACTAAGCCAAACACTTCAGTAATATCAGTGAACTAAGCATAATGGATAAAAAAAAGACAAAGCTTTTAGCGTTGATCCGTCCTTCAGGGATGCGGCATGCATTCGACTTCATTAAGCATCGTTGGTGAATGAATGCATATCTGGCCTTTACAATAACTCGCGGTGGCCTACCGATAAGTCGAGCCAGTGCTGTTATCCTCCCAGACAAGTCTGGTACCAGTTTGCAGACCCCGGAGGGATGGAGGACTTGGTGAGCCCACGACACCGCAATCGATCCCATGTGTATTGCAAAGCGCTTCCGACCACTGCGCTACACGCGCCCATGAATGAGAGTTTGAACTCTCCCAGACTGAAAGGCTGAAAATATGTGTAACCGAAAAACTTTACAGTCTGCACCCACCTCGGCTCCATCTTCTGAGTCGGACAAAAGCTCCCACAGTTTTTCAAAATTATCAGTATCCATAGAACACCAACGATGAGTGTCTTGCCGGATGCTATGTTCTTTAAATAAAATCCAACTAAAACGAAGCACACATAATAAAAACCTACACAGTGTTATTCCCTGACAAACACCAAAATAACACATGCTACCCACTGGCTATGAAGCAACGAAACCACTGAGTCGCATTCATTTATGAGGTCTAGAGAGACCTGTAGCATTGGACATGGTTTTCACCAATGTAGTATTACGCAAGGGACACAGAAATTGCTATCAGACATTTCTAGGGCGAGTTGGGAACGTCTTAGCAGGGCTACCGAAAGAACCACAGAGAATCGAGCAAACTACCATTCAAAGACGTCCATAAAGAAGAAAACTCTCAGAAAGAAAGCAAAACGTCATATTAACCAGTTCTCTATGGATGAGTGATGCGTGGAAACGAATCGAATGAAAGATGTACTGGGATCCATACAATATGTGGCGGTATATGATGTGAAACAAACACACTATATAAACATATATCTACATACATATGCATATATATACATACGTATATATACGTATATGTATGCGTATATATCCCAATGATTTACCGCTTCATCGTGGGTGCGCGGTGTTTCTGGATGTTGGACTATTACGTACAGCCAGCGGATCCATCCGCCAGCAGGATCTCCCAAACTGGGGAGTGGGCGTTACCATCAGGAAGCCTAGCTAAGAGTAAACCAACACCAGAATCCACCACCACCCTGCTATCAAAGTCGTCTTGTGGCAAATCTCCCTCTCATCCACAAGAGCGGCGACTTCCTGTAGTGGTAAAGACCTGGGCAGACTTTGACTAGGCTGACCTCGAGATCCCAAGAAACCACAACGACTAAACCAACAAAACTCCGAAAATGAGGATTATACTGGGGCCCGCACAAAAAGTGAGGACGGGCTGTCCAAGTATCCAAGTAAGTTTTGTCGGTTGTTCCAGGATTAAGTGAAGATGAGATTTTTGTCAACCATCGCATCCAATGGTTACAATCACGATATTCCGTAGAGGATTTCCCAGAGAAAACTCTACTACACTACAGAACAGAAAGCCTTAACGCCCACCTACTACTACCTACGTACAAATAAATGCTTGAGTTAACACAGTATACACTTGAAAATTCAACGGCTCCTAAATTTTTAGATATATTGTGGTCATAACCTCACCATACCACTTTTGTTAAAATACCTCCGAGCTGATGCACAAACCAAAGCTACTTAGACTCCCGCCGTATTAAACTTAAGGAACTGCGTGTTATGTTGGTAATAATCGGCAAAACAATAACTATAAATGTGCGGACAAAACACAGAACTCAGTACGGTGTCGGTAACCCTACTGACCTGTAACCAGTAATATCAATGTTTCAAAATAGTCAAGTCAAAAGCAATTGATGAATTTCATTATGAAACACTGCAGCACATTGGTGTTACTGACATCCCAAGTTCTCTCACGAAGAATTCACCACAAGAATGCTTTATCATATTATTCAAAAGGAAAAGGAAAAACATCAACATTCTTGAAAACAGTAACGATTGGTAAGTCACAACGAACACCACTGTAGAAAAATCGATAGCAGAAATTGTGAAACGTTTTCTTCAGGTTCACTGCCGGAAATTACAAATAGACCAAATTTAAGCATGAAAAATTAACAATAACAACGGAATCCGACTATGAATCGGAATCTTGGTCGACTCCTCCGACAAATAAAACATTGTTGCACCTAAAAAGAATTCGAAACAATTGTCAGGATCTCTAATATTCAACCTATTTGATGGTCAAGTAGCCCTACGATGAAGAACAAGGGAAAAAGGGAAAAAGCACTAGGGAAAAAGCATTTAAAAAATTCCGCCTCAGCAACAGTTTTCTTTCAGAACAAACACTGATCCAAGGATCTTGAAATTTATACAAAGAAATAACAGAAAAACTTTTCAGTATTGAATCTAAAGTCAGTCATTGATGAAACTTTGTGCAAAGATGAATGATAGAGGATAGAGCTCTCAGCGCTAATCCCTGAGGGATGCACCAAGCATTCGACTTCATTTAGCATCGTTTGGAGGTGATTGAATGCATATCTGGCCTTCGTAATGCCTCGCGGTGCCCCATCGATGTAACGAGTCAATGCTGCTACCTTCCCAGACAAATCTGATACCAATTTCCCGACCACGGAGAGATGAAAGGCTTGGTTTGCCGAGCACGCGGGAATCGATCCTATGTTTATTTCAAGGCGCCTCTGACCACTGCGCCACACGGGTACAAAGTAGATAATTGATTAAACTAAAAGTATAGTAAGACAAATCAAGATAATCTATAAGAGCACTGCGTTGAGTGAAGACCAATTAAGAAGGATGTGTGCACCGCAGTGGTCGGAGACACTCTGCAATACACATTGGATCGATCTCCGTGTCCCAGGCCAACCAAGCTATTCATCTCTCCGGGGACGGGAAAATTGGTAACAGACTTGTTTGGGAGGACAGCAGCACTGGCTCGATATAACAGTAGGTCAGCACGAGGCCAAACATGCGTTCAATCACCCCCAGCGATGCTTAATGAAGTCGAATTCATGGCGAATCTCTCAAGGTTTGATTCATGCCAAAAGCTTTATTCTTTTTATAAGACTAGAGAGACAAGTCCGACAGGTAACATCGTATCTATAGGTCGAAAAAACGAACCTGATCAGAATCTCGCCCAGATTTCCTGTGTTGTTGCCATCGATGTACTCCTCTGCATTTGCCATTTGCAGATTCATGTATCCGTCGACGGCCACCAGAATCCCTGCAATGTTACGTGGTAATTTAAGCCGATAAAAACACCTGGTAAGCACAGTCAAAACCTTGAATATTACCTTTGTATTCCATACCCCACTTCAATCTACACACAATCGGTTTCCCCGTCAAACTATTCAGAAAAGGTTTAGGGTTGACTGGCTGCAGAGTAGACATGACTGAAAGAAAACATGCTGTGAAGGAAAGCAACAAGTGGCCATCTGGCGGACTGAAAGGAAGGATCGCTAAACCACAAAACGTTGATGAAGACCAAGGCTTAACAACTACAGATGGTGACGATATGGAACACCTTAGTGCTACGCAAACAAATAACCCTACTTCATGAAAAAATCGACTAGACCATTGACTCGGATCATCGGCTCTGATGAAGACGAAACAGTTGAAACGTTAGTTGATGAAGGATTATCTATCAACCTCGCGTAAGCTTATCAAGGAAAGAATACATATTGAATAGTCATACCCAGCTCAAAGAAAAGTCGGTTTTGAAACAACCGCACCCTTTTTGATGTCAATTTTCTCATTTCAAAAGTAATTGATTGTTTTGGTGCTGAGGTTAAATTACGGTTCGTCTGAAAACTGTTTTTCTCAGTTCCCTAGATATAAATCGCTAATGAAACCACTCAATTACAGCAAGAGATCTTAACAATATACTACACCAAAATGAAAAAAAACTGTTAATTTCAGCATAGCCCAAAAAGTGGCCGAAGAAATCCGCATCGAAGTGGTTGACACATACTAGACGACAAAGAATTAAGTTGAATCAGCTGTACAAAAGCATTCCTGCAACGGTTACGAAGACAAAACAGTGGAACGCGGAAAAACACCATCTGGGTCACCAGCTTAAGGGGTAATTTCGCCGAGAAGCAAAACCTCTCGAAGAGTAGTCCTGCCCAGAAACGGAAATAAGATCACGGAGCTTCGAAGTAACCTAACTATCCAACCCGAGCGAAGCACATTCACTGACAAGCCGCGGATATCCCCTCGTTTCGAATTATTCCGCAACGTTCATTGCGACTACGAACTTTTGCACAACAAACAAATGAACACAGTAACCCAATGCATGAACATTATTTGGATAAATTTATTACTAGTCCTCACTAGCTGTGCGGGCCTCAGGATAATTTCCATTTTTTCGGAGTTTTGCTGGTTTAGTTATTGTGGATTCCTGGATTCGCTAGGTCAACTATGCCAAAGTCTTCCCCAGGTCGTACCCACCGCAGGCAGTCGCCGCGCTTGTGGATCAGGGGGAGATTTGCTGCAATGCTACTAGTTTGATATCAGGACGGTGGTGTATACTGATATTGCTTTGCTCATAGCTAGGCTTTCTAATAGAAACGCCGGACTCAGCTTGGGAGACCCTCTGGGTTGATGAGTCCCTCTCTGTACTTCGCAGCCCGACACCCAGGGACACCTCCCACAACCACGGTGAGGCGGTAAACCGTTTGGAGGACGCATAAGCATTTGATTTCAAAAATGCAGAAATACCGAACGTAGCCAAGTTTCTGAGCTTTGGATTTCCTGAATATTTCATTGAAGAAATCAGCGCAGCTCTTTTAATGATGCATATCTCAATTTAGAATGAAAAAAAGATTGGACGGACCAAACCTATCTATTAGGAGACACCGCTCACATGACTCATACTTGGCCGAAAATATTCTAGTCCTTTTTCTTCAACACACGATGACCGGATACACGTTGATCCCCAAATAAGTATCGGCCTGTCGATTCACAGATCTTCACTGTGAGGATTCCTCTTCGGATTGGTCATCGGGCTACGTGGTGGTACCCCGGGGATGAATATGTGGTGCTAATGGTGAGAAAACGGTCTTCCACTTGTCCTAAATGCAGACAAGCTCACGGGTGAAGTTTCCACTTTTGCTATGGTGAATTGATATCTGCTTTCTATGTGTATGTACACATCTTTGTGCATCGCCGAGTGCACATGTTCACGTACACGCAGATTGCACCCTGCACGCCACACCATCAGAAACCTATATTATAAGGGCTAAGAAATACATGGGAGTTCGCAAAGAGTTGCATCCAAGAAATGTGCTCTTCGTCCACTCTGAGAGAATGACCGCCGAGCCGCCTGTCCAAAAACGATGGAAATGATTGATCTCATTCGACTGACCCAGAAAGACCTCACGATGAAGTAGCAATGCGAAATCAAACTGACTATGTTGACGATTTATACTAGAAGCTTATCCACGCCGTCATTTGAATCTATCCACTAAGTGCTTGGCGATGCAGGCTAAGAAAGTTTTGCATGAGGTTGTGGAACTAGCCGAGACGAACAGACCAACCAATAGTTTACTTGGATACATGGATGACCCGCTTTCACTGCTTGTGCGGACCCCAGCATAATTTCCACTTGTCGGAAGTTTGCTGGTTTAGCTATTGTGGTTCCCTGTAGTTTCGAGGTCAGTATAAAGAACATTCTTCACGAATATTGGAATGTTCTCTATGTAAAACAATTATAACCTTATGCCTTCTACAACGCCTGTCTATTTGTAATCGTCATACATCTATTCTTGCACATTCGGTAAATCATCTCTTAGCAACCATTTAATGCAATTGCCTCGCAGGTGGCTGAAAAGGGAATCAGCAGCAGTCAGCTGAATGTACTTTTCAGCATCTGTCGTTCCAAAAAAGTCTCCGAACAGACACCTGCACCCTTCCACATGCAGCCCTATCAAATTGTGCTAATAGAAAAACCTTTAGAACCCCTCTCTGGACGCCGTCTTTAGTTCTCTCTGGCGAAGCTCCACCCACTACAGATGTAATACAGGCAGCCCATAGGACTGGTCCTGAAGTGTTAGCCGCGTTCGACCGGTCTGCTTCCGGTCCCTCAATTCCTCAGTGCTCCAACACCAGTGTCCGCGTTAATTCCTTCAAGTGTATCACTTGTTATCATTTCAATCCCGCTCTTATCCACTCAGCTTACATATCGCCAAATATCACACATTATCGTATCACTATTGCATTAATTACACAGTTGTACTGTTATGCCAATCTCTTCACTCATAAGCAACCTGAACACCAGTGATCAGGCTGCGCCTACTCATAACCCGTATCATTGTTGCATTATCTGTAGAGTTGTATTGTTATGATTGTTGTATAATTATGATAAACGGTTTAATTACCCAAGTTTGAGCTGTCCGGCATTGTGACTGCTAATCACAAGAAGTCCCGCATGGCGTACACAAAGGCGAGCAGCTAATTCTGACCGAATTGTCCTAACTACTTGGTATTCCTATATCAACGAGCCGTTCCAACAGTTAGTCTAGTTAAAGTCTGCCCCAGGTCATCATCACCACAAGCAGTTCGACCAACCATTAAACATTACGCTGTTCATGAAACTGTGCTTAAACTGCTCATTAGACCTGGTAAAAGAATAAATTTGGTCATTGTCCTCGTAACTGTGAGCCTGACCATGAACATGGATTCCTTTTTGCCCGTCTACGAACGAACATCGCGTTAAACAACGATGAAGTTGAAGCGCTCCATTTGGACATGGAAGAGCACTACATAGCATACCATCACTTCCATCACGTAAGGTCATCATTCGTTGCTCAAATGCCAAAATTGGCTCAAAGAAATGTCTGAAGAAAAGCACGCCGAGATCTGTGGGTTAGAGTGGGGTGAACAAGGTAAGCCACAACTTGAATTTATCACGGTGACCATAGCCTTCATTTGTGGAAACTCACAGCGCCGTAAATTCATTTCAACATTGAGCATGTGAGTCTCCCAATGGAAAATACTGCAGTGAATGTGATACAATACCACATCATAGTTAATCGAGTGTTTTCACCTAACCAATGTCGTTGTAGTCCCAAAATTTTACACGGGATTGGACCATTGTCTCGTTCGCACAAGATTGCTTTATTTTAATAAAGCGGAAAAAGCTGAAAAATTCATGGAACGAGATCTCAAATCCATTGTAAAGTCACAATGGATGAGGAATACCACTAAATTATCAACGTCTTCAAGTCAGTGTTAAAGGTGGGAGTTTGGCGGATGTCAAAAACAACTCTTTCCTGGAACATGTGGACAAATATGCCAACGATTGCACGATCTGCAGGCAGTCATTAACTTGCAACCGATCTTATGCATAAATACATATAGGATAAAGCTATAAAAATGAATATTAAGATAAGAAGTACTGGCAGAAGGTAAAAGGATAAAAGGTGAAGCTCTTGGCGTTGATTATTCCCTGAAGGATGCGCCATGCATTCGACTTCATTAAGCATCGTTTGGAGGTGATTGAATGTATATCTGGCTTTTACAATGACTTACAGTGGCCTACCGATGTATCGAGCCAATGCTCCTATCCTCGCAGATAAGTCTGGTACCAATTTGCCGACCCCGGAGAGATGGAATGCTTGCTAGGTCATTGGCCCGGGGATCAATTCCACGTGTGTCGCAGGGCTCCTCCGACCACTGCGCCACGCGCTGCCCAAGAGTAAAAGAAGGTAGAAGAGTTGAAATAAATAGCAATGGTCGCTGAGATTTCAGTCCACAAGGCCAAGAATACTACTTTCTGACGCTACGCTTAGACGGGGCAGTGCTTTCGGAATGGTAAAGGAGAAAACCATCTTTCCCTTTAGTCTCTCAAATAGTCAGGTCCTTTTGCCTCCATATCAGATAGAGGGTGGATATAGTATCCCAATAGTTCTTTATAGCGAAGCCCGAAATGCTAGTTTGTCGGCTAGAGACGAGCACTTGAATAATCTACTTCCACTCCTCATCGATACAATCCCTCGGCTTTCCTCATTATATCTCTCCAAATGGAATGTTCTAGCGAACGGAGGACCATATTGTTACAAAATTCTAGTCAGTGAAAGGCGGTGTCGTTGAATACGAAAAGAGACACACCCAACACTCTCGAACAGATGAGAAAACCGGTCAACTCTGCACAATCAGAGCTTCCTTCATCTACACACGAAGATGCTCCGTAAGTCAGCGATTACTCAACGACAGGAACTTCATCATTCCACAGTCAGATCATTATCAGCGTCAAAATCTCCAATGATTACTTGAAAGTATGTATGGTCTTCTCTATAGGATTTCCTCAAATCCATATAGAACTCTCCGACTTCGCATTTGTCATAGATTGATGTCGGCGCATAAGCGAAGAAGATTGTCAAAGCCGGTATTGATCCAAATTTCTTCAATCTAGACGTCCGATCCCGTTCGTTAGTTTTCCGAATGAATCCATGTTCATAGCCTAACTCGTGTTGACGAGATCGCCGACGCCCCCGACTTCTCTACTGTCGCATGTTCCGAGTAGTAGTTCTTCTCCGGTGTCATAGGCGGCGTCGAATAGGTGGTGCCTTCTCGTCTCGGCCAGTTGGATAACGTCGTACCTTAGCCTTCTTGCCTGCATGATCAAGACTCAGATGCAAATGGGCGTGTATTGTAAGTACAGATCGTCGATAGATTTAGACAGCCTGGAATGGTCCTGAGATATTAGCAGCCTCTCCGTACTCGTCTTACCTAGCCTGCCATATCGGGGCCCTTGCAGCGTTAAAGAAATGAGGCCGGCCCGTCTATTTCACAGTGTTTAGCGTTCGATGTCCCCGTATATCTTGCTGAGCTCTGAATGTGGGCGCAGGGTATACTCATCCTGTAGCTTGCCAGTAACTCCCAGAGTAAACGGAAAACTTATTCGTTGGACGCAACTCTTAAACGCCACCCCACTTCCTTCCTATACGTTCCTGTTACTTGATTGCATGTTTTGGCCGAAGTGTATCGTAGAATACAATCCGCATAAACGAGAACACACCCATGAACTCATGCATGAATAACACAGCTCTGTAAACACAGAAGGTATGTGCCAAATCAGCGCAGCAGAAACGTCCATCACTTGGATCCACTTCGATCTCAGAGAAACATGAGGTAGTTTTTGGTCCACGATTAAAACCCTGCCGCCACCTGACGACGCGCCGCGTTGCCTCGCTACTAATCGGCAGGAGGTCCTTCTATGAGAGAGTTTCGTTGTGTTAGGTTATCGATAAAAATATCGGCAGTTATCGAGAGGATAATTTTGCTGCGAATGAATTAGATTGTTTACACTGGAACGGTTATCTTTTGTCAAATGTTTTGAAGAAATAGTGAACATCACTCACATTTATTCGATTTAAATTAAACATAGTCAATACATAAACGACTTTTTCGCATTATTTCAATATGTTGTAGTTTTGCTAGGATTGTGGGGCATGAGTATCGTCCTTCGTCTTAGGAGGTGGGACCTGAATGACAGGCTTTCTAGGGTGAAGAACTGAAGACAGTGAAACCTTTGTAGGACGTTTACCTTAACAATTAGACTGGTTTGTAAGTCATCGTAATAAGTATGTTCAATAGTTTTTTCATTGAAATGCGTGCTTCTTTTCTTAACAGCATCATCGGCTTTTGAGGCTTTTTTCCTGAAAATTTCTAACCTTGGTTAATAGTTCTTCTCTCATGCGATGAAGTATTGAACTATACGTCTACACTTTCCTGATAAGGGAATCGTTGAAAATAAAGTAAATCTACTGTCCACTATTTCTTAGAAAGGTATAATAGCAAACCATTTATATTCCTATGTCCTATAACAAGGGGAGCGTGTAGCGCAGTGGTCGGAGGCGCCCTGCAACACACACACGGAATCGGTCCCCGTACCCTGCCCAACCAGGCATATCATCCATTCGGAGTCGGCAGATTGGTACCACACTTCTCTGGGAGGATAGCAGCACTGGCTTGATACATCGGTAGGCCACCGCGAGTCATTGCAGAGGCCAGATATGTATTCAACCACCTCCAAACGATGCTTAATGAAGTCGAATGCATGGCGCATTCCCTCATGGATCCCTCAGGGATTGATCAATGCCGAGAGCTTTATCCTTTATCTTTATGCCCTGACCTGTAGTATTTTAAGTACAAACTCTTACAAGAAAAATTCTTAACAAGAGCAAAAAAGGTTGGGGATACCACCAACTTTTCCTTACGCTCTTTCTCCGTTTTTGGAGTTTTGTAGACCGGATTCGGATCTTTTTCTTTTAATGCAGCCAATCCTTTTTCAGCCCACAGTTTTGTTTCAGGCGGGAGTGGTAAGTCCTTTAATTCAGGAGGTCCAATAGCGGCCTGAAGTACACCACCTGATCGATCTACCATTTCTTAGTTTGAAACAATTACGAACAACAGAAAATACTGCATTTATAAGGCTTGTATCTGCCAAGCATGGATAGAATTTTGATCAACCACTAAGATCCAAGTGAAAAATGATCTCTTCTCCGAAAACAACCGTAATTCCTCAATACGTAATGCAGGCGCTGAGTTTTAAGGAGACGAACATATTCATGGATATAGCTCGGATCTCTTCGATGGCCATGTCCACCTGCCTTCATACGGAATAAAGGAGGATGAATTTGTCGCATCACCGGTTCCCTCTTCCGAAATCCAGCGCGCTATTTCGTCTGTGAAAAGTGCAACTACACTAGGTCCCGATAGAACAAGATCTGAACAACCTTCCGCCGGTCCACATCGAAACATTTGCCTCACTGTTCATTTGTTTCTCGCCAAAATGAAAGGTTCTTATTTAATAGAAGACCAGCAAGACTGTGTTATTGTTCAGGAAGTGTGACTTACACTATACTAGCAACAATTGCACAGTCTGCTTCTTGTCTGTCGTCTATAAATTTTTCACTTAAGTCGTCCTAAACAATATTAACAGAACACTGAACGAAGGACAGCCATGTGAGCAAGCAGGGTTTCGAGAATTATTTGGTACGAGGGATCACATCTACACGATAAGAAGACTCACTGGGTATTTCGAGAGCACAAGAGACCACTCTGCATCACTTTCATTGATTTACAGAAGGCCTTTGATTCAGTTGAGATGGAAGCAGTCTTGGAAGCCCTTGATAGTCAAGGAGTCTCTACTCAGTACGTAAAGATTCTTCGTGAGCTGTACAAAAATTTCACAACCAAGATTTCACCATTCTACGATATTAACATTGATGTCAAAACAGGAGTTAGGCAAGGCGATACCATCTCGCCAAAATTATTTACCGCCACCCTCCAGAACGTCATGCGAACATTGAAATGGGACAACATGGGAGTGCAAATCGATGGTCGGCAGATACATCACCTTCATTTTGCTAATGACGTCGTCCTTATAACACTAAACATTAGCCAAGCGGAACGTATGCTTGCCGACTTTGATAAAGCCTGTGGAAAGACTGGTCTTCGGCTAGATCTCACAAAAACGATGTTCATGGAGAACGGATCGGTTTCGCATGCCCCATTCACGCTCAACGGAACGAATATCTCCGAATGCTCCAGTTATGCCTATCTAGGTCGGGAAATCAATATGATGAACGACCTAGCTCCAGAGCTGAGCAGAAGGATATGAGCGGCTTGGGGAACTTTCAAGAGCATCGAAGATGTAGTGAAGAGAACAAAGAACACCCGACTTCATCCCAACCTTTTCTACTCAACGATACTTCTTGCCTTAACGTATGCGCCAGAAACATGTTCGCTGCATAAGCAGGATGAAAGATTATTGAACGCGCAGTCGAAAAGATGCTATGAGTATCCCGCTTCACATAAGTGAAGGAAGAGCTCCGAACTTCTGACCTAGGCCAACGATGAAAAATCAAAGATGCCGTTTTATACACCAAACCGTCGAAGATAAGGTGGGCCCGACTTCTAATGCGTATGAACGACAACCAATGGACAAGAACCGTGAGTGCCTAGATTGCTTTGAATGTCAAACGTACTGCATGAGGATCACCGACCCAGTGGTCAGAGTTCTTCACGAAAACCCTGAAAGAAAGATATGATGCTCAACGAATCGCTAGAGCGATAAGAACTCACTGGGCTAATCTTGCGCGACAGAGAGAAATGGAGGATTTGCTGATGATCATTCTAGTCACTCAACAATCAACGGAGAGGGGGCTGATACAAGTGATACAGGTAATTTTGTGAGCGAAATAATATGACAAGAATCGCACTCTAGGAATTAGAGAATTTAATGAGATACGCTTAAGCATTGTACCTGAAAACAGACTACTGCTCACAAGTGAGACAAGAGGAGTGACAGTCACTGCCAAGCGCTAAATCGCAGTTGAGTTTTCAGATTCGCAAAAAAAGAAACTTACTGCGATTTTTGCTCGAAGAACGTTGCGAAGCATGTCATTGGCGGGAGCCTCAACTAATAGACGCGCTTGGCCATTTTGCTCAAAAATTTTGACCAACACGTCGGTTAACTGAAATCTGATCCATTCATTGAACTAGGAATGATATCGCCACTCCACTTTCACTTATGCAGGAAATTTTCACTTTGTAAAAAACAGAAAAAGAATAACCTGTGGAGTTTAGTTGTCGTACCTGGGTTATAGATGTTATTAACTCTCCTTCCACATCAACAATGCATTCGCCGATAAGTAGTGACATTCCTGCTATGCTGTCTGGCACGATGTTCGCTACATAGACCTGAAATATCAACAGGAACATTGGTCTTTATAATTGCTGGAATATGAAGCGTTGGAATAAACTGATTGGCTAAGGACTTGTCAGTCCACCTGTCCTCTCTGTTCAAGCCGAAACTTAACACTTTTTTAACGGCCTGCAGAACAGTACCATCACCGATATCACATTGTTCATCTACATTTGTGAGCAACAAATGCCTCAGTAAAAGAGTGAAGCACATTTCCTTGTTTTTTGTTCAATAGTAAAACCGTCTAGAACGAGAGATTTTCTTACAACATGCGATCAAATGTGTGAAAGAGTCAAGGTTCTTGGCGTTGATCAATCCCTTAAGAATGCGCCATGCATTCGACTTCATTAAGCATTGCTTGGAAGTGATTGAATGCAGATCTGGCCTTTACAATGACTCGCGGTGGCCTACCGATGTATGGAGCCAGTGCTGCTATACTTCCAGAAAAGTCTGGTACCAATTTGCCGACTCCGGAGGGTTGGAGAGCTTGGTGAACCATGAGCGCGGTGATCGATTCTACACTTGTGTTGCACGGCGCCTCCGACCACTGCGCCACACGCACCCTGTCTATATTTTCCAATAGCGTATATATTAGGTTGTTCAGAAATAAATGAGCGTTTTTAACTATATTATTTAAAATGTCACAATATGCTTCAAGCTAAACTTCAATCATCAATCATCAAACTTCAACTTCAATCAAAAAACCCTAAGTATGCGGTAGCATATGATAGCATGTTAATACATCGCTGCCATATGCTGTTCAGCTTGCTAATATTTCTAGTTATCCATAGTCTTTCAGAGTACGAAACGACCATTGAATTTTCACAAAACGCAAAGAATCAAAATATTAGGCTGTTCAGAAATAAATGACTTGTATCAGATTTCTTTGGGAGAATAAAAACACGGTAGGCGATACAAACCCTTGTATGAGTCAAATTTGCCATATCATGGAATCAAAATTGAAGGGATGGGTGAAAAAAGGTTGAATCACCTTTCCTTCGATCATACGGACATCTAGTCCTAATGTCATTCCTCGCAGCAAGTAAAGTACGGTCCACTGATAATCACATTCCTCAGAAGGTTCAAATCCTTTGGGAAAGATGGGTTTTACAGGTGCTCGTCGTTTAAATCGTATCACAGACACGGTGTGCTGAAAGTATAAACGTTGATTACTATGGCGAAAAGTTTACTAGCCCTATATATATATATATATATATATATATATTGAAAAACTGCACTTTTCCTCCGTTGTGATTTGCTCTAGCAAGCATTTCCTTGTTTTTCGCAGGATCTTCAGAGAAAACTTCATCATTAAAGGTGAATAGAATATCTCCTGATTGAAGAATTCCAAGACAAGGACTATCAAATTTCACGCCAATCACTAAGTCCTTTTTTGTAATAAGACCAAGCTGAAAGAAATTTATTTCATTGAATCTCCACTCTTTCCCTTCCACTTACCGATTGCTCCTTGCTCAATTCAATGATTAATGGCAAAACTTCGTATTGGCTCTTCTTCACTGTTTTTCCTCGCAGAGTTGACTGTACTTTCTTTTCAATCTGTAAAGGAACGATTTTTTTACGGTTCTTAAGACTTCGGTACGTCTTCGAACTACAAGTGTATTCGTCTTACATTTTTTCACTGTGGGTTGCGGCAAGGAATAAAACTCACATGGCATTTTCCCAAACATTAATTGTGCTCGAATTTTCCGAAAAGCTTTCTAGTTCATCAAGTATATATTAAAGGAGAGGTAGGTGCAGTGATAACAATACCGTTCACCAATAGCACGCTGCTCGTTAGAGCCTTTATCGGGTCCGCCAAGCTTCTCGCTCTAGGTTCGAGAAATTGGTACCAGACTATCTGGGCCAAGTTTATTCCCTCCAATCCACGCGGAAACGCTCTATCACGGCTATGTCAGGATTCCAGGAAAAAATAACTCGAGCAGCATCCAGTGACATTCACGACGAAAAGAAAATGCAGCCGACTCCACACGGTCGAAAATCTTCGTGAATGATCTATGCAAGGAAGCCAATCAAATGCAAGTGTTGGGATCCGCACAGTTGTGATATATATGACTTCAGTTCATATGACAGTAATAATAAAATGGACTAGATACCCTATAATAAATAAAAAGAGAATAAAGCTCCCGGCGATGATCAATTCCTGAGAGATGTGCCATGCACTCGACTTCATTAATCACCGTTGGAGATAATTGAATCCATATCTGGCCTTTACAATTACTCGTGGCCTATCGATGTATCGAGCAAGCACTGCTATCCTTCCATCCTCCCAGACAAGTCTGGTTCCAATTTGCCAACCCCGGAGGGATGGAATGCTTGGTGAGCCTTAGGCGCGGGGATTGATCCCATGTGTATTGCAGGGGGTTTCCACTCACCAGGAACCACTGCGCTACACGCGCTCCATGTTATATCTTAGTAAAGCCTTAATAATTTTGATATAGAATAATCGTTTCACAGCAATTTTGAGTCGTATTAAGCAATGTGTCGTGATCATTCACAATAAAAGAAAGAATACAACTCGGAATTTCTCACTGCAGCCTGCCCCTCTGGTGTGGCTTTCATGAAATGAAAGTGATTCCTAGAACTCACCAAACCTCTCCGTGATCGAATTTAAATACATCGATAGTGCAAAAGATATGAAAGATAGGCACATGTAAATATGATCGCCCTATCCCAGCTTTTTCCTTCTAATTCAACAGATAGCAATATGATTTACTTATTTAGAAATAACTTGATAACGCTAGCTAGAGAAAGCCCTCAAAAACGGCTAAGCTAGAAGTCATTTCAGCCAAGCATTTCGGTCATTTAAGCGGAATTATTCAACTTCAGAAACCGTGCACCAGTAAGGAGCGCAAGAAATTAGTTCAGGCAGGATTCAGCACGGTTTTGCTTCTTTCCAAATCGACGATTCTACACCTGCCTAGCGAGTCGACGTGGAGTAGAAGTTCAATTTGCATGAAACCTAGTGAGAAATGTACTTCTTCGATTTAATTCGATTATGATTTTATGATTTGGAGAACGTTGAAAATTTAGAAAGAGAATACAACGAAAGCGACACATACGTTACTATCAATGTCCAAGTCCATTTCCACTATCTGCGTGAAATGCACTGAGAAATTCAGCGGATTGCCTATTCACTTAAGCTTAAAGCGTAAAGCGTTTTGCTTTGCTCAGCGTGTTAGGAATGCGCCATGGATTCGATTTGGTTAGCCATCGTAGAGCTGTGCATATCTAATTCATACAGTATCACGCAGGGGCCAAAAGATGTACCGAATCACTGTTTTCACACTCCCAGACACCTATGGCGTCAATTTGTCGATCTGGGAAAGATGGAAATCTGGAGTAGCCTAGAACACATGGATGAGTCATGCATGCCGCTCTAATCAATCATAGGTGTCACGCATACAATAGAGCCTCCATGCCTTAGTTTTCCGAAGTGCTAGAAATCCTGAATACAAAAGGAATTTTGAAAGAAATTCGATTGATCCTTAGCTTCCGCTCGTCGACAATTTCTATGTAGGTTCGTGCACTTTCTGCTTGTTTTCAAGTGCAAATCTTTATCCTCTCCGTTATTTCTTAAGCGCTTTTCGGAAGTCGTTTAACAAATTTTCCAATAGGACAGCCTGAACGCCTATTCCACTATGGCAGAGGGTCACGACATTAGAGCAGTTCCTGATTGCTCATCGTTTTCTTCCTAAATATGTGATTGCCTATGAGGTCAATTAGAGGAACTCGTGTTGCCTGAACCACCATTTACAATGCTTTCTAGTCCCGCCTACGTTTCGCGCAACAGACCACACATATCGTTGGAAGTGGTCCTATCACAGCATAGTTCACCTATACAGGATACGCCTCGAGTTCTCTTCTCGGCTCCTGAACTTTTCCATCTTCTTTCTTCACATGTGGTCAGAATGTATCTATGGTCAACAATTCTTGCCTTATACGATCATTTGGAGAAAAAAATTCTGTATTGAGCGGCAACTTGAGTGCTATGTTCATTTCAGTAATGAAGTACTAATATCCACTGAATAAAACTTAAATTTCCTATCCATTTAAAAATATTTCATCAATTTAGGTCACTGTTAAACTCGATTCAAGGTCAGGTCAGTTCATAAAGTTTTCTATAATTATCGTCAACAACACGAAAAAACGGAAGGACGACGTTGGACAATCAAGGCCTAGAGTGGCTGGAATCACAGAGACACCTTGATAGGGAAAACCACTAGGGTAGAAGAAAGAATAAGTCGACTAGCAGAACAGAGCACGTTGAAAAACTGCGATGAACTTCTATACACTACAATGTTATCATAACGTAACTTAAGCAAAACGATCCACGAAAGAGACAAATAAAAAAGATTTGATAAAAACCGGATATGAAAGATGAGACCCACAGGGATGAAAAACAACAGAGATCACAATGAAAAAGTTGTAGTAACACATTTTCTAACGAGACCGGACGATTTAAAAATTCTGTAGAATCTCTCGAAGTTCATAGAATAAGGTTAGAATCTGGCAATCAACATAGTATTTTATTTGGACATAATAGAAGTCTTGGAAAGTATTGGAGAAAATGGTGTGCATCATGATGCCTGTGGTGGAATTTCTTCGATGCAAGTTCTTTTCTGTACTTTCCACTAGTGCATTATTCTAAAGCGAGAACGTTCAACCATCGCCGAGATGCAGTCATTGGTGAATGAGTGGGATCAGAGTTCGTGATCATCGGAATCGTCGAGGAATTCGTTCGACTCGTCCACCTGTTCAGCGTTATCACCCACAGGTGATTCACCTTTGCGCAAGACACACAACCGTTCGTGTTTCTTCAGGTAGATCATTCGACGAAACTTGTTGCCACATTTACAGCTGAAATCGAAGAAATATGAAAGTCTCTGTCTTAAAATTACATCTTATTCTTTTAAGAGAAGTAGAAGTCGACAGAATTACGTATATAAATATTCACAGCTACAACTATGGAACAAAGGTCACAACTATGTTTTCAGTTCGGATCAACTGAATGTGGCTGAATTCAGGTTTGAAAGTGAAACTCACACCCAATAATTGCCTGTCTTAGTAACTTTTGCATAAAACCTTTAATACAATGACCACGCGGATAAAGGTAGAACGCACTCACCGAAATGCCGTCTCAGAGGTGTGAGTCAGGTTGTGCATCTTCAAATCGTTCCGACGCACGAACGCTTTTCCGCAAGTCTCACAGACATATGGTCGAACGTTCGTATGTACCGAGCGAATGTGAGCTGTTAACGCCTTAACAAACATCTCCAGAGCAAAATTATGATAGTCTCTAGATTGTATTCTATTTTTTTGCTGGATTCGAGTGATGCCTTAGGAAAAAACGCAAGGCAAAACTGCTTAATCACTTGTATATTTGCCTAGCCCGTTTCAATGACTCTGACGGGGTTACTTCACTCCCCACTTACGGGCTTCCCTCGCAATCGCGCAATCGCCGTCCGTGGTAGTGGTCTATTTCAAGCATAGTAACATATTCGAGTACCACTTCGTAATAAATATATCGCTTACAGCTGTGAGTATTGCTGGTTGATCCAAGCTATAAATAAGACAGTCAAAAAAAACCTAAGAACCTAAGACAGTTAACCCGTCCATATTTATTGCGCTTCGGAAATATATTTGCCTGAATCCTGAAGAGAAGATAAACTTCGAAGAATTCAACTAAGCAATTCAGCTTGGTATTGTGTGTCGATTCAATTTCAAACGACATCGTCAAGGATCTCTGAGTGGTGCGCAGACTTCTCGGCGTGGATGAAATATCAATCCACGTCTTAGCGGCATAGAAATAATTGGAAGCAGCTTTGCGCGGAAACAAAGGTGAGCGCGAAGTTTTGGATCCATCAGTTAGTTAATCGATGGCTCCTTTAACAAGCCAAAATATGACCAATGACCCTCTTTCTCTTGTGCATAATTCTTTATTCACTCCGCTTCCCATATTCACTCCCTATGTACACATAAGATGTGGCACCTATAATCAACGAACCACCAATCTCGATTAATCTACCTTCGCATAGTACATTTTTGACAACTAAACTTGATTTCGATTTGTTTGCAAGTCTATCCGCTTTACGTCCTTTGAGCATCTTCTCTGCTTCTATAGCGCTCAAAAAAAATGACGATTAGAAGTGATAATTGATGTCACATTTTTTCGCGCGTACGTTAAAAGTCGGAGTATTTCTAAAAAGTTACAGACGGCTTAGTTGGAGTATGTTTGATGTGCAGCTTCATTAAGAACGCAAAGATTGATATTTGGGAAATTGAGCTAATTTTTATAGATGCAAAACAAAAAAGGATCTTCATAGCATTCCATGAGCGTTCTCCCGGCACTGGCAAACTTGTGTAAACCAGGACGTGATCACCTCTCACCGGTTCTTATACTCTTTATTTCTGGTTGTGTTATTCAGTAAGGTTGTCTTCATTTCATCACCAAGGGCAGCCGCCGATCCTTATGGACTGGAAAAAATTTCCTTACTTCGAGACTACCTTACTATCAGAATGTTGGTCATCCGTGTCATTAGTTCACAGTTAGGTGGACTAAAGGATGGAATCTTTGAAATTCTCCGCTTATGACACTATGTCCAGTTATAACTCACATTTCAACGGCAGGAACACTACCCTCATGTGGTGAATCTCTGTTTGTGTGGAGACAAATAATTGATTCAAATATGTCGAAACAAAACAAACAATGAGAAGAAATGCCTTTGCAACAACATCTCCCTGAATGAATTTCTGTAATTATTGCATGCTTCCACAAATAAAAGGTTATAAGGAATTCTCCTAAGAAATGAGCAGGATGTCCACCATTGGAAAATCTTCATGGCAAGCGACAAAAGAATAAACATAGCGTGCCTCACTTAATTTACCACTGAGGCATAAACGACGGAGGGTCGGTAATAATACTGAAGTCTGAAGACCAAAACATGTGGCCAACATCACGAATTCATGCTAGGACACGAATTTTAATGGAACGCAATGTTAGTGACGAGATGAAAATGTTCTATCGCACTGCATTTTACTTATGAATAAAATAAAGACTCTTTGGATCTTAAAACTGTAAGGCAGTGAATGAGTTTAAGAGCGTTAGCTCATTCGAACTTCTCATAACTTTTATGACACGCTTCACCGTTGAGAGGTGCGGATCGAGTGTTTCGAGCGCCTTCGTTCGCTGCACTTTATTACCAAGCTAGAACTAAGGCGAAGTCAAAGACTTCTACATGGACTGGAAAACGTTCGAAGGAGAGCAACATATTTGTCCATACACCATCCTGCTGCAGGATATTTCATCGTTAATACCCGATGAATTGAAGGAATTTTGATGGAAAGTGAGATGTTGTGTGCGTCTTTGTTCGACTTAACACACAGATCAAAAAGTCTACTCTACAGATGGAAAGCGTCCGTACTATGCTCCGTAGAAGTGTGCACCTCGTAACCAAAGTTATTCTTCCAAAATTCCGCACCGGGAGACGGCATAACCTATTTGATTCTAGGACCTACTTTTCACGAAGACTAAGTGTTATCATGGTTAAATTCAATATATACTCATTCTAGAGTTATCGTTAGACTTTACTGAACTTCATTATATTTCAAACCGACCGTCCTTTAACCTGGGTAGGAATAATCATCGAGAAGACGAACGACTGTGGACCATCGACTCGGATCATCGCCTCTGTTGATGAAGACATCGAAGCGTTAGTCGAATAAACTTAAAGCCAAGTAAAGTCTTTACCAACCACGTATTAGGTTAACAATTCGAGAAGCCGTCCCTCGTTAATTATTCTTCACTTGGTATCACTGAAAATCCAACTAAGCTATGAAAAAGTGCAAATTAATGACCGAGCTCACAAAACTGCCAAAGATTCGCTAAAAATCCTCAAATGGAAGATAGAAGAAAAGCAGTACCGACTGTCATTCTGCAATGAAGGCCGAAGTAACTTTGCCGACTATAAAAACCGACTATTGCTCTCACTCTCAACGATATCACAAACACTGAGTAGAAAATAGTAATACAGAAAAAATCGCTTTTGATGTTCACACCATTTCTTTCGGTACCGTGGTCTAATTGCATACAGTTCATCGTAAACGCAATGCTAACGTCATGTTTTCGCTCTATGAAATTGGTAGTGGACTCGTCTGTGCTCAACTCACCCTCTCAAATCTACGTAGGAACGCTCTATAACAGCTATTCCAGAGTTCCAGGGAATCATTCGGCCACTATTCAACGACATTCATAAAGAAGACAACAATCTTCCACCACCAGCTGAACCCACACAGGAGAAGTCCAAAGACTTTCGTGATGTGATGAATGGAGGAAACGAGTGCAGTGCAAGTGCTGAAAGCCGCACAGTAGATGAGAAGATGGGTCACGTAAAAATAAAAAAAGAGTACAACACATTTTATGTCAACGGCATCCAACCTTCGAACAAATATCATCATTCAGCTGATGCTTCGTAGTTTCATTCGGTTCAAAAAAAAAATGAGATCATGAGAGTGGAAATCGAGCTTCACCAGAATGTGTCGCTTTGCTGACGACACAATGTTACAGGTCAAGCGATAAAAATGCTAGACGAGAGCGATATGGAGACATTCATCTATTAAGGAATCTTACTAGAATGAATGGAGTAATGGAATCTGAGAGAGCCAATAGCATCTGATAACTCAGCAGTATCGATATTGATTAAATATGACAAGAGAGATAGGAACAGATTGGAACAGGACCGCGCAAGCAGGAAAATCGAAGAAGTTATGAAGAAGAAATGGAGAATACCTCGTATTTGGTCCACGTGCTCAACATCCACGTTATTTTATTAAGTCTCAGAAATACTGACGGGTACTAGAAAAGCACCAACATCAGCATACAACATTTCATTAAGAGGACGACAGAGGAACTAATTGCTTCAAAAGAGTAAACGACAATATGTGAGCATTTAGTATACTCCTAGGGTGAGTGTGGTGCAGTGGTCGGAGGCGCTCTGCGATGCACACATGGGATCGGTCCCCGCGCCCGTGGCTCACCAAGTCTTCCATCCCTCCGGGGTTGGCAAATTGGTACCAGACTTGTCTGGGAGGATAGCAGCACTGGTTCGATACATCGGTAGGCCACCGCGAGTTATTATAAAGGCCAGATATGCATTCAATCACCTCCAACGATGCTTAATGAAGTCGAATGCATGGCGCATCCCTCAGGGATTGATCAAAGCCGAGAGCTCAGAGCTTCTTTAGTATACTTCTAAGATGGGAAATTATCTTCACAAAAGAAAAGTTGAATTCGGCATATTAGCCGACAAACTGACAACTGAACGAATGTTTAAAAGGACTCCAACAAAAACATATCGATATCTATTCGAGGACAAAAGTGAGATTATTTAACACTGTTAGTGATTTTTCTACTATTCAATTAACCTTACGCGATTCACCCTCTTTTCAAAAATAATGGATAACTTTCACAGTGTCGATCAATCAAACTGTAATGAAGCCTAACTACACCCTCTTTCGATAGTAATCTGAAAGATAATTCGGTATCACACTCCCAGCAGATAAGTCCACACTAGCAAGTAATTACAGTGGAAGCGGGGATGTTGGAGGTGGTTTGAAGGCGGACGAGCAAAGAAGTGATTGAGTACCAGCAGCGACTCATTTCACTGCTCTACTATATACCACCATAGGTGGATGAAATACATTCACAAGCACATAGGATAATTTTAGAATATTATATCAGCATTTTGGTATTAATTCCTCACAGTGCATTGCTTCCACTACCAGTTCCTAATCCTTCTTTATAGAAACGTCTGAGAGACAGGTGAAACGAAGGACACGCATAGTAAGGTGGTAAACACGTTAACCTCGGGAAAAGATAGGAGATTGTTCGGTCCCCACCGCAGACAGCAGCAATCCGGAGTTTCGCAAATATCTCGGCAACATTATGGTTATAACTTCTATAATGCTGAGATTTTTGCAAAACTCCGGACCGTAGGTGTCTGCGGTGGGGAACGAACGTGCTATTGGCCTCTGCCGGTGAGTAACGCGTTCACCACCACACTATGAGGGTCCCTCGTTTTGCCTGTCTCTCAGCTAATTCTATCGAACTTTTTGCCATCAGCAATCACCCATCAACGGAAGTTTTGCAAAGATCTCAGCATTATAGAAGTTATATTCCACAACATGCCCTGCCGTTAAAAAGAATAGGCAGTAAATAAAAAAGATTATGTTTATAGTTTTTGTAGTTTTATTATTTTGTTATCACCATTCTTTCACGATGTATAGTACTACATTTTCGCGCTCGAAAATTGACTTCTTGAATAGTAGAAAATTTAATCAGCTAGTGACAGCAAGAAAGATAAAAAGGCAAGGAGAGAGTAGAGTATTCTTCCCATAGCATTAATAGTATCAAGTATTAACCTTACTACATTTGTATCCAGGATGATCACAACCTTCGTACGGACACTTGTGAAGGTGATTCTGATGGACCATTTGCACATGTCTCCTCAGCCCTGGAAAACGCATGAATAACTTGAACTCCGAAAATTTCAGCTTTCAAAAAAAACTGCTGGCAAGAATGTAATGGCTATCACTAGAATTAGGTTCTGCATGAAACGCTACTCACTGGGTTAGGATATGAGTATGGGTGAAATAGGAGATTGGCCTTTAGCAGAAACTCAGTTTCTTTCATTCACCAAGCAAAGTGCTAGGTCTACGAAACAAAATGGTAGCGGAGTGTCAAGGATGAGTGAGCATAGAACTGAGTACTCACCACCTCGCCTGCCAAACTTTTGACCGCATTCCTCACATGTGAAGTTGCGCTCTTTTCTAAAGCAATCTCCAGTGTAGGTAAAAATCTTCGAAATTCAAAATGCTTAATCTGCGAAAAATTGCTGCAAGATCTCTCACAAGTGTTGGATAGAAATGTGTTCCCGAAGTTGAAAAGCCGACGCGAATCGCTTGCCACACTCCTCGCAATCCGTAGATGGCTAAAAGATATCAGTATAGCATGGAAACACATGAACTACTTTTTAGTGAAATAGAAACAGAGAGAAGCCTTATAGACCGAACAGGACAAGTCTTCCTGCTGTATCCGCTTCTCAATGGGTTAAAATAAAGCGTTTGAACTGTATAAAAAAGAGCTAAACGCACCCTAACAGCTGGCTTTTTATGCGCCTTTTTGAAGTGCACGTCCGCAGCGTGAGCGGATTTGAAGAACTAAAAAACTAATCGCCTTTTCCACTCACACTAATTAAGCAGGACTGGTCACTCCTTCTTAAGTTCTTTTTAAAAAGAGTGACAATTTTAAACCTACCTGCTCCCTACCAGATTCGTTTTCGAATTCAGAACTGCCTACTAGGTCGAAATCCAACTTTGACTTAGAACTTTCGATGCTTCGACCTCTATTCATAACTTCTTCATTAACTTCCTCTTCCTCATGCTTGCAGACCTCCACTTCAATATCGCCTTTGACAGTTGAGACATTCCGGTCATCTATTTGAGCTTCCACTAACTGTTCTTTTCGTTTCTTTAGCAGAGAGATTTTCATCTCAAGATTTCGTCGTTTGTGAGCGCTCACGCTATCTTTGCGCAACGACAGTAATGATGGCGGCTGCATTCCGAACGGTTTAGAGTCGGTTATGGGTAACGGCAACAACGGCATGGAGACATCCTTTCCGGTAGGATAAACATGACCAAAATGGGAAAGTATAGCTCCGTTGGCTGTATGCGCTTCCAGCATCATCCGCTGGAGAATCAAAGAGAAGACGCCGTTGTGAGTGAACAGCTGTGGATCCATGCAAACGTCACAATAGGACAGCAGCCGGATTTAAATTCTAAAGTTCTGTTTAAACGTGCAGTGTATTCCGACAGTGAAAGCGATAGAAAGTGGGTTTGCGTTCTGATTCATCGCTAAACTACGAGCGATGAAATCACCTTGTCATTTTTCATATCCTTATCCTGTCTTTAACAACGCGTGTTGCGCGGTGGTTAGAGATGCCCTACGGTACACAGAGTATCGAATGCTGTGCCTCTCGTTAACTAATCACCCCATCCCTCCACGGTCGGCAAATTGGTGCCAGACTTATCTGGAATGATAAAAACACTGACTTGACACATCGGACGAACATTCCAACTCATTGCCTTGTACAAGTATGCATTCATATTCATTCACCTTCAGGGTGCTTAATAGAGTATATGCCGCTTCCTTCAGAGATTGATCAATTCTTAATTCTTTACCTTTTTACTTTATCATATCCCCAACAATTTTTTCCCGGTTTTGACAATGTTCATCGCTTTGCAGCGTTCAAAGAAGCAGATCAGCATTTTATGTTCATTCACGCCTGTACGAGTTTAATTAAAATCCTAATATAATTCCACCAAAGCAACTTAACGTCTTTCCTTATACGGAGTCATTTCTTAGAAAAAATAAATCCATATATATACATATATATATATATATATATAAGTGGTCTCGGCGTTGATCAATCCCTTAGGGAAGCGCCATGCATTCGACTTCATTATGCGTCGTTTGAAGGTGATTGCATGCATATATGGCCTCTACAATAACTCGCGATGGCCTTCCGATGTATCGAACCAGTGCTGCTATCCTCCCAAACAAGTCTGGTACCAATCTACCGACCCGGAGGAATGGAAGGCATAGTGGGTTATTGGCGCAGGAATCGATCCTATGTGTACTGCAGGGCGCCTCCCGCCACCGACCACTGCACCACGTGCCCATCATTTATATATAAATATAATTGTGTAAATGCGTATATGTATACATACATGTATGTATATATGTATATAGGTACATCTGTATATAAGTATATATGTATATATGCACTATAAACGAGCGTATGATGAGTGGACAGAAATTACTAGTTGACCTTCCCATAATCCACGAACGCACACGATTGTACTTAAAACGAATGGACTTCATTTGATGTAAGTCAACTGACTCCTTTTCTTTCACCGACAATCTCATTACGGAATGAAAATATGACTACCAAAAGAATTTGAAACATTTGGAAAGAAACAATAGTCAGGAGTGCAAAACGTCACAAGATAGTTGAAGTAATGAATTATAACCAATATTGTACTTTTCGTTGTAGGGGCTGCGTAGCGCATTGGTAGTGATGCCGATCATTACTAGCACGCTACTGGCTCTACGCTGCACCGTGTTCACCACGCCTATGAGCTTCCGCTTCCGGAAACTGGTACCAGACTTATCCGGGAACAGATCGCTTCCTGAAATTCAACTGGGAGCGCTCTAGTGCGACTATCCCAAGACTTCAGAAAGAATCGACCCAACCTGAATTCATCAACATTCATGACGAAAGGAAAAAGGAAAATTATCAAGCAGGACCCGAACCTAATCTACATGCAAAAAGTTGGAAAATCTTTGTGGATGATGGTTACAGGGAAACGAATTGAATGCAAGAAGTGCTGGGATCCACGGACTTGGTGTGAAAGGCAAGTCGAGTAAAAGAAAAATGAAAACTACTTCTTGTAGTAAAGGCCTGATAACGCGAGACTTTAAGGATATCAAGGTTTTTATGCAAATTGCTAACTCGAAAAGTAAAAGGAACAGTTCTTCGTCTCGAACTATGTCTGAATCAAAAATGAAAAAAATCATGCGAATCAAGTTCACAGGAATTTGAATATCTCCAATATTCGAAGGCACTCAAGTTTTCAGTTAATGTATTTGTAAGAGATTCTAACGTCTACATCAGTACTTTCCACCGATGTAGTGGTCATGGTTAAATGGTTATCAAGAGGGCTAGGAAATGGATCAGAGCCGACGATTGTCAAGACCCAGATAGTCATTTATTCGAATGATTCCCTATATGTAATATCAGTTCTGTTATCGGCATAGCAGCTACATCTCATTAACTCTTGATGAATAGAAATCGTCAGAACGCAAACCCTGAAGCAACGAAGAGGCAACAGGGCCAAAAAGTGGCGATGGCGAAAGAACTATAGAGTCAAGATGGTTTCAAGTGTTAAGTACTGCTAGAGTAACATCTAAAACTAAGCAGCATGAACTTTCAGGATAACAAAGTAAAGTTTATGAATTGGACAAACAGGTTGGTTGAGAGGAATTGTGTGACATGGCACTCGTCGGTATAAAGACAATGACTCTCTTAGATTATAGCAACCACTACGAAATGCACTTTTAAAAATTAAATTACTTGCTAGTAGGTATAACTCTCAAATTTCTCTACAGTCCTTCGTAGCTAAAGTCCTCTGAAAACTATCCATCTCCCCTCCTCTCCACTTCCCCACCTATTCAGTACGAGCTGAATTTAACGTGAGGGCCAACTGGTGTTCCACTGTCACCAAGTAAGTCCGAACTAGAGAAGATTTTTTAATTAAATGGTAAACAAATCATATTAGAAAGGAATTTCTTTCATTGCATTCACCCTTTTATCCATTTGTTTATGAGTCTTATCATTGTTGATTGCGCTTATCACTACGGAATAACATTTTATAGTAAAAAGTCATCGTATAGGAGGAGGAAGGAGAAGAAGGAGAAGAAGCATGACGTAGCGATGCGGGAAACAGGATCCCAGTTGCCATGGAGCACCCCATGGGAGATTATAATGATACTAGAAAACAACCGCAAACTACCACCATCAGAACCCTCACGCACAACGTGACCAATTACATAGAGAAACGATTTTTCACGACCAAATCCAATATAGTCTCAGGTACAGAAAACATGTCACAATGCACTGGCATTCATCTATGGGAGTACACATTTTTGCAGTCTAACTACGACACTGCTAAGGACCTAAGCCGATATATACATTTCTTTAAATCACTGCATGCTAACAGGAACACTAAAAGACAGTAAGAGGGTTGGAAAACGGAGTGTGGTGTCCACAGTGGTAGCTGCTGATCTACTCATTTGCTTAAAAGTAGTTAGGAAATAACGTGAAAAATCAGTAAACACACTTCATTAGCTCAGAAGAGCCGCGGACGAAGAAACGCGCGTCATACCTAATTTCATTTTCCTAGAAAATTTCGACATTGGTGAGTTTACCGAAATTCCACGCGTCACCTACTAGTTAGCAGGGACTTCAATAACGATTTCGAAATTGCCCCACTAGTTCTAAAGCCTTGGGAACAAGTTTGAAAATTTGCAGTCACATCGTATCTGCAGCTGATAACAGACGAGAATTTGAACTTAATGAAGAAATATTGAAAGCGGGCACTGATTGCTTATGGGCCGTTTGCGTTGCCGCGAATGAGCAAGCGGGTGAACAGTTACGTCACCAGCCATGGAGGTGGCCGCAATAAGTGTGGAGGGTCCCCGCGGGGTCCATCGGAGGGGACCACGGCGACGACCGGCGCGCGAAGGCGACAAGGTGCGAGCCGAGGGTGCGAGTGCTGGTATCGATCTGGGCGTGGCCGGTGAGGTCGTCTGCGGTATCAGCAGCACACGACAACACCCACATGCACGTGTATGCTAATCAGCTGATGGCAGCCGACCGGCCGGTGGCGGAGACGCAGGTCCCGCGGGCGCTCCGCGACGGAAAAGGTCCCACGGTGGCGGTCGCCGCGCGGAACGCGGGTCGCCCTGTCTTGCTTCGCTCCTGGTGCTGACATTTGTAGTCTTCATTTGTAGTGTTTAATTCATCACACTCACGATGACATTCGAGTAACATTAATCTGGGTGTGCGACAAAGAAAATGCCGGGGTGATTCCTATCGAGACCTACAGGCTGAAACCGTCGACGGCGATCGTTGTCGAACTGCCTCATAGAAATCTCTCGAAAAACTACTGCTGCAAACTCAATGGTTTTCGAATATCGGAAGGATTCTAAACGTTCGACAGTCATACGCCGCATATTCTCGCTAATATACGGAGGTTGAGTTGAAGTTCATCACCACATTCCATATCACTCAGCTTTCACATGGGTTATTTTTTGAGCGGAATAGTACTAAAGTCATTATGAGCAACCTTCGACAACGTCTGTCCCCATCCGAAACCCAAAGTCCACCACGCAGAGTGAAGATTTTTAACCCGGGCCACTTGTTCCTCAAATTTCATTTCTTGGTATCATTGTGAAGGAAAATTATAGACATCCTTCTCGACCTTATGTCACGACTGCTGCTCACGCAAGAGATTCGCTTACGCATTCGATTTTATGGGCTGTACAGCTCAACCAATAACAGTATCGTTAAGTTGAATGGATCCTCAAAAACGGCTTCGCACCACGCCAGTGCTAAAAACACGCCAATGTTTCGGCTTGGATAAAGCACCAAAATAACGAGTGCGAACGAACTTTGACTGAAAACGTCGCAAATATCATCCATCATAACTCCTTCGCCACATTTCCAACTAATTCATCTCAGACCACCCGACGGGCATTTTCATCCTCAACATGTATTATTCAGATGTGTTGAGCATCACGTAAACTGAAGATGTTTGAACTCTTGGAATCCACGCAAAAATTAAGGACAAAAATTAAATCGAATAATAAGCCTTCAGCGCCCAGACCTTGGTGCATTGGTCTTCACCCATGCAACCAAGTGACCCCATTATTTTAAATTATTTTGGAAAAAGTCTTTCCACATGTATTCAGAGCTGATGAAGGTAGAGTTTCTCAGAGATCTGACATATTGATGCAGCATAAGGAAAAGGCATTCCGCTGAAGTAGTAATGTTTGAAAATTTAGGCTACTATAGGTTGTGTTGTTGGCGCCGTTAGTGGCACGTGACATTAGTTCCAGATAAAAGAAAATTCCAGTGTACAATCTACGAAACGAATAATGATATCAGCCATCTTCTCATGATAAATAGTTATGCATTCCTGAAGAACATATTCGCGTTGTACATTACTTATTCCCAACTTATGAGAACTAGTCAAGATTGTCAGTCAACTAGTCAAGAGCGTAGCACCTTATTGTTTTGAGTGAATTCCTTTTTATATCATTCTAATAGGGTTTTCATTCAATGGTGAAGCTAGTCTTCAGCACATGGTAGAGAGAAGGAAAGATTCAAGGAGAATACCTTTTCGCAACAGTCGCACTTGTATATGAGTCGAGTGTGCTGCTTCATGCTGCCATCGTCTTTCACGTGGTATATGAACAGATGAGACTGGACGTTCTGCTTCAGCGTGAATGCCGCACCACAAACGTCACACATGAACGTCTTCTCACGGAATCGACTGAATCTGAACTCAACTCATCAGTTCACCAGAACTTGCTCGATGATGTGCCCCATCATACACATGGAAGTAGCAACCGGGTATCGTTCGTTATTCTTTAAAATTGCTAAGAGTAATCATGATAGCATCAAACGTCATCAACGGGATATTCATGCTATAGAAAGTTAGAAATAACATGAAAACTTCAAAATTTGACTTCGGAATATGGGCTCCGTTCGCGTATTTCTACTAAGTCATTTGTTCTGCTTAACTCTTGATCACAAATGGAGACCAAACTGCAGTTGGGAAAAGACAACTAGCCCAAATTGGTACGGTAATGGGATAAAAATTTCCTAGACAAAAAAGGAGGAACACGACAGAGATTCATGAAGCCCTATGACGTCACGGAAAACAAATAAAACACACACACCTCTTTCGAGGAATTTCACTGACCGACATCAGTTCTTCATGAAAATGTTCACTCTGAAAATTTGTCTTCATAATTCCGAAAAAGGGCTTTCTGTCTTAGTATGAGAATATGAATGTCATTTACGAACTGGTTGTTATGTTTAATGAACTGAGACATCAGAAAGAACGACTTGCACCGAAGCGCAAATAATTACGAAGCCACACTTTTGTCACGCCTCGCTCTCTGCTCCGACAGATGTGTGACCATGATTACCGCTGCCATAAGCCACTTTCATTAATCAATATTTATGACGTTATTAACTATTAACTATCGATATTATTATCATTATTGTGGATGCGTGTAACACAGCGGTTATAGATGACCTGCAAAACACATGGTCGTTGGTTCAATCCTTCGTCAAAAGCTCGCAAGCTTTCCATCTCTCTGGAACATCGGTACCCGGTAGCCAACTTGTTTGGGAGGACACCATAACTGACTTGATACATCGGTAAGCTACCGTGAAGTCACTGTATAATCCAGATATGAATTCAATCACCTCTAACAATAGTTGAGTAAGTCGAATGCAGGGCGCGTCCTTCAGGGATTGTAATTCTTTTAGCGATTCCACGAAAAGAAAAGTCAAAAGTGAAGATAACTGTGGACTAAATATTTATAACTGTAGACGTCTATATAAGAGTGAGACCATGCAGACTTTCTGAATATCACAGAAAAAAAATCTGGTAGGAACGTTAGAAGATAGATAACAGAGGAAGGTTTCAAACGGGTTTGATAACCCTGCGCTTCGAATGCGCTGTTTAATAAACTTGTTACTTTCTCTCTTTCAATAGCATGACTCGGTAATGTTCGAATCCTTATACCAAGAACAATTAAACAAGTAGCAAGAGTGATAACTTCTACATCTAAGCGATATTCGAAGAATAAGTAGAACATAACGTCAGGAAACGAGATGACTTTCATGGATGGCAATACCATTTGTAATCCATTCTGTACCACGCGAATTTCTCATTGTTCCACCTCTCATCTCAAAGATTTCTTTGTGCATTCGTTAGCGTCAGCTTCAACAAGAAACTAACCTTGGTGCTTCAACTGAAAGCAAATTTCAGGAAGAAAAAGAAAATGTGAGAAGGATAGAAAAGAAAAAAGAAAGAGGGAGAAAAAGGATGGAACCTCAGCAAGAGAGAGATGAAAGTTCTGCCCGAAAAATTGCTCATAATAAACTCATTAGCTTATTCGCTGTTTCTGTTCATGAGTCAGAAAATACGAGTTTTCCAGTATTAAATGCTGGTACAAATTTATCGAAATCTTGCTGCATTTCGAGGACAACGTTCATAATGAAAAGAAAAGACATACTCATAGAAAAGACGAGAGCCTACTGTAGGCGATATAAAACAGATAAGAAGAATCTTACCGACTCCAATGTCTTCTTCGGGGTAGTAGTGCTTGATTTCGGAACGGTCGAAGTTGAAATTGAAGTTGAAGTCGGAGTTTCAGGTTGTTTTACGGCAACGCGTGATTCTATGATGCCTTGAGCTGGAAAAGTTAATTTAAAACAATGGAAAAAACCAGAAGGTTCATTCAGATCGATAGCAATATCCCGGAATCTAACAAATAGCCTTCCTCATGGAAGGGCACGAGCCACTAGCCTTGTTTTATTTCGTGTTTGGTGCCGATATTTGTCGTCTCGTCATCAGAGCTTGTGTGAAGATTTCTGATACAATGAGCATCGACCAAGCGGAAATCGTCGTCGGCAAAACACGAGATTCCACTCTGTACCTTACGACGCAACGGATGTTCAGCACATTCCAGTCCTGGGTGGAGAACCTCATCGATCATTCAAACCTTTCAAATAGTGTTTTTCATTGGTCTATTTATTTTGTAAACATAAAATGCGGTAATATTTGGCCAGTTATTATGAGTAAACATAATTTAAAGCGGGGTAGATTAGGTGCCAGAAATAGGTAAAAGGAAGAGTAACCGATATCCTTAAGCATGAAAACGTGTAGGATTTGATTTGATTTGACTGATTTCATATAACACCATTCATTACTTAGGTTGCTTCTCTACCGTGTCGCAGTGCTGTGGTAGCATAATATAAATACGGCTAGCAATTTGGACTGGTAATCATCACTTAACACCAATTTCCTGACTACCAATAAGTTCAGTCCCCGCTAGAGACACGAAAAGCACCAGACTTCTCTAATGAAGTCCTTATACATCCAGAGAGAGCATACCAACAAGTTCTTCCTTAGGTTTATCATGAAGTTTTGGATAAGCCCACGTGTACCACACGTATGCACGAATACGACTATGTATACGGGAAAGGTGTAGGTTACTTAGACAGAGTAGTGACGGTCAACTCATCTCTCTAACCCACATATGACAACATAAACTTTGATTAGCACTTGTTCGCTAGTCCGCTACTCTTATGTGAAGTCGCCGATCTCACCTTCCAAGTTTCCGCTTGAATAGGACCTTACGCCATTGCTATTTTGTGCAGTACTATAATTGCAACGTTCAACTTTTATTTACTGTTTATTGTATTCTTCTTTTCACGGCTGGGTACAAGTAAAATACAACCACAAGGAACCTGAGATATGAGCAAAACTTGGAACCTCAGGTGGGTGTGCTTCGAATCCTCGGCTACCCTTACCAGAGGATCACTTTCATTCCACCACACCAACCGAGTCCTTTGTTTCTTTTTTCCCAGGAAGTCTTTTACTCTTTCGGTGCTATCAGCACTATAATGGCATCACTCAATGTCACCCAATAAAAATGCACAGTTGTATCATGGCCTCTTAATAGGCGCTCACAGTAAGTGCTAGTACCCAGAAAAAAAAAAGCGGAAATTTTGTATGAGAAGTTTCCTTAAATCCTGGCTAGCACGTCTCTGGATATTAACCCGCCTTCGACTAAATTTTGCTAGCTACCAAACGAAAAAAACAAGAGAATGCAATTATTCTTCCGAACCTTCTATACACTGGAAGCAAAGTTCAACAGATTTTTCAGGCGTGCACGGCGGAAGGATGCTCTCGGTGGCTGCGAAGCGGAAGAAGACGCACTCACGATGGAAGGACTCCGGTAGAATGTTGCTCCGATTTGGAAACACGCTCATAAGCCGGGACCGTTTAGCCGACCGCTACTGCAAGCCGCAAAAGCAGAATGAAGCCTCCTACACCGCAACGATCACCGGCGAGTTGAACACGTAACTCGACTCGTTGCCACTATCAGCAGAGAGATATCGCATTCTCCGCTGTTGAGAAACAATTATTCTGAAGAGTATAGTTACGTGTTGCTGTGGTAGTAGTCTGATTTCTTCCTATGACTAGCAAATACTGCTCTCCTTCCGTTGTTGAGATGAGAAGTGGTCGGCATGAATTCTCTTTACATCTTCTTTTCTATATTACTTTGATACTAACATACTAACATACTAACATACTTGATACTAACAAAGAATATACTTTGATACTTGGACGGTCCGTCTTCACTGATTGTGCAGGCGCACGTGTAATTTCCATTCGTTTTTCTTTGGTTCAATCGTCGTCCACAGCAGTGGTCTTTTTCACACACAATGACATCGGCTAGATCCGTTCCGTAATCCTGACATCGTTGCTATCTTGGAGTGCAGATGGTTGACGTTAGCCACGAACACGTTCCCCCAACGCTTGCATGTTGTTTCGAGAGGATGCTTACAATCTGTAGTCCTCTCCACTGTTCTTCTCGTTTATCTGTAATCTGTTCTTCTGATTATGTTATTACCCCATCTTTTTGTGACCTACAGTAACATTGTTCACTATAGTTGCTGTGAAGCACGATTTGTTTATGTTAGATTTATTTCACCTAGAATACAGAGTACTATGAAAGAGGAAGCAGTCTGATAGACGTGGATGAGCGTGGTAGGAACGTTTTGAAGCTTCGCTCATAAAAATTTCGACCGAGCTTATATACAGAGACAGGACAAAGATCATTCTCTATCACAATGCTATTTCGCCACAACCATTTGATTCAAAGCCTAAAAATATTAATCATCTATGTTTTGATTGGCGGGCCACAAATGTCCCGTTTTGTACGATAGAAATTCTGTACAATTACAGAAATTACCTGTGCTCCACTATCGATGTGTACGCTTCTGGATCCTGAAGATGAAATAGATTTCGAGGATCTGGGATGGGCATTCCGGCTAGACGTTGAGAGTGCTGGTTAAATCTCGGAAGATACACAATATTCTGACGTGGTTGAGATATCAGCCCATATCTCTGCCGCAAAACAGAACGTTAGGAGGAGCGTTGGATCGAAAATATAAGCGCGGAGTTTTGTGTTCGTTTGTTGGTCAGTAACATCGTTAAGTGTGCCGAATACAACCCATGCTACTCTGTTCTTCTGCCTAGGTTTCTATAATCAGAGTACCATCCAATGAAGAATATAAAGTAAAAAAAAATCGAAGTGAAGTAGAAAGGAAGAAGATCAAGGAAATGTGAGGAAGGAAATCGAGCGAAACCAATCTGTCACTTCAGTACGCCGTTCAATAAACCTCATGATTATCAAGCTTGACTCAAAACGGACTTTTATTGGATTCGACGCATCGTGGTGAAATGAGGTCAGGGTGATTGGAGATCGCTTTTCAACCCACTTTTCTTGAAAATCATAGCGTAGCAATTTGCAGAGACTAAAGCAACCAAAAATAAGCAGGGTATAGTAAGTTGTAAATCCCAAAAGAATAAATCCGAAATCTAACCATTTAGATGTTCAAGAACAATGCTAAAGGCGCTTGTGGCTCAGTGGTCCGAGGCGCCCTGCAGTACACATGGGATCGATCTCCGCGCCCCAGACTCACTAGGCCCTCCACTCCTCCGGGGTCGGCAAACTGATACCATACTTGTTTGGAAGGATGGCTTACTGCTCCAGAGCGATACATTGGTAGGCCACTACAAGTCGTTGTAAAGGCCAGATATGCATTCAATCACCTCCAACGATGCTCAGTGGAGTCGAATGGATGGCGTATCCCTCAGGGATTGATCAACGCCGAGAGCTTTATCCCTTTATCCTTAATAAACAACGTTTAGCAAAATGTTACAAATTTTTCTAGCTATTAACAGCTCATCAAAGAAAAAACATTTAAGCAGCAAGAAGGCTATATGTTTATATAAATAAAAATGCTATGTGTAATTATTAACATTATGTCATAAAAGTACGATCTTTGTCACTTACACCCCAGTTAATTATCGAGAAACTTGCGGTGGCGCCAAAGAAATCCACATTGATATTCGCCACCAGCTTGAGATGTCAAACGAACCTCACTTCATAACTCGAAAGACCGACTTTTGCGGGACTGGCCCACACGTAGTTCACGTGGCGTCGCGAGAAAGACACACCCAGGGGTCGAAATATCATTTTGAAATAGGGCGCCAGGTCACGCGTGATGATGAGGCATTCGTCCTTCCGGTTCATCTTTGGATTTTTGAAATTTATCCAAAACGCCTCAAGAGTTTTGCGCGTTGATGTTTTTGATTCCTGCGCTAGGATCCGCACATATCGTACGGCTAAAAATATGTGTACAGGAGAAGAGGAAAGGAAGGAATCGCAAAACCTGGTACGAAAAATTGCCATTTCCAATGGCTAAGAAGTAGAAGCCACTCGGGTTAGAGGAAGACGTTGGGTAGTTTCCCAAAATAATATTTCAGATGAAAGTAGGATCCCCTTTAAGCCGCCTTTAATATCAAATGAAGTAAGTCACGCCATTAAAAAGTGCTTAAGAAAAAGTGAAAAAACAGTAAACAAACGATCTTGAAAATTATGTAACGATTATTGACATCCCACCCAATACCCTACGCCGCCAGTTAGTTCGAAACCGTCTCTATGATCGTTTGTGCAGCTCAGAAAACTGTATGATCTGTCCCAACGGGAGAGACGGGGATTGCATGAGTTTAGGTATAATATACTTGATCTCATCTAATGCATGCGGCGAGGAATATATCGGGGATACGGGTAGCCCACTTTGTGTTCGCATAAAAGAACATCTAGATGGAAAAGCTAAAATCCGTTTAAACACCCCTCTAGGTACGCATAGGGCACAAAAGCACAACGGCGATGATTTTGAAGTGAATGTGCGGATCCTAGCGCAGGAATCAAAAACATCAACGCGCAAAACTCTTGAGGCTTTTTGGATAAATTTCAAAAATCCAAAGATGAACCGGAAGGACGAATGCCTCACTATCACGCGTGACCTGGCGCCCTATTTCAAAATGATATTTTGACCTCGGGGCGTGTCTTGCTCGCGACTCCACGTGAACTACGTGTGGGCCAGACCCGCACGTAACATCACGGTGAGTGGCCTTTATATTCAATATGGCGTCTATTTGAAAGTTTGATCTTCATTAATACTTTAACCTTCTTTTCCACCGAATAATAGAAAGTATTCTAACATAAAGTACGTCCAGGCTCTGAGGAAGGCGAAGTCGCCGAAACGTCAGCCATTGATCAATAACATCAAAAACAACGACAACGACAACGAAAATCCGTACCAACCTCGCATCAGGTTAAGAAGATCAGTTTATAAGATCATATAAATAAATATATGAACTTCACTTCCTTGAATAATACGAGTAATAAATACGATGATTTGGTGGGATTCTCAAAGAAGATCGATATTGACTACAAGAAGCCTTCAATAACACTTACAAAAAGACGAAAAACTCTTTGGTAATTACATGATCAACAACTTCTCGAAAAACTCACCGCTTTTTACGTGACTTCCAATGAGGAAGTTTAGAACAGCTGATTATAGTCGCATGTGGTTGATGACTGCACCATCCCACATCAGAAATTGATGCGAACATACGGGGTCGGGTCGCCTATGACCGCCGGGCATTCATCCCTGCTATTCATTGTAGAGTTTTTGGCATTTATCCAAAAAGCCTCAAGAAGTTTTCGCGCTGGTATTCTGGACTCGACTCAAATGTTCCTAGAACTTTTACGTAACGCGTCTCCTAATAACGCGTACGTGATGGAGTCTTTCGACGTTACCGCACTATACACCAACGTGTCGAATGACTCCGCAATGCAAGCCATCTTCGAACTTCTTGTTGAACATGAAGGAAGAACAAATATGCATGGCTTGTCCATCCAGCAGCTAATGGCTCTCTTAAAGGAGTGCCTAAACTGGTCGATTTTCAGATGGTCTAGGAAATATTTCGCGCAAATAAGGGGGTTGGCAATGGGACAGCGACTGGCACCAAGCCTTGCCATTGTATTTATGTCTAAGATAGAAGCCCCTGTTCTCGATCTCCGGCCACTACTCTACTGCAGATATGTCGATGATTGTTTTATCGTCTTCTCTACGCAAGAGGAGATGGAGAAATGCTTTGAATTATTAGACGAGCAGTCTGAGTATATAAAGTTCACCCGGGAGAAACCGAGAAAAACTGGCTTCCGTTTTTGAACGTTCAAATAAACCTATCAAGTAGCGGTTACTTGACAAAGTGGTACCGAAAGCCAAGTAACAAGAACATCCTCGTTCATTTCCCTTCTTCCCACCCTTCACGCAAAAAGAGGGCGATTGTGAGAAACATGTTGCGAACAGCCAACTCTGTGTGCACTACCAGGGAACTAAAGGAAGAGTCGCGCGACGTGGCCCGGCAAATAGCCATCTCCAATGGCTACGAAATAGTAACCCCAGGAGACAAGTTTAGAAGGAGAGCGATGAGCCCACGTGAAACACTTGGCCAAAAGAAAGTCCCGTTTATGTTGCCTTTTATAAATGTTGAAGTAAGCGTAGCTATTAAACGATGCTTAAGAAGGAAAGGTCTAGAGGATTCGGTAGCGATAGTTGAAATACCACTGGCTACTCTACGTCGCCAGTTCGCAAAAGCCTGTATGACCGTCTGTCTGAAACAATAAATTGCGTAATTTGCCCTTACGGCAAGGACGGCATTGCATGAGTTCAGGTACGATATACCGGATCTCTTGTAATAATTGCGGAGATGAATATATTGGCGAAACGGGCAGACCTTTGTGTATCCGTATAAAAGAACACCTAGATGGCAAACGAAAACTAAGACGAAGCACCCCACTAGGCACGCATAGGACACAAAAGCATAGCGGAGACGATTTTGAAGTAAAATTCAATACCCTTGCACAGGAGTCCAAAACACCAGCGCGAAAACTTCTTGAGGCTTTTTGGATAAATCCCAAAAATCCTACAATGAATAGCAGGGATGAATGCCCGGCGGTCATAGGCGACCCGTATGTTCGCATCAATTTCTGATGTGGGATGGTGCAGTCATCAACCATATGCGACTACAATCAGCTGTTCTAAACTTCCTCATTGTAAGTCACGTAAAAAGCGGTGTTTTTCGAGAAGCTGTTGATCATGTAATTACCATAGTTTTTCGTCTTTCTGTGTTATTGAAGCGTTTGGCCTAGTAGATTGTATATCAGCATACACTTCCAGGCTCTGAAGAAGGCGATACTGCCGAAACATCAGCTACTGTTGTATTGTACTGTGTGTTTCTATGGAAGCAAATGTATGCTGTTTAACAACTTTGCGATTGCTGAACAATAAAACGACGCATTCATATTCCAATGCCGAGGTTACTAGAAAGTCGATCCTGGGAACTATAGTAATATTGCTGCACGAACAATATTTCCTGATCATCTCCCATGTTTTTATAATCCTCCTGTATATTACCCCACATCGTTGTTAATGTACTCTGTTTAGTTAGATTACTACCTACTGAACCGCCTGACTTTTAATTTACTGTACATGCATTTATAGTCTAACTGCATTATCGTGTAAATATTGTATAATTGGCTAAATTACCCAAGTTTCAGGTGTTAGAGTCAGCGACTAACACATAAAAGTCCCGCGTGGCACCTACAACAACTTGATATTCATGTAAAGTTGTGAGTTCACCGCCACGACAATAAATGAGCAAATTGTTGGGACAATATTGAAGCTACACACAGTCATATATTAAAGGCTGGAAGGAATTTGATTTGTAGATGAATTGTTCCACTAGAGTTGTTTTTCCCTCCCAACGGTTTACTGCTTCATCATGGTCGGGAGGTGCTTCTGGATGTCCGACTGGGATGCACAGCAAGGGAATTTATCCCCTAACAGGACCTTCCAAACCTGTACTCCAGCGCTCCCATCAGTAACCCCACCTAAGACTAAACCATTTCCAGGATCCACCACCCTTCTGGCATCGCATGGTTGCAAATCTTCTTCTGATCCACAAGGGCGGCGATTGTCTCTGGGGTGGTGAGGCCTGGGGCAGACTTTGGCTTCCCTAACCTCAGGACTCCAATGAACCACAATGGTTAAGCCAGCTAAGCTCTGACGAAATGAGAATTATGCTGGGGCCAACACAACCGGTGAAGACGGGCCGTGTATGAATCCAAGAGTTGTTGTTCATAAAATATCGAAACGACTTAGTCACAATACGCACGTTGTATCCAAGAGGCAGAAAATATTAAATGACCTGAAATTGCAGCGAATCATTACTGACTTACCAATGAACTGTTCTCCAACGAACTGTTTTTTCCTATCAACCTCTATGAAGACAGATCAATACCATAATTTGAGGCATTGATGGGATACCGTAACCTGAGGAGTATCATATCATATTTACCTGGAGAATTCGGCTCCATCGCACTTCCAATGCAAAATAACAACCAACACAGCAAAGTTCAAAATGTTCTTTATGGTGAAATCGTAGAACTCCACTTCGATAAGCGACAGATCACAGTGAAATACAGAAACTGAAAAGTGTTACAGCAATATAGACGTAGCTCATGATGTTAACCCTGCATAAATGATATCGAGCAGTCGTAGTCGAATTCCAAAAACACCTAAGTGGAAAGATACAAAGAAATGATCTACACACGAAATATCAACTTTTCATAGATAAAGAGAGTTCGGGTTATGGAATTATATCAAATTGCAACCGTTCATAACAAAATACATAGGAACAGTAAAGACACATAAGCTCAATCGTACACTAAAGAATGAGAACAAAGAAAGAAACGAACAGGAAGAAACAATAATATGAATAAGGTGTACAAGTTACGGCAGAGGTCAATATGGAGAAAACCCTGTACAAATATCGAATTCATTGAGAAAGCCCAACAAATGTGGACTGGCGAGCACGAAAACAAAAATTAGAAAGCCCTTAATGTTAGCCCAACTAACAAATTATTATCCAAATAAAAATAAATGAAAAATAGTACCAGTAACAGAAATGGAGAAGAAAATCAGCATTTCAACAATTTTGATCAACTCATTTGCACGCTCTCATAGGCCAGTTAGAATCCGATTTCCTAGATTATCCAGTTGGCTTTGCCGTCCTAACAAACATGAAAAATAAAAACAACATTATACTAAAGGCAGGTGAGATTAATCAGAGTCGGCGTCGTCTGAATAGGCATAGTTGGCGTCCCTCATCAATGGACTCGCATCTTCGGTTCTTCGTTGACGTCCGACCGGCTGCGGGTACGGAGCCGTTCGCGTCAACGACGACATCCGATTTGACTGACCCCGACCGCCAACGCCGGATGAGCCTTCAAGTACACAAGTGAGGACAAAAATTGTCAGCTCAATTTCAAGCTGATGTTGTGAACTGCAACTTCTTGCGTAAACGAGACCAATTAGGTAAAGTTTTCGACCATTGTGAAGAATGAACGGAAGGAAAGCGAATCGACTGCAAAGAGTGCTGCAATCTGCACAGTAGACGTGATCACGGGTAATGAAATAAAATCACTCAAACAAACGATGTGTTGGTCAATTTAAATTGGAAGCGAATAGCGCAAAAGCTAGTGACGCTGTCGATTAGGAAGCAAAGGCGCTAGTTCGACCTCGTCCCATACGCTCTTTTTTAATTCACGAGGGAACGCCTTAGCCCGGCAATATCCAAGGTTACAAGGAGATTTAACTCGAGGAGCGTTCTAGGACATTAATAAAAATAACATGAAATCCTCAAGCAACAGGCGAAAGAACATGTGAATAGCTCGAAGACCATTGCGAAAGATAAGTGCAAGGCAAACGAATCGAATGCAAGAAACGATGGGACGCGCACAGTAGATGTAATGACAATTCATGTGTGTTCTTTCGACGTAGAATGTTATCCAGTGGTAAACTTAGAGATTAACAATGAATACGGCAAAGGGCGAAAAGCAACCGGTAAAGGAAAGCGAGTATTTCCACGTTTCCACTACAAATAGCCCCATTAATGACAAAATCATTCGTGTTCATTCTACACCTCGATCACAGCTAAATATAAAAAACGTGAATCAGACTTGAAAGTTATTTCGCTGTCAAATTTGAGCCAAACAAAGAAAAATGGTAAAAATTGCAGTAAGCAAGTAAGAATAGAACTAAGCTGTAAAATCTACTGTGTATACCATGTCTACATATTCGTTGCACTACAAAAATTTTAATAGAAGCTTTCCAAAAAACACTTTTTCCATATATTAACGCCATCCCTATGGCTTACCGCCTTATAGTGCCTGGAAGTTTTCCTGGGTATCGGACTGCGATGTACATTGGCGGATTCATCCACTGGCAGTGTCTCTTAACCTAAGGAGTTCGGCGTTTCCATCAGGAAGCCTAGCTAAGAGTAAAACAGTATTAGGATCCACCATTGTCCTAGTATGAAACTAGTCGGGTGGTGGCAAATCTCCCTCTGATCCACAAAATCCGGCGAATGCCTGTTGTGGTGAAGATCTGGAGCAGACTTTGGCCAGGTTGACCTCGGGACTCCAGAAAACCACAATGGCTAAGCCAACAAAACTCCGAAAAACGGAAATTATGTCCAGAACTTCGAAGTTTTCAGCTGCAGTGTGTGTAGGCAGAAACATGTATACTACAGAGGTTCTTATTTTGACAAATAAAAATCTATTTGAATCGGTTAAAAACCAGCTACTATTCTCGTTACAACCGAATACAAGTGGGATAAAAATCTATGCAATATTTCTATCACAAATATATTAAATCTCTGACTCTTACGAATAAACCCTTTCAAAGTCAGTGTCAGTAAACTAACCACTTTGAGAACTAGCACTAGCCCTCTGGTTGTGTTGGGGAAGCGAATGGGCAGGGCTTATCACGGACCACGATTGCAGCCGACTGTGAATTTCTGAGAATGTTGGCCGTCGTTCCGGATTTGCGTTCCAGCACTCGATCATAAGGCTGAAAATCCATGTGCATTAAATCCATGCCTATCCTGCAAAATAAATTGAACTTTACTTACTACTCACTAAATTTTAATGGTGCGGTACCAGACAATTTTTAAATATATACTTTCTAATTACAAATAACTATCTGATCAGAACATTCCTCTCAAGATATCAGCAGTTCCGTTACAGTTTCACTATCGACAACGGTTGTCAATGGTCAAGTATTCGTCTAGTTGTTCAATATTCCTTTGTTGGCTCAAAAATTGAATAAAAACACCAAGTGATTTAAAATTCACCCATAGATGTTTGTCGGACAATTGGCTGGGCAGTCTAGGAGGTGGCGATTAGCAATCAATTCGATAACGCTCTGGTTTGAAGCTGAACCATAGGGTTGACGACCGTAGCTCCAGATCTCCCACAGAGTGACGCCAAAGGACCACACATCGGATGCTTCGCTGAATCGGCCCTGCTCTAAAGCCTCCTTCGCCATCCAACGAACCGGCATCCAAGATCGATGCACCATCTATAATTGTAAATTGTAGATATCCAAGTTCCTGTGAGCGGTTCAGTGCAACGAAATGTGAGGACGCAGCTTGCCCGTGACAACACCAATCTTTTTGCTAAGTCCATAGAGCCTTTTATATCTTTTTATTTATTAAGCCCACAAGAAATTTCCTTGCAAAAAACAAAGTACCGAGTAGTCTGGTGGCTATCCGCAAAAGTTAAGCTGCATTCACTTGTAAAACTTCAAAGAATTCGCACAATAACGTGCATGATGCGATAAATTATTACGAAATCAACGCTCTCGCGACGACATCTAATCTTGGGTTTGTTGGGGACTAGACGATGCCTAACTTTCAGCCTTTATGGAATTTCTTGTCTTTTCAAAATAAACAATAATTTTCCGATAACTAGAGGATTTCATGGGTCGTGAACATGAGTGGATTGTAGGAAAGACTGCTCTATCGTTCTATGAGTATGGAAGATATTTATGGTACTATTTACCATATGTTTGTGGTCCGAGGCACCCTGCAACACATACATGGGATCAATACCCGAGCCCATGGCCCACCAAGCCTTCCATCCCTTTGGGGTCGGCAAATTGGTACGAGACCTGTCTGGGAGGGTAGCAGCACTTCCTCGATATATCGATATGCCACTGCAAGTCATTGCAAAGGCCTGATATGCATTCAATCACCTCCAACGATGCTTAGTGAAGTCGAATGCATGGCGCATCCCTCAGGGAATGACCAACACCGAGAGCTTTATTCTTTACCCTTTTATTGTTCACTATATTTTTACCATTGTACGTCATATAAACACATTACACTCAGCATATGGAAGTGTTATTCAGCTTATGGGCTTCTACCCCAGTATTTTTATACCTAGTTTATTACATTTCGTACCACTTTATATTTATATAGCTATTATTCACTAACTACAGCAATTAGAATTGAAATACTGTCCTATAAGCACCAAATTTGTAGTTAGTGACCTCGTTCGGAAAATGGTTCTTTGCATATTCCTAAGTGCATGATAGAGCTCTTCCCGACCGACGTCTAACACATCTGAGCTCTACAAGCTAAAATGATGGTAAAAAGTGTAGGAAAATAGTTCTACGTGTTAAAATAAACGACCGGGAAGAAAATGAGACCTATAAGAGTTTCATCGGCCACTCCTGCAAAACGATTGTGACACTGACACCTACATGTGTTAGTCATCGTAACAGTGTTAATGAACGACGTGCACACTACCTGTCGACTTGTCGATGCGTTGATTCCTACTTTACATAACAGCTGAGAAATTATCGTGAATAGTATTTACTGAATAGCTCACTTTGTAGTAGTCGCTATCATAGCAAGAACGCATGAGACCAAAGTCGGCGATTTTTATGATTCGTTGATCGCCGACCAGACAGTTTCGGGAGGCCAGATCGCGATGAACAAAAGACATTGACGCGAGATATTCCATTCCATACGCGATCTGTAATCCATACAGTTAACAACACTAGATGTGTGACGGATCTACTGACACACTGGTTAAAATCTGCATCTTGATGGATGGTTAATAAAAGTCATAATCCAATACATTACTTAGATGGCCCGTCTTCACTGGTTGTGCGGGCTCCAGCATAATATCCACTTCTTGGGAGTTTTGCTGGTTTAGCCATTGCGTTTTCTTAGAATTCCAAAGTCAGCCTAGCCAAAGTCAGTCTTCCCCAGATCGTCGCCGCCCTTGTGAATCAGATGGAGATTTGCGACCATGCAACTAATCTGATACCAGGACGGTGGTGGAACATGGTATTGGTTTTTTCTTAGCTGGGCTTCCTGTTGGAAACGCCGGAATCTTTCTCAGCTTACAAGACTCTGCCGGGGGATGATCCCCCGTTGTAAATCGCAACCCGACACCCATGAACACCTCCCAGCGATGATGAGGTGGCAAACGGTTGGGAAGAATCCAATACATTGTAAGCTAAATGAAGTGTCTTAACACGTTACAGTGCAATGGGGTGCCACCTGCATACATATGCACAAGGTGAAGAATCACTAGAACAATAACAAGATTTCAGCTGATGGCAACTCACTTGTTTTGCGATGCTCATAAAGTCCGCACTGTCGTCGGCTGGATTGTGATCTGGATGAGCTGGAGCGCGGATTCGAAGGAACTCATGTAAATCACCATTTACCATGTACTCGAAAACGGCTGATAGGCGCCCATTTAAATAAGTTACACCGAAAATTGACAGTTTTAAGCCGCAGGCAACTGCGATCCAAGAGATCTTAAAAACCAGTTACCGAGCAGTCGAACAACATGCGGATGGTCGAACGAAGCCACCGTTCTCACTTCTTCTTCAAGGCTTGCTCGGTCAGCATTTGTAGCATCGACACGGACAGATTTTATGGCAACCCAAAACAGGAAATTCAGCGACCATAAAACGAAATCGATGAAGGGCAATACCTGGAGTGGATCACCGCTGATAAGGCCACCTGTCCAAAAACCTTTATACACAACTCCGAATTGACCTTCGCCAAGAAGGTCACCCATTTTGATCTGCAAAGATGCGATTAGTCTTTTGCAAGCACATAAACCTGTCTATCTCACTTGGTTTGCCGGAATTTCCAGGATATGGTATGGTTCGTCTACATGCAAATCATCCGGTACATGGAATGGTTCTGCGTAGGGTGGTGGTACGCTATGGTTGGGCAGAAGAGAAGCCATTTCCAACGGGCCACTTCCAATGCCACCACGAGTCATTATAGGAGTAGAGGTGCCGTTCATTTTCCTCTGATAATAGGCTGAGTTTGCCGCACTAAAATGCAGTCGATGTCAACAGGAGTAAATTAACAGGTGTCCGAAAACTACGAAAATTTGAGAATATATTATAAAATCTATTGCGCTGGAAAGAAAGCTTAGTGACACAGCTTTCGTTAGCATTAATTTATCCGTATTATTGATGACGGTAAACAAGGTCCTCAAAACAAACATTACTAGTGTTTAGTATAAAATACGATCAGGGCTTGCATCAACCAGAAACAAGGGCAGTTAAATAAACTATAATCAATTTCTACTAATTCCACTCTCTACTTATTTAATAAGAGCCAAGCACTTTGACAAATCAGCTTCTGAACACATGAGTGTTGCAGTGGAGCTTGACGTCAGCCACCAATCCAACGTCATTCTAAACCCTAGCAGATATCTTGGTTGAGAAGACAAGGTGATCAAAATATAAAGAGGCTTACCATTGATCAGAATAACGTGCTACACATTGATCCTCATACTGCATACTCTTCTATTCGCCTGAGTAACACCTTTAGAAAGTAATGCTTTTTCCAGGTTGTCCAAACCACCCACTTGGAAGAACTTTGATGGTTGACCCAAATCAAAAGCGATACCAAAAAGCACTTCATTTTTGCACCGCTGGAAGCGTCCAAAAGCCTTTAGAAGTCATTATTATTACCTACTCCCACGACCGACCTATTAACCTCCGTACTAATAAAATAATTCTTTATACTCTAGTTGAGCAAACACGATGTTTTATTTTATTTTCTTATTATTTATCACATTTTTTTTACTCTATTCACGAGCCAGTTGATGTTTCGGCGGATTTTGCCTTCCTCAGAGCTTGTTTGGCTGGGTAGATTGCGGTCAACCTGACCTTTCCAAGCTCTGAGGAAGGCGAAATTCGCCGAAACGTAAGCTTGTTCGTGAAAAAAAAAAATAAAATAACACGTGTATGTTCAACAAAAATATAAAGAATCGCTGCCTATGATGTCATAATCATAGCTTTTGAGGTGAATAAACACACTTGGTTTTGAAACGTGGTAGAACTTCCGAACTAATATGTTCCAACATTAGGTTTATCTATGAATGTACCTGTTGACCACCGATGGCGGATTCGTGGCAGGAAGTAGAGAATGAGCAGCTGAGGTGGTCCCTCGGTCCTTCGCGGATGAGTTTTTCTTTCTCGTTCGGCAGCAACAAATACAGCAGAAAAGCAGAAGAAGCAATAGCAATGACAAAACGCCTCCACCAATCACGGCCAGCTGCCAGTGAGGGGGTAAATTCTCCCACATGGAAGTCATAGACTCGCCCAAACCCACCTATTTCGAACGTTAATTATGAATAGTAACTATACATGTCAAATTTGTTCATGAAAATAAAACAAATAAAGCTCACATTGTTGTTGTCAGCGTTACCGTTACCTTCAGCAAGGTGCGGAAATAAGTCTCTGGAGCATTGAGGGATCTGAGAAATATCTGATATATGGAACTGAGAAAAAGCCACAAATATTTCAAAGTTATAATTCTCCCCTACTTAACAAGGCAAAATCTTAAAAGTAAAGAATTACAAAAAACACTTCTACACAGAATGAGTTCACAAAGGGATACACATGAAATAAACAACGAATGTAGACGTTGTCATTTTGGCGCTACAACTCACGTCACAGTACGCCTCCTGCCCCAGAGGTTGCGAATAGCACCATGGCTTTGTCTTTTTCCCACCGGGATTCCGACAATAATTCTTGGAATATCTTAACTCGGGATATCTTGCCACATTGTACTCCCTGGAAATCATGCTCTTCAAATGCATACGCTTTAAGAAAAAAAACACTTGCATATTATCTCTACGATAAGTCATGTATGAGTGTAATATAGCTGACTGCTATTCAATGAAAGGCTTAATTAAACAAAAAACTGTTCTACTGACCCCTCAAGCGAAGGTAGGTTTTCAATAGAAAAGCAAGTTCTCCTAAAAAAATGATGAAAAATGGTGATTGATATGGACAACACCTCGACGGTGCTTCGTTCCAGTTCATACATGTCTTTCCATTTACTGTAGTTGATGCGGTGCCCTCATAGTGTTTCCCACTATCCACATAACAGAAATGCGTTAGATGACCACGAGGTATTTGTGGCTCGGGTGTTAACTGAAAAGTTCACAATAACATGAAAACTATGTGTGATAGAACCACAACAGTGCTCATATATTTGCAAAATATAAGTAGAACCCAGATCCATCCCGATGACGGGTGATTGCTGATAGTAATGGTAGACATAAGACTAGTTGAGAGAAAGGCGAAACGAGCGACCTGCATGGTGTGGTGGTGAACGCATTACCCTGAAAGGGTAACAGCGCGTTCGCTCCTCACCGCAGACACCTGCGGTCCGCAGTTTTGCAAATATCTCAGCACCATTGTCGTTGTTTCACAAATAACACTCTACCGTGAAAAATTGTAGTAAGCAGTAAATAAGTGAATAAAAAGCCCACAATATCAAAATTGTTAGAAAATAAAAACTGCAGACTAGCTAAACATACAATCTGGTAATAAAAAGCACGGAAAAGGTACTGCTATTGCATAAAAGCCGAAATTCGAACAGTATGTATGTTTTTCTTCTAGATGCAATAGTGCATTAGGTTAACGACTGATGAGAATACCAGAGCGGTGGGAGAATCCAAAACACTGATACAGTTGGTGGTTGAGGTGGACAGAGCTGAGCATCTGGGGAAAAGTGCCTTCGGACCATCACCGACGAGTTCGTGTTGTGCCGCCAGATCCAGCTCCGACGGACAAAGACGATTCTGAAGTAATAGATTTCGAAAAAAAACAGGAAAGCTCTACGAATTTTTAAACTGTCCAATGTTTATTTATCGAGAGGCTTCGTTTCCCTAGTCAGAACTGTAGCAGTACTACGAGATGGAACTAGCACTGATACATACAATGGGATGTACTGAATAAAAAAATACTAAAGTGTGAACACAAAGAAACAATTGTGTGAGGCCACAATCTACGCTTTCCCCATAACGAAAAATCAAAGGAGTCTTCTTTTGTATTACATTTCTCATTCCGGTGACCTATAACACAGAAGGCGCGTGTGGCGCAGTGGTTAGAGGGGCCCTATAATACACATGGAATCGATCTCCGCGAGCCAAGCTCACCAAGCCATCCATCCCTCCGGAGTCAGCAAATTGGCACCAGACTTGCCTGGGAGGATAGCAGCAATGGTTCGCTACATCGGTAGGCCACCTCGAGTCACTGTAAAGACCAGATATGCATTCATCGAATGCATAATACATTCCTCAGGGATTAATTAACGTGACAGCTTTATCCACTTATTTAATATCACAGAATAATGTCAAGTGAAATTCAGAGCTTCATACATCTACGATGACATAGGAATTTTTAAAACATTTGCCATTTCGAGAGGAATGAATCGAAAGTGCAACAGCTGGTGTTTAGAAAACAAAAGGAACCATGGGCGACGATGTGGCACGTGTTTTCACACATTTGCGACAATGCGCATTGATTTCAACCCATATGAACCCAAATCTTACCTTGAAACTTAGATAAACATATCTCAGATAGCAGTAAACAATATTTGTTGAAATAGAAAACACTAGAATCTGCACATTTTTAGCAATGAGGTGCAGATTTTCGTAGTCTGCGAAGTGAAATCATAGCAATTCCCAAGCTGGTTTGTTACGAAAGTGAATATGGTTTACGATTAAGGATGTGCATTAAAATTAAAGAAAAACATTCTTAAGGTACAATTTGAAGGTGTGTTTTAACGATAGATGACAACCACTTGTACAAGATCACCAAGAATAGTAAAGAAATTTGAGAGACTACTATCATTTAAAGAAGAAACACTTTGTTCTGTCTTCGAAGACGTTTTCTAACTTTGGGTATCAAAGGCCCGACGCTTAAATTCACTGCATGAGTATTTATCGAGGTTAACCCTCTCCAACCAGGTACATGGATAGTTGGATACTTTGATGGCCCGTCCCCAATGGTTGTATGGGCCCTACCACCAAAATTTCCAATTTTACGGAGTTTTGTTGGCTTAACCACTGCGGTTCCCTGGAGACCCGAGGTCAGCCGAGTGCAAGTGTCCCAGGTCATCGCCACCACAGGCGCTCGCAGACATTGTGGATCAGAGGGAAATTTGCTACCATGCGACTAGTTCGATACCAAGACGATGGTCGATCCTGGTATTCGTTTACTCTTAACTATGCGTCCTGATGGAAAAGCCGGACTTTTTCTCAGCTTGCGAGACTCTGCCCGGATGGTGTGGTGGTGAAGTGCACTACTCCCCGGAAGTTCGTTCCCCACCGCATACACCTGCGGTCCGGAGTTTTGAAAATATCTCAGCATTAGATACGAGTTATATTTCGCAACATACCCTGCCATTAAAAAGAAAAAGGCAGTAAATAAAAGGGTTAAGACTATTATTATCTCTATCTCACTTATTCTATTATTACTCTAATCACTCTCTATTGTCTCACTATTATTATCGGTTCAAGAGCAAGCAATCTCAGTCTGACCAGAGATGTTTTACATAGCCAGATCCATATATATATGTATATATACATGCACATACGTATATACATATATATATATATATATTTCCATGTCAACTTTGTGTCAAAAACAAATCGATGAAGACAAAGAGGAAGTGGAAACCTCTTAAAAGCGCAATTCATTTCGATCACATCCTTGCTTATATCAAAAAGCAAATCCACAATAACTTTATCCTCTTATTAAATGACATATTAAAGACTTGCTAAAATTAAGTAAAAATCAACAACAATTTCATCAAAAATTGAAACACCATTGAAAATTCCTAGTAACGACATCTGAAAAGCTTGCCTGAATCTCATCGCAGTCCTTCTTACAGACGGTCAACGCCCGCTTTCCGTCGGACAACGGATCACAGACTTTGTACATATGGAAACAAGCGACATTGGTGGAGATCTGCCGGCACTGTTGCGAAATCGTCGGCGCGCTGTTGATGAACATCATCGCCGCTCGAAGGTTCCTATCTGAAGCAATCACATTGGTCTACGATGCCTGAGAGGATAAAGGGAGAATGTTCTGACACTGGCGACAAATTCACCGAATGATCAGGCTTCCAACAGAGAAAAATTTGAGAATAGTTCAATGGAGCTTAGAAATATTCGAACATAAAGTTCAAATTAAGCTAAAACGAGTATGAACAACCTATACAGTGACGTACCTATTCAACCACTTCAGCCAGATAAACGAAAACAGTGAAAGATTTGAGAGAAATCTGTGCATGTGCCACTATTCGAGATAGAGAAATACAACTTTAACGAAAATTTTAAGGACGAATAGTTCATAAAACCATTAGATAGAAACTACGCTTGGATACTTCGATGGCCAATCATTACCGGTTGTGCGGGCCGCAGCATAATTTCCATTGTTTCGGAGTTTTGCTAGATTAGCCATCATCGTTCCCTGGCGTCCCAAGGCCAACCAGGCCAAAGTCCGCCCCAGAAGCAGCAGCCGCCCTTATGGATCAGAAGAAGTTTTGCCACCATGTGACCAGTTTGATACCAGGACGGTGGCGCGTCTTGGTATTGGTTTACTCTTAGGTGAACTTCCTGTTGGAAATGAGGGACTCCAGAGCTTGGGAGACCCTCTTGGAGGGATGAATGTCTCCGGGGTACATCGTAGCCGACACCCAGGAACATTTCTGGGGCACGATTAGGTCGTAAACCATTTGGAGGTAGGAACTACAGAAATGAAAAAACAGCAACCAAAAAGTGCAACCAATCTAAATAACTGAACATCATTTGGAGGAAGCATGATAAGCCACTACTCACCGATGTCGTACATGTCCTCACGACTCCCGCTCGTCATCATCACACTCCGACCGCTCAGGAACTGTCGGCATGCTTCTCCTCGATAGGGAAGGCAGTCCCCTACTCGGAACTGGAACCAACTTTAGCGTACGACAAGTGATAACAACTACAAACTCAAAGCTTCAGTGGAAATCACACTATGATGTATTCTGAAGACCGGATTCAATCAATACATATAATCTGCATAACGAAATTGTTAACACAGTGATAACCACGCAAGGTTCTCAACAACTAGTCACAATCATAAAATTTTCGATAATTAGAGCACCTGGGTACTTGAAAATTGGACAAATACAATAAAATTTAGCACCTGAAAGTAGCATATCCTTTCCAAAACTTTCCTTCTTCAATTTTCTCTTTAAACGTTAAAGTGAAGTTCTGAAATATCCTTAACACGAGCCGAAAATAGTAGCCAATGTCATCGACATGTTTCGGGATACTATCAAGCCCCTTCGAACGGAACCACGCTACCTCAACCACTTGGTTCCTGGAGATTAGAACCTCGACGAGAGAGAGCGAAAAGGTCGATGATTCGTGAGCTTCGGAATACTAGAACTTCATTGTAACCCTCACTTAGGTACTAATAAGGCCTGCTCTAGCATGACACCCAAACAGTTCCTCAATGAGATTCAGTTTCGTAGCCATTACCACACAGGGGGTCGTCTGAACGCCTAATCAGTACGTCTCAATGATGTGTTAAATGCCTCTTGAGCGTGGTCTTCCATGAAACTCCGACTTGGACTTGCTATGCTAAAGCGCTCATACATTTTCAGCACAGGAAGGTTACAGGATTTATGGACCAGAAGATTTGTTTCTTCCCGACTAGCATTCCTCCAGGACAGCAACCATTCCTGCAGCAGCATCGACTCTTCCGAATAGTGGACTAATCGCTCGGGGACAATATAACAGGCATACTTCGTCGGAACGTAAGACGTGAATTTTTATGAAATTTTGGTGTCAAAAATATGCAAACTCAACAGGTTCTTCTTTAAAATAATCAAGTTTACAATTAAATAATAAAGGGTGCGTATAGCGCAGTGGTCCTAGGCGCCCTGCAGTACACATGGGATCGATTTCCGCGCCCCAAGCTCACCAAGCACTCCATCCCTCCTGCGTCGGAAAACTGGTACCATGCTTGTTTGGGAGGATGGTTTGCAGCTCTGGAGCGATATATGGGTAGGTCACTGCAAGTCATTGTAAAGGCCAGATTATACTCAATCACCTCCAAACGATGCTTAATGAAGTCGAATGCATGGCGCATCCCTCAGGGATTGATCAACACCGAAAGCTTTATCCTTTTATGGAATAATAGAAGTGTTTTTAAACTTGAAATGTCAAATTGATTTTAATAAGACCTAACTTATGTGTAAGTCATTCTGTCGTCAATGATTCATTGAAAGGACAACAGATAAAAAACAAAGAAAGATTTGGCCCCCATCAATGCTTTACGGTGCTTCACGCATTCGACTTAATTAAGCACGTTGTTATTGACAAAATGTATACTTGGCATATAGAATGACTTGTTGTGTCCTAAAGGCAAACTAAGCCAATCTTTTTGTAGACAAAATACACTAACCTTAGTGCCGTCCAGCCATCGATCAGTGGAGGCCGAAGGCACGAATCCGGTTCCACCAGCAGTATCTGGCACCCGGAAGAGGTCCATGTCTTCCTCATCGGGAAGACGACCACGATCCATCAACTGAAGGTGAGGTGTTGTTTTTTAAAGATTAGGTAACAGAAGACAAAAACGTGCTGCAGACCTCGTAATCTTCGTAATCGTCCACAGAATGCGCTTTGCCACCCTTCCTCGACTTCACGTTGCTATCGGAAACATTGTTCACCTTAAACGGCTTTATAGAGATTTACCACATAAAATGTGTGAAAACGGCTATGCATGTCGAGTTGCTGACAAAAACGCTATAAAAAAAACAGACTGTAGAAAAAGGGATAACGCTCCTGGCGTTGATCAATCTCTGAGAGATGCGCCATGCATTCAACTTCACGAAGCACCACTGGAGGTGACTGAATGCATATCTAGTCTTTATAATGGCTCCAGGCGGCCTATCGATGCGTTGAGTCAGTGCTACTATCCCCCCAGACAATTCTGGCCTCAATTATCCAACACCGGAAGGATGGAGGGCTTAGTGGGCCTGAGGCGCTAGGATCGATCCCATGTATACTGCAGGGAACCTTCGACCACTGCGCCACAAGCACCCAAAAGACAGAGAGTAGAAAACATAATAGTAAGAAATAAGCAAAGTTCTTTTTTCATACCCCCCGCCCATACTTAATGTGGTAATTTTGTCTGAGGAGAAAATTCTGAAACTGAGTGCCTTTCGGATGGCTCGGTAGTGCAAGCAATGAGATGTTCGTAAAAGAGAAGAAGAAATTTCTCGAAGCATGAATGAAAATCGACCAAAGAAATGAAAACCGATCAACGTTAGCAAAAATCAGATGAAGAAAAGAGTTCAAGAAATAGCTGAAGTGGATAATCAGTAGAGATCTGCGAGTTGATCGATCGATACCGTTGGAATCCGATGTTGACATGCTCATAGTAAGAGTAAGTTTTCACCAGAGACAGCAAGAAGTTCTAGAACTTTTGGCTTAGACCTTGCTTCTAAAGTGACTAATAAGAGTTCGAGATTAGAAAAAGGATAAAACTCTCGGCGTTGATCAATCTCTGAGAGATCCGCCATGCATTCAACTTCACGAAGCACCATTGGAGGTTATGGAATGCATATCTGGCCTTCACAATGATTCACGGTAGGCTACTGATGTATCGAACCAATGCTGCTCTCCTCGAAGACAATTCTGGTATCAACCTGCGAGCTCGGAGGGGTGGAAGGCTGGTGACCCTAGGGGATCGATCCCATGTGTGAATTGCGGTGCGCCGCCGACCACTGCGCCACACGCGCCAAGGGAAAACGTCACACATGAGACCAGAGCAGTGATAAATCGGGCGTCGTGTAGAAGAGTTATGAGTTTGAGTCTGAACAGGCTTAATCTATGAATCTACAGGTACACTCATAAATGAACTGTTTAACACACGAAAAATTTATCGTGGAACTTCAAATTGGATGAAAAAAAGGACAATATATCCAAGGGACACTCAAAAAGAATCCCATTTTGCTATGGTTCATTCCTGAATGCCCCATCTTTTAAAGAAAAACTGCAGACGATCTCAGAATACCGACCTCAAAGATGTCATCCGGGTAGAAGAGGATGCGGCAGTAATAAATTTGAATCTGAATGATAGGATGTTATTCATAAGTTTTGGTGTATGACACCATATGAGGCGAGGGCTGTGTACGGGGGCGACGAGAAAGAAGGATGGATGGTCCGCGTCGACGGAGGCCGGAGGACAGCGACGCGACAGCCAGCCATCTGCTGGCCGTCCGTCGGCGGGTGGACTCGCGGGCACTCGGGCCAACAGCTGGGATCACGTCAATGTTCGGGGGCAGGGCAGGACACTCTCCCAGAGACGTTCTATAACGGGATCCGCTACCTATATGATAAGGGCACTTAGTTTCTTCTAGAGTTTCAAGGAAAAATAGCGGTGAGGAAGACAAAGACGTCGAAACGAATTGAGTCGAACAAACACCTCTACCAACCTCTTACTATCTTAGTAATCAAAGAAGGTATTGAATATTTATGTCGAGGTTAAGTGACGGTCGATTTGAAAAACATATCGGTGATTTCTTCTCCTAAGGAGAAAGTTTTTCCTCTTAGTGAAGGATCGTTTTCATTTTTGATTTTGTTTCTGAAGCGTTAAATCAATACCCGTCGAATCCACTGAACGCTCAATTTGGCGCTTTAGAAAGAACGAATTCGGAAAGAATTACTGTGTAAGGGCGTTTAGAAGCTTGGACAAGGGACCGTATGAAAGGATCCATCATTAGTGAATAAAAATGTGTTTCATTCTGGTTTGTCAGCGAAAAACCAGTCTTTAAGGATGATCGGCAGTTTTTCTAAGCACTCTTAGCACTTTTTTTTCAAATTATAGTCGAATAAGGATGATTTATTCTCACTTCTTGGTCGCTAAAGCACGATAGAAACAATGGAATCAGATGGATCTAGAAATGATCAATAGGAACCACCGATGAAGTTTTGAGTATTTCTCTAGCGATACCCATATCTTCAATAAAAAGTGAAACTTTTGAGCAATGAAAATAATCAATGTGTTCCTTTTGAGGAATTCAAATGGAGAATAACCCTTTAAAGAGTTGAGAATCGAACCGCATCGGTCATCACAAATTGGGTACAGAGGGTTTACAGAAGTGGAACGGAGTGTTCAGAGTCTGAACGGAGATCGATCCCACGACAAAGCAGCAGTCGTCGTCAGCAGCATTGATCGACGAGTGTCGCTATTTCTTTATGCCAACAACGCCGTGGTTCAGTTCAGTAAAAAAAAAGGCTAGGACATTTCCGCAGTGTGAACAGGGCCATAAGCGATAACTACGTGGTGGGCAAAGCGGTTAGTGACGAATACCCCCACACTTTAAATCCAACAATTTTAACCCTAATAGAAATAACTCGCGAGTAAGGATGGGGACTGGAAACAAGGAAAAAATGGGATGCGTACAATAAAAGCGAAAAATAAAACATTAGAAGAGCTACGACGAACGACGCGTGATTTGCACGAAAGGAGTGGAAAAACACCTTCCGGAAAACTCAGTGCAGAGCTGAAAACGTATAACATTTTGATGATATCCATCTTAGAAAGCTAGGCTACCTCTGATGGCCCAGAAAGCACAAAAGAATCGCTAGCAATGTCTATCCGATTCGTCGTTGACACGCCGTGATCTGAGCTGACAATGCAGACGCTGGAGAGGAGAAGCGGCGAGAACCGATCCGTCAAGGGACGACGCGACGACCAGAGCCGACGGACCATCCGTTCGTTCGGCTGTCGTTCATTTTGCATCCTCAGTCGTCTGACCCCCGCTCGTAAAAGCCCAAAACTAGCTAGGAATCCCAGCAGGTCAAGCATATATGCAGACTGAACGACATATCCCCTATGGCTTGGTGCGTACGAGAGACAAAAGATTTAAAGAACTACGAGTGGAACTGGATTTGTGAAAAAGTCGGACGATAGCAAGCAGTCTACAGCGAGAAGTTCATAAAAAAAAGTTATAAAAGTGATTGGAATTTGAAGTGTACAAACATCCCAACTGAAAAAATGAACCTGTACCGTACCTCTGAATTCTTGCTAAAAGAAAACAACTATAAAAGTTGATAAAAAGTCTAAAAAGGTTAATTTTGTCTTGAAAATCGATCCAGCTACTGTTGAGCATACAAAATACAAAAGAGTGGTAATGTAAGAAGCACGAAAAATATGGCACGAGATTTGAAAGGGAAACTGATGCAAGCGGACTGAAGCTGAGATATATTTAGTAGCCGCTGTTTAGAGATAGAGTGACGATCAGAATCGATTACACCTCCGGATAATCAGCGGTGTCAAAGATTACTTGAGAGCGAGGTAATGAACACGTAGTCCCACATATTGACTTTGGCCTGGGGATTTTTAACAAAAGGTCAGTTAAGCGGCCCGAAACAGCTTTCCGCAACAGGAGCAGAGATGTGGGTTTGGTGAGGGTGAGTGCTATCTGATGAACCGAGGGAGGGTCGCGGGCTGAGAGCGCTGCCCGTGATAAATCACCTTCGTTGCTTGTGGGTCGGCCGGTCATTCGGAGGCTCATCGTCTCAAGCGCCTAGGTGATTCGCATTCATCACATCGCTTAGGAATATGACCAAGATAAATCATCATTAGACACGAATTCTGACGGCAGTGAGAGGAGATATGACATACGACACAATAAATGCAGTTCAGTTCGGTAATTTTTTCCTTTGAAAGCTATATAGCTTAGTCCACTAATGATATCTTACGTTTTGGCATACTGGACGCCTTTGGCTAGAAGAGAAAAACACTCGTTTTCTCTATAAGCACTAAAAAACACGAGATTGTAACAAAGTGGTATATTTATTTATGTGATCTTACAAACTGATCTTCTTAAACTGGCGCGAGGTTGGCACAGGCCTTCGTTGTCGTTGTCGTTGTTTTTGATGTTATTGATCGATGGCTGACGTTTCGGCGACTTCGCCTTCCTCAGAGCCTGGACGTATTTAATATTAGAATATATTGATCGATGGCTGACGTTTCGGCGACTTCGCCTTCCTCAGAGCCTGGACGTACTTTATGTTAGAATACTTTTTATTAATCGTTGGAAAATAAGGTTAAAGTATCAATGAAGATCAAACTTTCAAATAGACGCCATATTGAACAGAAAGGCCACGCACCGTGATGTTACGTGCGGAACTGGCCCACATGTAGTTCACGTGGAGTCGCGAGCAAGACACGCCCCGGGGTCAAAATATCATTTTGAAATAGGGCGCCAGGTCACGCGTGATAGCGAGGCATTCGTCCTTCCGGTTCATCTTTGGATTTTTGAAATTTATCCAAAACGCCTCAAGAGTTTTGCGCGTTGATGTTTTTGATTCCTGCGCTAGGATCCGCACATATCGTACGGCTAAAAATATGTGTACAGGAGAAGAGGAAAGGAAGGAATAGCGAAGCCTGGCACGAAAAATTGCCATTTCCAATGGATACGAAGTAGAAGCCACTCGGGTTAGAGGAAGACGTTGGGTAGTTTCCCAAAATAATATTTCAGATGAAAGTAGGATCCCCTTTAAGCCGCCTTTGATATCAAATGACGTAGGTCACGCCATTAAAAAGGGTTTAAGAAAAAGTGGTCTTGAAAATTATGTAACGATTATTGACATCCCACCCAATACCCTACGCCGCCAGTTAGTTCGAAACCGTCTCTATGATCGTTTGTGCAGCTCAGAAAACTGTGTGATCTGTCCCAACGGGAGAGACGGGGATTGCATGAGTTTAGGTATAATATACTTGATCTCATCTAATGCATGCGGCGAGGAATACATCGGGGAAACGGGTAGACCACTTTGTGTTCGCATAAAAGAACATCTAGATGGAAAAGCTAAAATCCGTTTAAACACCCCTCTAGGTACGCATAGGGCACAAAAGCACAAAGGCGATGATTTTGAAGTGAATGTGCGGATCCTAGCGAAGGAATCAAAAACATCAACGCGCAAAACTCTTGAGGCGTTCTTTGATAAATTTCAAAATTCCGAAGATGAACCGGTAGGACGAATGCCTCACTATCACACGTGACCTGGCGCCCTATTTCAAAATGATATTTTGACCCCGGGGCGTGTCTTGCTCGCGACTCCACGTGAACTACGTGTGGGCCAAGTTCCGCACGTAACATCACGGTGCGTGGCCTTTCTGTTCAATATGGCGTCTATTTGAAAGTTTGGTCTTCATTAATATTTAACCTTTCTTTTCCACCGAATAATAAAAAGTATTCCAACATAAAGTACGTCCAGGCTCTGAAGGAAGGCGAAGTCGCCGAAACGTCAGCCATCGATCAATAACATCAAAAACAACGACAACGACAACGAAGATCTGTACCAACCTTAGCTTCATCTGTCAGCTTAAGAAGATCAGTTTATAAGATCACATAAATAAATATATCAGCTATCTATGCCGAGGTTTATAGAAAGTCGGTCTTTCGAGTTATTAAGAGATGTAACAAGGTGCTTTAGGAAGACTTAAAAACCATTGTTAAAAGGTAGATTTCTGCGATGTGATAATTGAACTTTCGGTTCTCAGAGGTTAACGCGACGAATATTACCTCGCACAACAATTATCCCTAGGGACCGCAGGCCATAAAATATTGATTTTCCAACAGATTCTTCTCAAATAAATCGAACCGTACAGTCTCAATATTTTGCAATCACATCGCGGACATAGAGTATTTTCTTGAGTGTCAACTGCAGTGTTCATTGCAGGAAAATCCAATATCTGTAAAATCGGACCAGCGGAAAATTATTCAAGCCGTCAGGAAGCTCACTATTGCTCCATCCGAGTTCTGAGCTAAAAGTGTAGCTGAGCTATAAACAGCCCTGGAAGAAGCCCAGTGCCAAGGTGGAAAACCGCTCTGTGCCTCATAAGGACATGTGACAGCCTATACTAACGACCTGTGAATACCTGGGGAAATTATCTCGCTATTCTTAGGAAGAGATAACTTGCAGAAATTTATGAATAGAATAAGTGAGGTAAATGTGGTCCACGAAATTTCAGCTTGCTCAGCAAGATAGTGGTGCGTGATGGAAGAATATCATAATGACAGCCAAGTGATACTAACGAAATTCTCATAACTATAGGGGAAAATTATCCTTTAAAATGGAAGAAACGTTTCCTATCGATGTCAGAAAATTAAAATTTGCAAAAAACTCATGCAAAAGTCTTTGCTTTAAAAACGAAGGAAAAAATGAACGTTGGGCAGACGATAGGCTGTTTGTCGGTGTGCGTGCGTGCTCGGACTCTGTGCCTCAAATTTTGTTCTTCTTTGCACTTTTTTCAGTATGAACGGAACTGGAGAGCTAAAATCTATCAACGAAGGTGCTCTGTGCTGGCCTGGCACTGCTGACCACAGAGCAACTGAGTGGAGACCGATAAAGGGAATGACGAGCACTGGACGCCACAACAGGAAGCGGCAACGAGACATCGGCAGCAGATGAGTGATACATTTGGCGACGAGTGTCAAACGAAATTAAACAGAGCATCGGAGAGGACAGAGAGTCTCGGAAGTAGATTGGAAAACTGCGTAGCTCATTACGGGGAGTAAGTAGCCACCAAATTAGAAGGAATCGCAGAAGAACAGATAGCTTGAATGAACACAGTCGACAAGCGTTCACAAGAAGGAATAGGCAATTGAGATGCCCAACTATAGCGCAAATAATACCTTGTGGAGCTTTTTATCTTTATCAGCACAGAAAAAATAAAGAGGCTTTGCCTAGACATATTCTTATCAATGGGTGGTAAAAGTACAGCAAGAGCAACTATGTTACAATATCATGACGAATAGAACGAATTTTGTGGTTTCACTAAGGATGACGATGAAGCAAGATCTCTCTACATTTCGAACGATTCACGAAAGGATCCAGGTTGGTTTGGTAGAGAACAGATGGAAAAGACGTTGCTTTCAAGAATGAAAGTGAATCAGCTAACTGACCCGAAGTACGCTGGTTGTGTTGACAGAGGCGGCTGAGTTGGACGCTATGCATTGATAGTAACCCGAGTCCAGCACGTCCAACTCAGAGATGACCAAACGGGACGAGTTCTCACGATTCCGTACCTTAACTTTCCTCGACTTTTCGATCGGCGCGTGGTTCTTCAGCCAACTGAAAATGCAGAAATCTTAGCACGAAGTGATGGAATAATAGAAATACGTGCCTTTGTAGCGACAACGTTTGGATCGATTTTCGCTCCAAATGCAGCAAAAGTATAATTTAATTTACAAAATAAGTAACAGCAGCCTCTGACATCGAGCCGAACACCACTCATCCAAAGAACCAATGGGTGAACAGCCTTCATGGTATAAATTTCCAATACTTAAGAGTAAGTGGTGGAATGGGAAAACCATTGATTTTCCAAACACCAGCACTTTCACGACGCCTTTTTTCTATTTTCATGTCGCATAAAAAGTCGAAGGTACGAATTTTAATTTGACGTCTAGAACAGCTAAAGAATTCTCACATGGTTGGTTTCAAATAGAGAACCGAACTGTTTGCCAGTGCTTACGTGAAAGAAAGCGGTGGCGTTCCGACAGCTTCACATTTGAATCGTACTTCTCCACCAGCGGAACGAGTTGTGTTCTTCAGCTGTGAGGTAAGACGAATATATGGTCGAGGACCAGAAGAGGACGCTCCGTCCATCCTGAAATCAGTATTTGATAAGAGGTCTGAGCAAAGGCACGAATTTCGTCCATAAGCATATTTTTGGTGGATCTCAAATTTTTCCAAACATCTAAGTGATATGATATCGGAAGATACTGCAGTAGGTTCCATTATGAATGAGTAAGTAAAGCCTCCATTCAAGAATGAAGCCTGCTAATAATTCTTTGTAATGGAACACTTATTTTTCATTGAGATTTTTATTACAGTAGCCATGAAATCAGATTACTGTATCACCAAGCTCATAATGTAGGTTTTAAAACAGATTTCTTCGCAACATTTGGGAGTGAATACTCTAGCATCTTATCTCTTTTCGTTAAACTTTAAGTGTTCTTCTTTTATTCTTAAATACATAGTTATAGGATAAAATAATAAAGTGGTGGAATTCGGTTCGGTTCTCTATTTGAAACCAACCATGTGAGAATTCTTTAGCTGTTCTAGACGTCAAGAATAATGATTTGATTCATGATGAAAGAAGGGAAAAGTTGGAAATGGCAGTGAGAAATCATGTTGAGTGGATGTAGTATTGCACTTAGATGATGTGAGATAGGAGGAATGAATAGGCAGGGCTCAATTGCAAATTGACGGCGCGCATGGGTCAGCGCCTCGGGTGATGATGGGCAATTCCGAATGACCACCAGGGCCTAGCGGACTGCATGTAACACCAGAGCTCTAACAGATACAGCGATTAAGAGCGTTAATCGGACACCAGAAGTCGGTTACGGTGCATATCGTTTCATACTAAGTCCGACTTCGCTTCTAAACAGAACGATTCCCTCGGAGGAATGAGATGCACGTTCCAAATAAGGACAGGAAGTTGTAGTATCTACGTCGAGCAGAGATCACTAGAATGTAGGGCGTACGTGCCAAAAACACTGACGATGAGAAATAGCCGGCCGAAGTGGATTCGATATTGAAGTGCATATGTCAGAACAATTGGCATGCGAGGTTAAATGTGACAAGAGGAGGATGAATGGGCGTCCTCCTTTCACGCTCGGGCCCACATCATCTCGTAGCTCCTGATTAGAATAGCTGCCGGTCTGTCCGTCTCCGCCATGAAAACCAATCTCATTTACATTTCGCAATGCTTCACTCTTTGCCCCGGCGACAGCTATCACGAAGGCGGGACACAAACCGATAAATTGAATACGTAATTGATCATGGATGTTACACTAGAAAAGTGGAGAAGCATGCAAGATGTAAAGAAAATCGATGAGAAGAAATGTCATCACCTTTTTCATGTGTGACTGTCCCCTCAAAAAATATGAACATGATTTCGTTCTTGAATTAAAGCAAAACTATATTCTTAGTGGGGTCTACCTAAGAGTTAGCCGCGGCCAAAGAAATTCACCTATAGTGATTCTCCTGGAAAAGAATGGACGAATGAAAAACATTTATCATCATCAGTTTCAAATCAAAATTAAAGCACTGGAAGTTTTTAAAACATCTTTTCCGTCTTTGTAGTTTTAGAGGGACGTCAATTATTTGTCCCAAACAGCGACTAGGTCGACCTCTTCTATCGTGGCATACACTTCTGAGGATCACTATTTGTTCAAGCAAAAACGACTCCCACGTCAAAAACACGTTATTTAAAGGAAAAAAAAAGATAAAATAGATATGGAAGCAATAAATGATGCAACCCGTGATTATAAAGGACGTTCTGGATGAGCTCTTGACCTTCTGTGACCGCGTAGATTACGCGAGAGATGGTGTGCTAAGCCGGCAGATGGTGAAGCAAAACCGTGAGTAAATTGTGGGTCAGAGTCACTAATTCAATAAGATGTCATCAGTTGCTTAGGTCAAGCCAAAGGGTGAATAAGACAAAGTAGTAGTTGCAGTCAATAAATTGTGGCCAATGGGCTGTCAGATTTCGTTGGAGTCCAAGGCAACTGACTACCAGCAGGTGTGTATAGGCGGGAGCCTGTGACGAGAACGAGAAGAAACAGAGAGAAAACTTTAAGTGATAGAGATCCCTTAAACACCAGCATGGATTTTCGCACACAGAAAACCGTTGGTGATAGGTAATCCGATACACATAGCACAGTGGTTCAAATATTTGTCGAAAGATACAATAAGGACACTCCGTAGGAGGTTCGTGTTCGAATTTCCTGAATGAAAGTTGAGTAAACGCTGGGCAAGTTCCTCATGATTGCTTTCTAATCAGCGTTTCCAAATTGCTGCAAATTTTTAAATTCTTAAATTAAATTAGTTAAATTAAATTCTTAAATTCTTTTAATTAAATGAATTCTAGAATAAATTTCTAAATTGCTTTCTAAACATTGCTAATCAATCAAATGTCTATGAACCCTTAATCAGGAAATACGCTGTCGTTAAGAGGAAGTAAAAATTTCCGCTCACACTCCATTCTCGAAATGTGGTCATTTCTTCTTCACTTTCTCCACTAATTTGCTCACGGTCGGTCTCAAACCATCAGTTAGCAAAGTAGAAGAAAGATATTATCATGAAGCGACTTAGCGATTTTATTAAAAAAAGATGACAGCGTAACACTTTCAACAGACTTGATCTGTGATGTTCGTGCAACCATGTAGATACCAGCTTTGCCAAATGCCGTGTCTCGACGACGAACCAATGATATGAGGTCTGATAACTTTGGGATGTGATGACTCACGAAGAACTAAAACAATAGCAAGGGTGCTAAGATATGAGAGAAATTCGGAACGCCAGCTGAGCTTTGAACCTGTAATTACTATCACTGAGACAGATAGAACAAAGATGTTAGTTGTGTTCCCACATCATATTCTGTCATGGAAAAACAATAGACAGTAAATAAAAGTTAAAATTGGAACAATTCCCGTCTCTAAATCCTCTATGGTGAGTGGAAAAAGGATGGAAGGTGAGTAGTGGTAGCTTCTAGAGCAAAAGTGAACAGTGTCGTCAATATGGAGCCCACCCTTGCAATCAAATTTTCACTTGATGTGTACGAGCGGGCGAAATTGGTTAATTGTGGTTGCTCAACCAACAACTAGGAGAACGATTAACTTTTCTTTCATCGAAAACATGAAATGGGAGGGTTGTCCACAAGTCTTTAGTACTTATCGGACATTTGCTTTAAGGCAGTTTCGGACAGGAAGTGTTCATGAATCAGAATTCAGAAACGAATTTTCAGTAGGAACATAGGAAGTATGGACTACAAGGAAAGCACTGGAGCAGAATACTTGAGTTTGGATGTACGATCGATCGTGGCACAGAGCTTAAATGTAAACAAGCCGACTAGGAAGGAGTTGTGTAAATAAACGATATAAGTCCATAAGTTGAAATAGAACGCGATTTCGATGGAAGAACATAAAAATATGACCATAAAATAAAAACGCGGCAAATAGCCGACTGACTGGTCGTAAATCAGTCAGACAAAAGCGATGAGCACGAGCGAAAGGTCAGAGGACGAGGTCATCCATCGCAATACCGCGCGCTCGATGCGGTGATGATGCGAAGATGTACGATATGATTTACTGCCTATTTATATATCGAAGGCAGGAAATATACGAGTAACAAGTGAACGACAAGGTGGTCGGTTAGCAGTGACGTTTATTCGAGCTTCGACTAGAACTGTCAACCAAGAAGGTCAACTACTCCAAGACCTTGTGGTATCGCTAACCAGACAAGAGTCTGAAAACAGAGTGGTTGCGTGTTTCAGGAAAGCGGGGAAACTTTCGTAATTCACTCGTGAGGAACCGTAACGAAGTATAAACCGTAATAAAATACACCATGTGCAACAACGGGCCAACAGATACTACACAACTGGAGTACACAAGCGAAGGTCATCGATTGGCCCAAAAGGAAATTGACGCTTGAATAGGGTCAGCAAAAGTTGGCGATGTGTTGATGCGAACCACTGCCGGTTAGAATGAGTCGTTCCAATAAATCTTCTTCCAACACCAATTTCAAATCCGATTCGCTTCTCATTTTTTAGTTTTATACTCATTATCTCTAAAAACAATTCATATGAACGTAACCATCTACAGAAAAGACCACCAAGAGAAAGAGGGAAGAAACGGTTACACTTCTGTTTTTCAGGGAAATAGTTCCCAATCTAATCATGAGCTACTTCAAAAATCAGTCTAAATCTTGTCAAAGTCAGCTTACAATTAACGTTGGAATTAATCAGGAAGTTACGATGATCACCATGAATTGACATGAAGTACCTAGTGAAAGGGTAATCGCGGGTTTATCTAACCAGGGGTACGAGTTTTGCAAATATCTCAGTTTTACTGCGGTTGACATCAAGTTGTTAACCAAACAATTGCTAATGCAACCATAATAATGCTGAGATATTTGCAAAACTCCAGACCTCAGGTGTCTTCTGATGGCGCTCTTAGGTAGAAAACTAGTTGAGGGAAATGCAGGAGCCGCATGATGTGATGGTGAACGCGTTAGCCCCCCGGAAAGGTAATAGCGAGTTCGATCCCTACCGCAGACACCTGCGCTTCGGAGTTTTGCAAATATCTCAACATCATTGTGATTGCATTTCACATAACACCCTGCCATGAGAAGTTACAGCAAGCAGTAAATAAAAGGTTAACAATAGCTAATTCTCTGGCGGATTTCGTCTTCTCCACAGACGTTTTTTGTGTCCCCGACTATCATAAACTTTTTTTAGAATCATCAGCATAGGACCACCGATACGAGTTGGAAAGCATTCCTTTCAAGTCGCCCCACCTGCACGGAATGCAGGGATTCTCTGAAATTCTTCGAGATCGCTTGAAAAACGGAAACAAAACTATCTAGGGTTAAAAACGTCGGATTATTTTTTACCGACGCTTCAATAAATATGACAAATTAAAAAATTTTCTCCTAGTGTGAACATTAATCTGACATGGAAACCACAGGATCAACTGTGAAAGACTGAAGACTGAGACTGATTGCTGCTGATGTGAAATAATGTGCATAGATATGACGAAGTAGAAAACAACAACTGAAATATCTAGTGAAGCGATAAAACATGAAAGCGATGAAGCGTCTTT